GGTCCACTGTAAGGAAGTTTAGTTCCCGCTCCAGACTTCCTCGGTTATGTGTCTGTGTGGGTGTGGAGATGTGTTCGTCGTCTCCAGGAGTCCATGTCAAGCTCAAGTGACCCACCACGGCGAATGCCCGGCTCTCTCCAGTATCTGAGCCACAGTCCTTTCACCGCCACGCAAGCGGTGGTTTGGTATCGTTACACTCGGGTCAGAAGTAGTTAGTTCTCTTTTCGCTTCTTCTCATGCGGAGACTGCTAGTGTACTACTATTTCCGGAAAGGTTCGAGACTTCGGAGGCTCGCTTCTCTACTGGGAATCAATATGTAGCCCTCTTGTGTCAGCGCAATCACCGATGCTACCAACCTCCGATGTACGACTACGCCGCTCAGACATGCAGTTCGGCGTATCGTAAGAAAAACGGCAGCTATACAACTCTACACATTAGGCAACCAATGCAAAAACCTTCCGAGAATGATCGCGTCCGCTATGCGATGCTTCCTCGCCTTCTAGACCCTACATTAGCGCTGCTTCGAGAAGAAGAAGAAGAAGAACCATCCTATACACCTCCGCGCTAGGTTCACCGGCCGGGGACTAGCAAAAGTAAGACCTAAATCCATGAGCATATCCATCATGAACCGCGTGCTCTGTTCGGATATGGCTGGCTGGACCATGGACATGACAAGCCTTACCTTCCAAAACTTCAAACTCGGGCGACACTATCGAACAGACCGCGTATGGCTTATGCTACATGGCCCCGAACGCTCATGAGACGATGTGACACCATATCCGGGCGGCTATAATCGGGGGGGTCGGAGCAAGGTGTTGAGGCTCTGCGGGTACGTGCATGAGCGCCGATGTGGGTCCCCTTGTTGGTTGTTGCTGTCTCGAATAGATCAGATCGCATCAGTGGGTTGACTGGCTTTGGGAATAGTGCTGACTGTCGACTGGACTGTTGAGGTATTGTATTGTTACAACGGGGGTGGGTTTCATTACATACAGGGGGAGTGGAGAGGTGCATGCCACTGCGTGGTCAGGGTGGAGTTGGGATGCATTGGGATGTACTTTCAAGGTTCGCATGTGTGCCTGAGGCTAGGTGGTTTCTCGGGCAGAGTGTATGTGTGCAGAGGCTGGGTACCAAGGGTTTCGCTTCGTGTACGTGCGTGTTGGTTACTTGGAGGATTGTCATGCGTATGGATGATGTGATTTGCGCAGGGATGCAGTAATTATTCAACGTTGAGATGATTCGTGGAGCGTGAAAATTTGTTAGCCAAAAACGACACTAAGAAGACTTCACTCTACTACAGCTTCTATCCATGAACACCAACGATGAGCATAGCTCTCAATTGCCCTGTGCATTCCCGTCAAGATTATCAGCTATATATATAACATATAATTTGTTTGGGTCACATGACAACAAAACCAGCCCGGCTAGCTCAATCGGTAGAGCGTGAGACTCTTAGCTTTCACGTCCTAATCAGACTCGATTGGTTATCTCAAGGTTGTGGGTTCGACCCCCACGTCGGGCTTTCTTTTTATTGTGGTATGTTACAGTGCTGAGAAGGTGGTGGTGTTGGTGGTGTGACGGTGAAGGATACTTTTTGGACCCCACATCTACCCAGGTGCCTAAGTAGACACACTAATGTTCTACAACATCAACACAGTATTGTACAAAGCTGTCACTAGGCTACCCACGCCCGTCCTGACAAGTTTAGTTCCCCTGAGACGGAGGATGAACAATGTTTTGGGTGGCTTCACGAATTCTCTTTGACAGTTGAACTTGTTTGAAACTTCGGCGCCGCATATTCGGCTGTCCACATCGCTACGTTGTTGCCTGTAGTTAAGTGGTGCTTTAAGGTATCCAGTGCCTCTAATCCTTCAATACGAATAACTTTGCCGAACCTTGGAACCATTTGTTGTGTAGGTGGTCGCACACTCACAAAGATTACTCGACGGAGAAGACTATCTTCTTGTCAATCAACCAGCGTGCGCTGTGCTTGCATACCTTGTGGACGCAGCATCTGGTCTCTCTAGCGCAGGAAAAGAGGTCGTTCAGTCTGATCAGAGAATCTTCCACTAACAAGGAAGATTATTATTTATCTTGCACTGGCAACTAGAAAAGCCGCGCTGTCAGGTCTCAACTTCGTGTTACTCTTACCGACATACAACAGCATTGTGTTCCTGACACAATTCAATCAAATAGCCGCTAGCTGTATAAATAGCCCGAAATCCTTTTTGGCATATCATTGGTAGCTCCCACTTTGTCCAGTGTTGATTCTTGGCATGTTGGTGATGAACGTTCTCATGTCCTTAGTTTGCTAATGCAAAGGTGGGTTAACTAAGTGTTAAGAACAGTAGGCCAAAAGAAGACATTGCATTCTGCCAGGGTATGGACCATGAGCAGAAGTAAGTCAGGAGAAGACAACCTCCCAGTATGCGGACTGAAGCTAAGAAAATGCGCATGCCTGGATGTTGTCGCGTGCAGCCAGCGAAGAGTGACGATCGGTAAGCCTGAAGACAAAGCAGGCAAAGTCTCCCGAGAGGCCTTCCTCAGAATGATTGTAGTATGTACGTGATGATGTCGTCTATTCTCTCTATGGGAGGGGGTCAAGGGACATGCGGAAGCAGGGCAGTGAGTCACGGCGGGAGGCTGGACTGAGGGAATAGGAGGACATCCGGACGGGCCGATGTATGAGTGTATTACATCATGCAGGTGTTTAGGGGTAGCGCTGGTGCTGGTACAAGCCTGATTGGTAACAAATTTGCTCCTCCACGCGCTCGATATGCTTCTCGAAGTCGTACACAAAGCTGTTGTCCTGCCAATCCCGGTGATGCGAGCAGTCTGATCAAAAAAGAGTGGACGTGAAGACGAAGACAGCACAATTAGTAAAAGGTAGTTGGATATAGCGAGACTCAAATCCGCATCTCCTTTCAGAACGTGCACAGTTGCCCGCCTTACACTCCCATAAGAGGGGTGCTTTGACCGTTTAGTGTTGAATGTGACTAACTAGAGTTAATTAAGATAATAGTTCTAATGTTCTAGCTACGAAGGAAGTACTCCTTATATCTCTTATACCTTCCGTTGTCTTGAAGTTTGACTGTATAGTCGTTTGTCTTAAACAACATTTAGATCACATACCCATTTGATGACTGTTTTATAGATAAGAGTTGTTATATCCCTTCGAGACGTCCTCATAAGGTCATCTCTCACCTACCCGTGGAATTCACCTCGGGCCTTGGTTGCGCTTCTATCTTTCCCCTCTTAAGATCGTCCTCTAGCTGGGTGACCTTGAGCTGTTCAACTACACGAAACCGAGTGGACCTTAGTAGATGACCTGAACTATCCTCAGACACTCTAAAAGCTCCTCAAGCTTTTCGAAACCCCCACCTGAAAGGGATACGGGAGCTTATGCTGCGCGGCTGAAGCTGGAAGTAGCGGGTGTACATCGAAGTATATTGTAGGACCAGAGAATCATAAGGCTTTTTGTTGATGGTTCTAGAAGAAGGCAAGAGACCATCTTCGTCTATCCAGGCTTTGGTTGAGAAGAGACCACTCCCGCAAGATGCCGAGAAGTGTACATCAGCCCGGCAGCTCAGTGGAATTATCAGTGGATTCCCCTGTGACCCTCGTCTTCTTCTTCGGCTTCTTGTCGGTGCCTTGAGGCGACGAGTATTAGTCGTGTGCTTTTCGCGCTGAGCTAGAGTGTTGGCTAGGTCCCGCGCTCGGTTGAGACGACCGCCTGGGCTGTGTATGTTTGTTTGCTATGGAGATAAATAGTCACATGGTATGCTTCCAGGATCCGCACCATTGGCAGTTATAGCAGCGAATATCGCCTTGTAGATGTCTCGGTGGGCCGCCGGATCTTGTTTGATAGGTGAGTGAGTCATTGTAATTGAAGATCCTGTTAGTCTTCAGTATCGATCTCCATCACAGCAAGCCTGTTCCCTCCCATTCTGGGCACAATATCGAAGGGCCTAAATTGGCAATTGTATTAACTTAACCAGGCAGCATCATTACACATGTTCTTCTTCCTCCTTCTCCTCCTCCTTCCCCTCATTCTCCTCTTCTTCTTGCGATCGTCCGATTCTATAAAAGTCTCGTCCGCTAACTCTTCTGCTACCATCTCGTCTGCTTTGGTCATGGCTACACCAGGTTGTCAGTCAATCATTGCGTTACTCTTGCGAAGAAAGCCAAGGAGCGGGCAAAATGTGAGCAATGCGATCGCTCTCCTTGTACGTGGGGTTGGAATTGGCTGTACATTCTTCTTGTCGTTTGCGATGAGCCTCTTGCCCCAGCTCTCGTAAAACGTGTCATGTACCTTCTGTGTTGCAGGAGAGAACAACGTTTTAATGTGCTGTAAAGGTGGCATACTCCTGGCGGTTGTTTTTGAACCTTGACAGGTAGGCGACTACCGTGTCTATCTGCCTCTTCATCCTCTGGATGAAAGTATGCCTGGAAAGCATACACAATTCCTTGACTCTGGTGTCATTCGGACGTATTGCTATTGTGTACAGTAAGTACTCTGTTCCCTCTACAATTGTAATGATGGTGCAATACCCATCTGACCTGAGTTGTCTGTTTAGGGCGATATGAGAGTTTGGACAGATGCTCGATTTGCCCAGGATGTATTTCGGAAGATCCTGAAAAATCATGGTAGACGTCAAATGGGTCCCCCAAAACGAAGGCACAGACGCTAAGTAGATGTAGGCCTCAAGACGGTGGTTGAATCACATGTCAGAGGTTTGCGAATATCCTGCGGTACAACTCGCTCCGACATTTGCATCGTGCGACGCTGACCTTTGGCATTGGGGATGGAGTATTGTGTTATCAACATGACCTGTCATGACGCGCTTACGAAGACATGAATTCGAGGAGGGATGAGGAGGAATAGAAGTGATGTTGTTGGCTGCATGGAAGCCTGCTGAAGACGCGCTAGTGGCCCGGATCCCGGTCGCGTTCCGAAGTAGCTTGGGCGAGCGCCATCCTTCTTCCAACAACTCCATCGCGCCATGAACAGCCATCCTTCGCCTATAGAGCATATGGACGTCGAAAGGAGATCATCGTCGCCCAAGCGCAAGAAGGTCCGCCAAAAGTACGCGCCCAAAGCATGTAAGTCGCGCCTTCCGCTCTTGCAACCTTGGCTCGGCATCTCTGGAGCTTCCTATGCGGCATTCCGATGGTTCCGTAGTGGTTCGACGCAGCTTCGTACGACACGACAACGAGCATATGCCATCAGCCGGCTGACAAACTGGTGTAGGTGTATCATGCAGGCGATCGAAGCTCAAGGTATGTGTTCTTCTTCATATATTGCCAGGCTCCTTTTCCAAAATGTCGGCTCTTTGCTTCAGTGCTTCACCTGCTGTCTCTATGCGACAGCGTCGCTTCCCCAGCCAGGAAACAGGCAATGCAGACGGCAAAAAGACTCATAGGCAGCATGACTAACCAGAATAGTGCTCCGGTGAGAACCCATGCCAACGATGCATGGACAATGGCAAGCGATGCTTCTTCTCTGAAGACCAGACGGCGGCCGAAGCCCTGCAGAACCTCAGTCGACCGACACCCACCCTTCAAACACAAGCGTCGAATACTAGCGGAAATGGCAATAACTTATCGCGAGGGAGTCTGATGCCATCCGATAACGGCACGGAACGCAGGGCGAGCGATGCTAGCACACGCGGCATGAGCATGGAAGCACGTATGGCCCGGATTGAGGCTATGATGGAAGCTCTTATGCGCGATCGAGGCCTGACCATGACACCAATGGGCAGCGTAGAGCGCGAGGAGAATGGTAGTGATGGCTTTCGGGGCGACGCCGCGTTGCCTGTCCCGCCGCTGGACCCCATCAATCCAGCCCTCGCTTTCATGGGACAGCCCTCCCTCTTCTCACATGAGCCGTCGGACAGAGGAAACTCGGCTCTGTCAGTTCCCGGCTCTCCATACAACGTCGAACCAACGCATCTCATACAATTGGGCAACAAGAAGTTGCCCTACCCTAGCCCAGCCGATTACCAACAGTACCTAGCTTCCTTCTTCACCGACATCCACCTGTCTCATCCGTGCATAGATGAGCCCGAGTTCCGCAGTCGTAGCGAACACATGCTAGCAAACACCGCCATACCTCCAGAAGATTGTCAATTTCTCGCGCTGAATTATACAATCTTTGCTTGTTGCGATATACTGCTGAGTGTCGCGCCAATCGATACTGGCAAACCCAAAGGTTGGCGATGGCTTGAGCTGGCCGATGATCTTGTCGATAAAAGGTCTCTACTGAGTGGTAGTGGCGATCTGACACTGATACAATGTGTACTGTTTCAGGTAAGGTTCTGGACGTTCCAAGCTTGGTACATGAAAGTTGACTGTCGTAGGCTATATACTACTCTTACGCGGATATGCCCGGCCCGGCTTACAACACTATCGGCGCCGCTGCCAGACTCGCTTTTCAGTTTTCTTTGCATCAGCAGTCTACATGGACAAACATCACTACTGCACAAGCATACGAGCGCATCTGCACATTCTGGAACATATTCGTAGAAGACCGTTTTATCTCGTTGACATTTGGAAGACCGTATACCATCCATGAGATTGACGTCCAAGTCGAGGCACCCGCAGATCTGTCCGAACGGGTGAGTAAAGCTCCTGGCTCATCTCGCTGCTACCGCATGCTCACTATCTTTAGGCGATGCTCTACAAGACTGACGGGGTTGACCCAAGACGTTTTACCGATCATTACATTCACTACGTGATACTGTGGGCGCGCTATGCTGACAACAACATCGACGGTCGTAGTCTCGATGGCGCGACACAGGAGATCATTGACAGGCAGATCTCATACTTCCTCGAGCAGGACCTACTAGGACTAGTAATCCCTTATACTCAACCAAGCGGTGCGACTGTTCCGCCGCTAAAAATTTTCATTACTCAGAAGAAGATCGACTTCGTTCTCTGGGGCTTCCGTTCCGTCATAACCTCTCTCCAATACGACGATAGTCATGCTTCTCACTTTAGCAATCTTGCAGTCATTACTGTCAACCGAATGGCCGCCTTTGCGCAAGACGTTCGGCAGCCTTTTAGCCTTCGGCATCGCATGGTATCATCCTTATCGAATGCTCTACTGGTTCTTTGCTCTCTCCTTGTACGCAACGTTACCGGAAGGGATCAATCTCACATCGAAGCTTTCCGCAATGCCGTGGCCCTGTTACGCGATCTCGCATATAGCCAGCTTTATGCGAAGCGTGTCCTATCTGACTTTGAGAGTCTTATTGATATCGTGCAAGAAGTCATTGATGGAAAGGCTGTCCCAGGCAATGTCGCAGAGCTATTCCCTTACAGATCCCCCAGCCCTCATATCCGCCTACCGCCTACCTCAGGAACAACGACAGGCGTCGAAGGAACGCACCCGGTCGGTAACGGCAACGGCAGCAGACCTGGCGAAACTGGATACGGCGTGTTGTGGCTTTGATGCGACGCATCACAGTGAGCAGGTACCATGAAGGTACTCACTGTGACTTACATTGACAACTCAAAACCTCGCATGCGGCGAATACCTTCAGGATCAGGTTTGCCGTCGAATGGAATAGTATGACAGAGCTCCACAAACTAGTTCTTGGGTGGTAATGAACTTGACAGAAAATGGGGGTAAATCGGCGTTCTGGGTGGATTACGGTGTATATTACTCCTTGTGTACCAGCGGCCTTGCATAGATACCCACTGCTTCAGCATAGGCTAGGAGATGGCGTTTAAGGTTATTGAACCTTTGTTGTCGTGTATATCTGTTCCGCATACACGAAGAGCACTAAGCCTTGAGTGGTTGTAGCTGATGTGTTGCAAAACAGCAAGTCGAGGTATTGACCTGCACAATGTTCTCATGGCTCACGCTTTCTACAAGAGGTAACACTTCTTAAACGCACACACGAAGATTTGTTCACACATCGTCAAACTTTGATTACTATGCTATCGCCCACTCCACGCCTATGTATATCCCTCGCATCTTTGAGGGTCAGGGCATCGTGCCGATAGGCGTAGTTGATCCAAACGTCTTTGACCTCTAGACAATGATAGGTAGGGAAAACTTGGAAACGCTGGATAGAACATTGGAAACATCGTACAGGGTCAAGCATTTGTGCTTGACTAAAAAAGAAATCATTGGAAAAGAAAAAAAAGACAAGAATTGCTCGTCCGCTGGAGGTGCACCGTTGAACATCTTTGGTGTTGTTACGATGGGCCGGCATTTGTGCTCGACTGAAGGGTATCATTGGAGAAATAATGAAGGTAAAACTTGATCGATGAAAAGGCTCGCTGGAAACACATCATAGGACAGCTTTGGCGTCATATGGTGGTAAAGTAAATGCAACAGTCGTAGTATCGTGAGTCGTGATGTCTTGATGTCCTGAGTTTGTGATGTGGAGGAGACTTGAGCCAACCTCAAAGATAATGTCCAGTATAAGCGATTGGTCTTCACTTCCTGGGATATACATCCAAACTCTTCCCCTACTCATGAACAGCCCAGATCCTCAGCGCGCGGCCACAGAGCTTCTTCAGAGCCTGAGTATCCTTGTTCTGGCGAATCTTCAGGGGAAGAGCGTCAATCTTTGTGACACAAGTCTCGATCTGGGAGCGGTAGTATCCGGCATCCGTAGTGCCGAGAATGCTCTCTTCACCGTTCGCAGCATCCACCAGGCCATCGATACACTCCTTGACTGCACGATGATGGGTGCTCTTGACCTCGTTGTTGCGGAACATGTCCTGAATCTCTGTTTCAAGGGCCATGTTGTCGGTGGCGATGTATTGGAGGACGTTTGTGCGGGCGATGCTCTCGTCTGGCTCAACGGTTATGGAGGGGATGTTGGAAGCGGTACCAGCGGCCTTTGCTTCAGTTCCAGCAATGAGCTTGGATATGCTGGCGTCTGGAGGTGCGGAAAAGGCAGCGCCGGGAATGTAGGCATCAGGCTCAACGCCGGAAGTGGAAGCTCTGCCACGGATCGAAAACCTACCCTCAGGAGCAGGCACTGTACTAGGGATCGACGCGCCACGGTCAGGAGCAGATATAGAGGCCACCATCGGGTTGACGTCTGTAGAACCATAGTCCTGGCGGAAGTCGTTGGTCGGTTGCTCCCTCTGCTCAAGAGGGTTCACAAGCGGCTTCGGGTTGTTGATGCGATGGGCGATGGCCTCAATAAGCTGAGCCATGTAGACAACCTGAGGCTCTAGGCCCTCGGCCTTGCTCACCAGGTACTCGTAGAGCTCGTTAAGAAGCGCTATAGACCAAGCATTCTTGAGCATCTGGGCGCCTACCACATCCAGTGGAATCTCATTGTCGCATTCCAGAAGCAGGCTGTGGATGGGTTCAAAGATCTGGTGGGTCAAGACTTGAACGGTGTTGGCTACCACCCAGACGTCATCATTTGCGAGCGCATTATCCAGCAGCTGGATACCGTCGGCCATCTCGCCAGTATACATGGCAAGTTTGTTGATGCGCCCCCAGTAGATGTTTCTGTAGTGGTTGAAGAGAACCTCTGTCCTAGCGTAAGCCTCTTCTTTTTCACGAGCCATACACCTCTGCTCATCAGCGTGGCGTTGGAGCTCAGCGCGTTGAGCCTCGAACGAGTCGATAATGCTAGCCGTGGCCACACGCTGGTTGTGATCAGCGATCACAGGATCGATGGGGTTGTGACCTGAAGGAAGAATCGGGGCGTTCATCCTCTCCTCGCCAAGGATGTTGGTCAGTCTCTCGTGGATAAATTTCTTACGCTCCTCAGGTGTCTGGTTGGCGTAGAACTCATCGCTGTAGGGGGACTTTTCAGGTACATACGGCGGTGGTGGAGGCGTCGTATACTGGGGACGGGAGTCCTTGATAGCCATCCGGCGCTCTCTGGTCCATAGATCGGACGAAGCGCGAAACTGTTGCCGTCGCTTCTTCTCTTCCATCATCTTTCGCTGCTCCTCCTGAAGTAGGATCTCTTTTCGGTGCGCCATCTCCGCAGCTTCCCTCTTCATCTTCATGTCATACCACCGAAAATCTCGTTCTGCGGGAGAGACATGACGCTTGGGCTTTTCGACGCGGCCTGTGGTCATGTTGCGGTAGGTCTGCTGCTTCTGTTGGAAGCCAGTCGGCATGCACCCAGTGATGACAACCGGGTCACGAACCTTGCCCGACGACGGGAGTACCGTATGGTTGAAGCTATCACGGAATTTGCCCAGACCTGTCAGAACCGTACAAGGGGCGGTGTTCTCAATGGATTGCTTTGTGAATAATTAGATACTGTCTAGGTGATATCCGATGGGAGAGACAAACCTTGAGAACGCGAGCATTAGTCTCGAGATTCAAGCAAATGTCTTGGTACTGAAGCTGTGCCTTCTGTTTGAAGACATCCACTACGCGGTTCGCCGTGTTGCGAATAGTCTCGCGGATGGGCGCCATGGCGTTGATCTTTGTGTGGTCGCTGGGTGTAAGTGGTGGTGTGGGCGTGGTCGGGTTGAGTAGAGTGTAGGTAGAAATCGGTCTTGAGAATGACTTGAAGACCGGAATGGGTAGTGCAACTGCTAATTGATTTGGGTCGCGGATCGGTGGATCAAGATCGCGGGTTGAGTTGCAGTTGAGGAAGTGAGCGTCGAAAAGAATTCATCAGGAGCTGGAAGAACTGGATTATATCTGGAGAAGAGAGGAAGGCAGGTCAGCGTGCCTAGAAGACTGGGCTAGCGCTTGATAGGACGTAATGGCAGGGGTCTTGGGTAGTTGATGAAAGTGAATACTAGTGAATAGGCAAGATTATGACGAAATTGTTAGTATATAGGGCTATGATACGCCAGGCCTAGCAGCGGAAGGAACCATGTGCGCGAACAGGTGGGGGGACCAGGAGACGAAGAGGCCCAAGAAGGCTGGAAAATGGATCTCTTGACCAGACATTGACGTGCTTGCGCGATGATTCACTATGGTGGAATGGGCGCTTTGTTTCAGACCTACCGACAAAGAATAGTCTCACGCCGGACACAATGACCCACCATCCTCACGTTATTGTTAGGAGAGACGCATGTATACAATACCTGCTTACAGCGTGCTCGATACTGTGTAAATTTCATGGTAGTCTCATCAGCGCTTCTTCGCATCATGCTCGTCGACCAATAGCGGCATGTACAACATATTACACTCTAGTTAATCAGACTGAACACTGTGAACAAGATCGAAATCTTTGGAGGAAGAGACATAGTAGCGAGCGGAGGGAGGTGAATGTGAAAACAAGATTACCGAACGTGATGCAAAGGTGAGATGGTAAAGGAGAAGAAGCGGCATGTCACATACACATGTACAGTGGGGTTGTCCATGGGCACATTTTGGGTGCAAAGTGTGCGGATTTGTGGAAAAAGACAGAATGCAGGGGATTGATAGAGCAGACGTTAAGATAAGGAGATGTCAGAGAAGGCACTTGCCGTCTCAGTCAAGCCGGGTAGTCGGGTGTCGCCATTAGCTTTCCGCCATGTTGCTGCCTTGCGCAACACCAATCTAGCTGCAATTCCTCATGCATACTCCCAACTACCCGTAAGGACGTGTACGCTTGGGATGAACGGTACCGGTATCAAGAAGATGGCAATGCGAGGGAGAGAAGGAGAGCCAGAAGTAGGCGACAGTCTCGCCCACCCTCCACGCGTCTGCATCAACAAGTCTAGGGATACGGAACCAGCGGCACTCAATCTCTTCGACACACTCAGGGGCTCTCAAAACCAACACGCCAATGTATGAGATGAAGATGCAGCCGCGGAGGATGGAGAGGATTTCCGACAAGTGCAGGTGGGGTCTCCAGAAGAAAAAAGTGGGCATGGACCAGCCAGAACAACGTCGACTCAGGCACCACGAGTCTCGAACGTCCAAACAAAATTACTCCATGGGCATCCTAAGGCGCCCAGCATTCGCGTCGTTCGTGTTGCGGTACGGCTCGATTGCACGTCCCAGTCAAGCTTCCCTCGTATACTCGGTGTCGGACGACAAGTGTGGCGTTCACGATCAAAGACAGTAAGTTGTCGCGTGTTATACAAGACAGCCCTGCTTGCATTGCGACAATGGCCCTCTGTGTAGTAATTAACCAAAGCACCTCCAGAACGACGATGTCAGATGCCGCCCCCTTTTCGACGCCATACGCCGCAGCGATGACGGGAACGCGCAAGCCCCAAGAAATTGTTCCTGCAGGCAGGCCGCTTACTGTGGCTTTCTGTGGCACAGGCGGCTTGGCAGGTGCCGAAATCCGTGTTGGCGTCGTTGGTCTTACCAGGTCGGGCTAGTCGACGGTGCAGAATCGACCTTTGCACGCTTTTGTCGTCGAAGACGCTGCCTTGATAGCGAATCGCCCCATTCAAAGGATGCGAAATCAAGCTTGCGGCCATGCATGATATCTGTGGGGGCCGTGCTCTTACATCATGGGCGTCGATCGCCTATGGGCTTGTTGATCCTTGTAGTATCAGTTCTTTCCAGGGCTGCCCTTTCGTTATCTAGTATATCTCTTTCCGCTCTGCGTCTCGTCTGCTGAAGTTCTGAGGTTCCTACTTACTACTAATTAAGCGTTCTTTAGTAAAAGACGCTCACTACCTTTCTTTTAACGGCAGCTTACCTTAGTCACTCGTTGTACCCAAATTTTTTAACTACGCTAATATGAGGGTCTCACAACTCCCCTCTATTCTTCCCTTGGTCCTCACCACGCTCACCGGTAGCCTCGTGCTCGCACAAGAACGCTGCGACGCACCCTCGCCAGGCATCTACTGTAATTCGACGGAGATTCTCGCTTACCACTCGGACGACTGTAAACCTTTCCACATCTTCATCTCCCGCGGCTCCGATGAACCATACCCAGGCCGCCTAGGCAACCTCACGTCGGAGATTTGCGCAGCGATTGGAGGGTCAGAAGAATGCGGTTACGAGGATGTCGAGTACCCAGCGAAGAGCACGGCGTGGGGCCAAGGCGTGTGGTGTGATTCTGCAGGCAAGGGTGCGAAGAGCGGACAGGCGCAGATGAAGGCGTACAGCGAAAAATGCCCTGACAGCAAGTTGATTGTGTTGGGTTACTCACAGGGAGGATCAGTAGCACAGGACATGCTCGGTGGAGGAGGAGGTTCTGTCTTCGCATGTGAGCAAGACATGAATCCGGCTCTAGACGCAACATCTGCTCCTGGCTCAAATGGTAAGCATCCCTGTCTATAACAAAAGTCACGCTCTGCGTCGATTTACTAATTCTTCTATTCTAGTCGTCGCAGCCGTAACCTTTGGCGCCGTCGTACGCTCTCGTGACCAAAACTTCACCGTCGGCCGTGGCGTGGACTACGATGGAACCAGTGCGCGCAGCCCCGAACACCTCGAAGGCCTAAATGCCTACGCCGACGTTCTACTCGACTACTGCCACTACGGCGACCCAATCTGCGCCGTCGGCTCCGAGCCACAGGACGTCAACGAGCACCTGAACTATTTCATGCAACACAATCCGGAAGTGATCAAGTGGGTAGCTGGCATGGCCAAGGCAAGTGGTGATGTGAGTGAGAAACCCAGCAAGCCCGTTATCAGCGCTTCCTCCTCTTCGACAAGTGTGCCTGCGAGACCTCAAGCCACGCCATCCGGATCCGCTACCCCTTCACCTATTGCGACGCCAACTGACGACGCGGTGAAGAGTGCGCAGACGAGCGCTACTGGTGCTGCCAGCTCGGTGACTGCTACCCTTGGGTACATGACTGCACTGGCTCTGACCGTGGCTATCTTCTTGTAGATTTACCTGCTTGATCATCGTGCGGCATTGCGAGACTTTTCCTTCCGAGCGCTTGTACTACTATGGACTCGCTCTTACTCTTTGGGCGTGCGAAATCAGGAGTCCAGGGAGCATAACATGAAGCATGGATACCCGGCGTGCATTGTATTCATCACAAGTCTTAGATGGAAAATTGAACATTGAACATTAATTTCTGCCTCATGATTATCAATCATCATCATCATCATCATCATCATCATCATTATATATAAGAAATTCTTGCTCTTGATAGCTTTTGAACTGGACAAGATCAAGAACCAGCAGTATGACAAAGCGCCGCCAATGCAATGCATGCAAAACTCCCTTGAAACCCAAACAACACCTACAAAAGACCAATAGTCCTCTGCTTCATGGTCCTGACATCGACATTCTGCCAGCAGGCAGTGCTGAAGAGAGTAATGCAGTAGACACACACAGCGGCGATGAGCATATACTTCTGTGTCTGACCGTAGCTGAGGTTGATGGCATCGCGAGTCGGGCTACCAACGGGGTAGCTGTCCTGAACTTTGAAACTACCGTAGATGGTGGCGAGGTCTGGCAAGGCGCTCGCGGGCAGGTTAGCCGCAAGGCGAGCAGGGAAGACACCGGTCCAGATAGCACCCGCAACGGTAGAACCGATAGCGCTTCCGATGGAAATGATCATGGATTCGACGGCGAGCAGCGCGGGGAAGTCTTGCTGCTTGGACACGGCCATGAGTGTCGTCTGCTCAGAGGTAACCAGGACACCACCGCCAAAAGCGATGAAGATCATGCACATGACAATAAAACCAACGTTCTCGTCAGGCTGGCGGAACTTGATCATGAGACCAACGCCCAGCATAGTGAGAGGTACACCGAAGAAGAAAGAGTAGACCTTGAGCTTTCCGTAGTAGCGTAGCGCGATTCCGTAGACGATGCAGATGAAGCAGCTGCCCATAGTGTAGATGTTGGCGATCCATGTGGCGTGCACTTCAGTCTGGTCAAACAAGACGACGAGAAGCGAGTAAAAGTACGAGTCCCAGCAGTACCAGCCGACGTACAATGAGCCAGCCATGGTGTAGGTGAAGATGACAGTTCGGTTCTTCAGCAATTGCCATGGGATGAAGGTGACTGGGGCACCCCACTTCTCCCACAGACCGAATGCGACAACTAGGAGGGCACCGAATACGATGAAGCAGATGATGAGAGGCGATTTCCACTGCTCGGCCTGGTATGAGTAGATGTTGAAGGCGAGGAGGAAGAGCGAGAGTCCAGCGGCCAAGAGCAGAAGGCCGACGGCATCGAATTCGCGAAGGTAGTAGGTGACGGTTTGAACAAAGCTACCACGGCTGGGACGTGGTGCGATGAGACCCTCCTTGCGCGCCTTGCCCTCGTAGACGACGAAGAGGATGATGAGAGGCGAGGTGACAATGGGCGCAATGATGGCAAAGATGCCGAAAGTCCATCGCCAGCCGATGCCGCCGGGCGCTGTAATGCTCTTGATACCGTACCCGTAGATCCAGGTGGTGATGAGCCATGGAGAGGATGCGTAGGAGATGAATAGGGCTCGGTTCTTCAGCTTGGAAGTATCGGCGATGAAGACGGTAATGAAGAAGTCGATACTGTTGGAGCCGACGTAGAAGAAGGTCTGTGCCGCGCAGTAGGCCTTGACGTTGTTGCAGCTCGCCATTAGGATCAGGCCGACGACGTAGATGGCTACACCCAGAGCAAGACCGAAAGGCCGGCCCCAGATGTTGAGAATCTTAGCATACGGAAGTTTCCAGATACCACCGACAATGGAGGAGATGACAGTGGTCAGGGCGGTTAGGGAATGTAGCTGGAAATCGCTGGTGACGTAGGGACTGAGGGTGCTCGAAGTGCTGGATGCGTACGCAGTGAAGAATTGGATGAACCACATGCTGAATTCTGTTAATGTAATCCTAAATGTGGAAAGGACAGTGACGTACGCAATGTATGCCAGTATCAAGTCGCGCTTCTTCCAGAGAAGTGAAGCCGCTTGAACCTGTTGAACGCCTATCTCGGCGGTGGTATCGACTTTATTCAGCTCCTCATCCGAGTCTCTGCTCATGGCAGATCCCCTCGGGCTGCCGACCTTCTCGTCGGGGCGAGCAACGTCCATGCTGGTGTGACCTTGGTACGAAGCGGGCACGTCGGCAATGTCTCTGTTGTCGGCATTGGCAGAGGCAGTGTTGCCAGAGACCAATGCACTACTGGTCAATCCCTTGAAGGTGAAACCCATCTTGGCGGCTGTTGTTGCAATTGAACACCAAAAGTGAGGGTTGTAATGGTTGGAGATGAAGAGATTGATAAGACAAGATGCCGCGCAAGCTGCAGGTTCATATACAGAAAACGCAGATCCACGCGGTTCCACTACATGGCCTTGTCAAGACGCACCCGGTTGCCGGCTTCCTCGCAGCTGGGTGGGTAAATTGTTCGCGTGAACGATAAAAACGGAAATGGTATTGAATATCGCGGTGCACATTCCCGGCTAGTCCCATGCACCAAAGCTTGTCTGTTCTCATTGCAGTTAAATGCCCGGGATTAAGCATCTCCAAGCATGGCCCAGACAGCCTCCAAATCTTATCTCGATAATCAACCGGCATCAGCGGACACCTCTAACCAATAGCAATGGACGGTGGCGTGACGCGTGGGTTATCAGATGAAAATTTTCGATCTAATCATTATCTGATCAAAACTCGCAAGCGACGACGCCTACCTGCACCATCACCCTCTGCCCCGTCATGCCTTCGTAAGGCGGGGGTACCGAGGGATATGATGGCCTGTTAGCTTGCGAATACGGACCTGCCGATGGTGCTCCCAACACTCGATAGCCGCCGAGCATTTGGTGGAGCATGCTCGGGGTTTTTGCAGAATTTGCTCCATGCTCGTACCGTGGTGGCGGGACGATAGATACCGAAGAAACAAAGTGGACTGAAGGAGCGGAAGAAAAGATAGAAATGGGACAGATGGGTTTCCAGAAGCTGGCTGTTCGCAAGCATCCTATTCCTGCCTTCGCCTGCGCCCAATCGCATCTAATCGACGCTGCTGCCACGAACGAAATCAAGGGTCTGGCGTCTTGGCACGAGTGGGGTCAATGTTCGGGGTGCTTGTAAGAGACCGCGCCAACGGCGGCTGATACTTCATCCTTGGGTCCCGACAGCATGAAAAGACCACTTTGAAGCGCAGACCCACCCGCCCGTTCATCAGCCTGCTTGCTAAATGTGATGCATTCCGCGTGGTACCGAGAAGCAGTAGACATAATGAATGCGTCGTCAGTCGGTATTCAGGTACAGTTGCAATTCCATACATGAGTCATACCGGCGGCCGACATTCGGACATGCGCGCGTAGAGTGCCCGTCAACTGCAATGGGTTGCGTACATCTGCGTTGACGTGTACACAGTACAGCGTGCTTCTTGTGTTCCTCGGACAGGTCATTTGTCGCTCCCCCTGCGTCGTGTAGCCTGAACATGCGATCACCACGACATCTGTACTCAGCAGTATACCGACGCTGCGTATCGGGCCCTGAACATCAAGGCGTGCACCTTTGGACCACCGCTGATGTCAAGCGTCAAGCGTCATGCAGCATGAGGTGGAGGCTTTTGAGCGGGTGACATTGGCGATCGAGTGGAGCCGTGGAGCATCCAAGACAACATTTGGACACGAATGCGCACTTGGATATTGAGGCATATTTGATCTCTGATTCCTTGCGTTACATGTTTCCTTGATAACATCAATTCAGCAAAAACACTAGCTTCTAGAGACTGCTCTCATGTAGCTCTCGAACCTAATCGTGCACGCTGTATGCTCTGCTACCTGTTCTCAACCTACCTTCTCATCCCCAGCATCTCTTAAACCTTAGTGAAAAGGCGCTACGTAGCAAGGTAAGAGAGAGCCGCTTGCTCACCTTCTTCTCACGAGGCGAAAGACTTACTCGTCATCAAGCAGCCTGGTACCTTTATAAACTACATTGGACCTCAGCATGGAGATAAAACAGGTACGAAGAGAACCCTTTCCGTAGATGGCGATGACCTGGTCAGATACTAAAGGGCGCACCTGGTCTTGTTGAGAAGCCTAACGCACAGTCTGTGCATATTCGCTAGCGTGACAAGTGTTAGTATCTGACAGCTCATCCAGTCGGTTTGGAGACCTGTGATGTCGTATCGCATTGATAGTTTTTAGTTCATTGCTTGCGATTTCCAGACACCTCGGATCATACATTCGGATGCAATATTGAGAAATATTTTGGATCTTGTTCTACGCTTACGTTTGTTGGTCGACCTGAACTCAGGCATACCAGCATGATGTTCACAAGTGTCACACCTATATTTGTCTTGCTGGAGACAACGATTTGAATACATATAATGCGCTTGAGTTCGCTAGAAATACTCTGGACCGGATTCGATACTAGAGAAAGTGATCACTTTCGAACTGGAGACGCCTCAAAGTATCCTTGAATGGAGACGTATAAAGTTTTGGTCACCGACAAATGAATGCGATAATTAAGAATAAGAAGAATTTTCCTACTCTCAGCCCAGGAACCATGCTCATGATGTGCATCTCATACACACCCACTCTCCAACCTCCCTTCATGCCCCGTCGTAGAAGTATCGCATCGGATAAGAACAATTTATCAACCCAACGACTCATTAAATCGTCGTCCCATGACCCATGACTTCGCCACTGCCACCGATCTAGATGCTTGGCTCGCCCTTGTCACCTCGCTATAATCTGCACAAAAGCCCTGTATTAAACAATGGCTTCAACGGTCCTCATACTATCGGCATTTCACTGGTCGCTCAGCATTCATATCTTTCACGGAATTGCTGACCCAGGTTCCAAGCCATGCTTGGCTCATAGCCATAACTTGCGCAAAAGAACGCTCAACTCGTCCCAACGACACTATTATGGAGAGAGGTTGGGCCGCTAAACCCCACTTTCTTGCTTCCTGCGCGCGCAAGGCGCTTGAGAAACAAGACCACCGGTAAAAAGATGGAGGCGTAAGATATTGCTTTATTGACAAAAGGCCCGAGAATGGCGTGGGTTCAATATACCTACTGACGTTGGCATTGGTCCATAACGTCGTCGGTGTCATGAGACATGGATGTCACTCCCCACGGAGATACTCTGCATGTGAGTTAGTTATACGGGGAGTTGCCGATTGGTTGGTTGAATCCATTGCGGTACTGTTACCTGGTTGCTGGTCTACAGTACTGACAAATAGCGATTTACATGTTCCCGTGGGAATGGTGATTTGCCTTATGTTGCAAGCAACTAGTGTTGCTGTGGTACGAGACCTCGCGACTCAAGGCATGTTGACGAACAGACATTCGTAAGATGGCAAGACCATTTTCATACTCAAGTGCTAAAGTATAAAGTCAAGAATAAATTCATTCGCAATATCGCAGTCATAATAGGGTATCTAATCATTCAAAGTTCGCTGCAGCCAGATTCAACAGCCACCAATTTACGCGCAGCATCCAGTTGGTCCTGCTGCCTCAATAGAGGAGCGTCTCTCGTCCTTCTCGCTGACCTGGTTGTATGGTATCCTAACTACCATCCAATCGCACAGGAATTTGCCCAGAACAGCACCCAGTATGATCGAGATGAAGATATATCCGTTGAAGTGCATGACCAGCAACATGATGATGTATGCAAGACCGAGGGTCAAACCATGTATCGAAGCGCGAACAAGTTGTTGCAGTGCTGTAGCGCGGAAGGTAGCGTGTTGGGTTCCGAGAGTTGTGGTGGGGCCGTCGCAGCAGTTGGCGGGCGTGGCAGCAGCTAAGGCAGCTTGCTGTGCTCTGAGTTGCCGCTGGAATTGACGAAGGAGAAACGCATCGTATTCGGAACTGACTCGTCGCAGGAATTCGAGAGTGACAACTAAGAGAGCGGCGCCGATGCAGCTTGCAGCCATCATGGCGTTGTTGGTCACGTGCCATGATTCGGAGAGGAAGCACGCGTCTACGACACGCCAGTTCCATAGCATCTGGAAAAAGTCAGTCATGATTTCGAATCGCAGCGAAGTGAATTGCGGACCTCTGTGACGCAAGTGCTGTTGCCCGAGGACATTCCCGACATTCCTGACATTCCGTGCATGATGGGCGATGTTGTTGTTGCTGGATTGTGAAGTTTGGAAGGACGTCTGTCAAGAAACCGAACCGTGGAAGAGCGATTGCCAGAAAATGATATAACAAACGTCAGACTAGACCCTGCGGCTGCAGATACCGCGACATAGATATGTAGGATCGTGTTTCGTGTTACCGTCTCACTGCAGTCTGGCCCGAGCAGGCATGCCGGCAATCTCGCCGGGAATTATGGGGGAACTTGCTCAAACATACTCGCACTAGCCTATTAGAACGATCCAAGAGTGCGGAAGCCGCTTAAAGACCCGCCTAAGCTTCGCCGCCCACTTCTCGAATCCTTGGCCCATCTTTTCACGAAACGTGCTCACCATGTTTCCGGTGTGTGATACTCCGCATGCGATAGTTCATATAGATATGCGGTCCGCGCACCGGTTCGAGACATGTAGCACGCCTCGTTCATTCAATCTTTGCTCAGTCGTTTCGTCTGCTAACCAGCGACTTATCGACCATGGACACCAAAATGCTCGTCCCGCGTGTCCACATCCAGAACTACTCTGAGGCGAGCGCTGTTGAGCCCCATTGGGGTTACGCAGATCGCCTTGTACCTTGCACCAGCGACCCTGGATCCTGCGAGTACCTCGACATTGTCTATCGCAGTCATGACCTAGGCATGTACTACACCGGAATTATCTGGGCGACCATTGGCGCGATCCTCTTAGTGTGGGGCGTTGGCCGACATTTCGCGCGTTCGCAACCATCAGGCGTGCAATTACCAGCAGAAGCAGGAGAAGGAGTACCACAAAGACGCAGCGCATTCGAACGACTTCAACGGGCGATTCCATCATACGCACGACAATACCTCCTGCCCGATGCAGCCCGACCAATTTTTGGACGTGTGACGCGCACACAGGTCCTCACTCTTGTTGTCTTGACCGGTTATCTGACTCTTTTCTCATTCATCGGCATCGTGTACAAGACATGGATCACGCCTGTCAAGAAGCTACCCGGCGTCTATAACACGCGTAGCAGTCTCGGACCATGGTCAGACCGTGTTGGTGTCATCGCATATGCGCTCACACCTCTCTCCGTCATGCTCTCGACACGTGAGTCCATTTTGTCGCTCGTCACTGGCCTTCCGTACCAGAGCTTCAACTTCCTCCATCGCTGGCTAGGATACATCATCTTCGCGCAATCGGCTCTTCACACTATTGGCTGGTGCATAATCGAGATTCGCCTGTACCAGCCCCAACCGACTGTCGGCGCGGAATGGATCGTGCAGGAGTACATGATTTGGGGACTAGTCGCAATGCTCCTTTTGACCATCCTTGTGCTCCTTTCTACCCCATGGGCAATTCGACTCACCGGCTATGAGTTCTTCCGCAAGGCTCACTACGTTCTCGCCATGGTATACATTGGCGCCTGCTGGGGACACTGGGAGCAACTCAAAGTCTTCCTCCTACCAGGACTTCTCGTCTGGGGTATCGACCGCGCCATCAGGCTCGCTAGGACGGCCCTGCTCCACTACAACTTCTTGCCATCTGGACACATGGGCTTCCGTGCCGCCTCCGCAAATATCGCACTGTTCAAGGACGATGTCAATGGCGACGTAGTTCGTTTAGACTTCGACCACCCTCAGGACGCTTGGGCTGTTGGCCAGCACTTCTACCTGACATTCCCAGAGAGCTCGATCTGGCAGTCTCATCCGTTCACGCCGATCAGCCGTCCCGTCTTCGGTGCCGACGCTCAGAGACATTCCTATATCTTCCGCGCACGTGGTGGAGAAACGAAGAAGATCGCAGACCTATCCATGAAGCGCATTGCAAATATGGCGACCCACCAAGAGTCGCATGAGAGCCTGATGGCTGATGCACGTCTCTCCGTGGTTATGACTGGACCCTATGGTGAGCGCACCATGCGTGGCCTCGCTTCCAACTCCAACATCATCTGCATTGCTGGTGGCACCGGTATCGCCTACGTTCTTCCTGTTCTACTTGACCTTGCATCAAACCCACAAACGCCTGACCGCCACATGACGCTCATCTGGAGTATCCGCCGGAGAAGCGACATCAACTGGGTCGCTCCTGAACTCGCTACTCTCAAGCGCAAGTGCCGGAACCTACGAACAGGTATCCACATCTACGTCACCCGCGCCGCGGAAGAAGCGGACCTCGATCTTACTGTTTCAGAGAAGGCAGCACCTAATGAGTGCTCTAAAGAGATCAACCCCGCCTCAAGCTCCAACTCTTCTGCTGACGCATCTTCGGCGTTGTCTGTACACGGCGTGTCAAAATCAGAACTGGGTCTGGACCACATCCAAGCCAGGCCCGATCTTGACGCTCTTGTGACAGACTTTGTCGCTGGCACTGTACGAGGAGGAACTGAAGTGTTTGCTTCGGGACCTGGTGGAATGATCAGCGATCTCAGGCGGATAGTCGCTAAAACCAACAAAGGTGGTGAGGTTTGGAAGGGAGACGACAGGTGGGATGTACGGTTGACGTGTGACGACCGTTTAGAGTGGTAGTTTTCTTTAGCTCGATACCCCAAATGCATTGCTTTCAAGTTCATTCAAGTCTTCTCTGCATGATGACGTTTTATTGTTGCTATTGTTGAGAGTGCGAGCAGAACACTTGCGGTGAGCGTTTGGCAGCTTATATCCTAGGCCTGTGTATTGTCCCTCTAATCGTGGTCGTGGGCGGATTCGTGATTTGGTGCAGTCTTGGCATCCAGGCAGTGGAGCACTTAGAACGAGTGGGTCAGCGGCGCAAACAGCCAAAAATGTTGTTCCATACTAACGTTGATACGACTCGCGAATGTGATGCGTAATACGATGGTGGAAGGTCAGTAGAAGCAGATGGACTTCGGCGTTCCGACGGCTGCCCTGCTGACTAAAAGCCGCGCTAGCGGCCGATGTGACGTTTTGCTCAATTTGTCGCTCCTGGTGGCGTCTTCTTGCATGTTACGCAGACATCCTACCTGTGACACATGTATCTACCTAGGGGTTGTTAGCAGCGTACAAAGCCCGGCGAAGGAAAGACCGTTAAGGTGGTGTCCGCTCGCTGCCAGTCAGACACCCGGAGATAGGCCTCTATCTCCGAACCCCACATCGTCACCACTTGGACCCTTGATTTGTCTCCGCTTAACATCTTGAGATTCAACTGCTTCCGACAGTCTATACCTCGCAGGGACAGCTATGCCCGAACTACTGGATCTGTGTTACGACGTGCTGATTCGGATACTGGAGGAGATACATCCTGCTGATCTCGCTGCGTGTGCGCAAACGTCTAAGGGCTTCAACGAGTTCCTTAAGAAGAACAAACCGCTTTATAAGACCCTATACCTCAAGCACTTTGTATGACACGATCTCTACTGGCATCGTATGGTGTGAATTTTGACGTTATGACAGGACGATCCTAGAACGCGAAGACCGGCCGATCCTGAACCAGAATGGGTAGAAGCACTGCAAAGAGTGGTGAGATGTCAAAAGGTGCTTGAGTCAGCCAACAACGATCTCAAGGTATACGATCTTTTATTTCTATCATTCAAAATTGCTAAGAATTATCAGAAAGATGAGTTCACGTTCGTCGCAACGACTGTGGATGAACTTATTGCCACTATGTCGCTGGATGAATATGGCATTACTCACAACGGACAACTGGTGACAGAGTTGTTCCAGCATATCGCACAGAATCACGACGCTTTTATGTGCCGCTCTTCTCTTTTTGGTCGCGCTGGATCAGCAAAGCGAAAGCCAGCCGAAGATGAAGAAAGTCGACAGCTGAGCGCAAAGTTACACAGTCTGTTCGGCTTCCCTCCATCTAATGCCGGAAGAAAGGATCTATCGACAAATCCATATGCTAGATCGCGAGTGTACGATCTACGGAACTATACCGACAAGAACGAGTGGGGGCCTTTCCGTAATGACGGGACCTGGCGAGTGGACTGGGAGATGATTGAAAGCATCATGATTGTCATAGGACATAACTCCTGCTTCTGTGGCCATGCCGTCTCAAATCATCTTCGGCCGCCATGGTTCAGTCCCCTTGACGGCGTGATTCCAGTAGAAAGCCCTGGCAACATGGTATCAAACTATACGGCGCTCGTGCAGCAACCAGATATCCCGCTCAAAATGAAGGATCCGTACCAAGTAGAAGGTATCTGGGCGCGTGTAGGTTCTATTCGACTGGAAGTATATGCATCTCTCTAACGACGTGCAGATCGTATGCTTTCTCGATTACAACGACTTGTACAATTACAATTTCAGCTCTGAAGCGATGAAAGTGCCCTCTGACGAGCCGCGAGATGCACTCAACACCGACGAAGCCATCAGACACATCGTCATGGATTTGCGTATCACAGACGTCACAGCGCCAGGGCCCTTCGATGACCCTACCTTCCCAATCGTGCATTTTAAAGGCGTATCCAAGTCTATAGATGCTCTTTGGGATCCTAATGCCAACTCTGGTATTCGCGGTACTGTTCGGTTGACACGGGAAGGCGAAGTACGATGGGAGACAATCTCAGTATTCCAAGGGTGAGTACAGACAACTCTGCTTATGAATTGAACAGAGTATTACTGACGTTATGATAGCGGTGAGGAGCGATGGCGCAGTGATGGCATCCAGGTTGGCGGGTTGCGCTGTCCACGCGGTGTTGTGGGGACATGGTTCGACAAGGACTTTGATGCACATGGTAAATGTCTCTGTACGAAATGCATGTGAGACATACACTGACTTTGTACACCTATATTTAGGACCTGCTGGGCCCACAGCTTTCTGGAAAGTTGGAGAAAGACCCGCGGATTCAGAAGATGAGGAAAGCGATTCTGAGGATAGCTTTTGGGTTGCAGCATAATCGACTAAATGACATGAAGCGCGAAGATCCACGTATATGCTGTTACATCTCAATATACCTCCATCCCAACGCAGTTGCTGGGAAGTTCTCCACTTCGACTTGTTTCGTTTCCCCTGGTACCAAATCGAACCCGTTGTCACTCAGTTCCGCATATGTCCCCTCGTCGAAGGTGAAACCCTTGACCGGCTTCGAAGCAGAGACGAAAACCGTCGTCTTGTCTTCCGAGTAGCGCAACTCCACGCCTGAATCGGTAAAAGACAGATACTTGATGGGCTCTGGCCAAGCTATATCGCTAGCAACACATTGGTTATTTATGTCCAATGACGCATGAATGACAAAAGGGTCGGCTTTCGATGGATCAAAAGGCGTTTCCGACTGTTGTGGGCTGTGGATGTGGGCGATGTGGTTAGTTAAGACATCGGTTGTCCCATTTGCTGCAATCCGTACTCTCGTGGAAGCTTTTGTGCCTATCTCTTCTCCTGTCTTGATGGAGATGTAACGTATCGTAACAACACCTTCAACCTCTCTTAGGTTACTATTGGCAATCCAGACATCGTGTTCGACGTCCTGCCACAGCTCTCGCATGTCAATATGCCCCGTGTCACGTTGCCACAGTTCATCAGCCGGTCGCATAGTCCAGCTTTGGTACTTGCGCTGCACGCCAATGACGATAGGGCGCATTGCACGCTTGATCGCGTAGTACGCCGGTTTAGGGACGCTATTGTAATCTACAACCGCCCAGGACATGGTAGGCCAACAATCGTTTAATTGCCATACCAATGCACCTCCACACTTGCGGTCACCAGTCGACCTCCATTGGCGGCGCCAGGATTTGTAAGCCCATGACATTGCATCTGCTTGCATAATCTGGGTGAGATGCGTGAAGCTTTCTAAATCATACTTGATACGGAAGTTCTCGGCGACGTAGCTTATGAGCCGTCGCTCATGACCGATCGCCTTGTTGCGGAAGTCCATCGCCATCGATCCTGGGGAGCGATCTTGTGCACTAGTGACGTACTTCTCAATGGTGGATACGTGAGGATAGGCCTCCATTCCGAATTCAGATATAAATCGTCCGCCCATATCGGGTAGTCGTTGGTAGGGCTCCATAGTGCCGTGCCACACATTCCACTGGTGGACGTCACCGATCGTGGGATCAACCTTCAAAACTTTTGACTTGCCGTTGCCGAAAGGTGAACTGGGTTGGTACGGTACGTTTGAACATTCCTGCTTTATTACGTTTGGGAGAAGATGCTCGTAGATGTACCGTGCTGGAAAGTCGCTCTTGAGCCAGGAGTCTGGGTTCTTATCGTCAGAGTCATACTGTAGCCCGTATCGCTCCACAATTTGGTAATCTTCATTGTTCCCTGCCCATAGCACTATACTCGGATGATTCTCCAAACGTCTGACATTTTGCCTCGCTTCAATTTCCACGCTTCGCAAGTAGTCGGTGTAGGTTGGGTAGTTGGCACATGCGAACATGAAATCCTGCCAGATTAACACGCCGAATTCATCAGCAGCATCATACAGTGCATCGGCCTCATAAATACCGCCTCCCCAGACCCTGAGCATTGTCTGGTTACCATCAGCAGTAAGCTTGACCCAAGCGCGGTAATCATCGGAGGTAAGGCTTGTGAGAAGTGAGTCTGCAGGAATCCAGCACGAACCTCCACAGAAGATATCAATGTCGTTGATACGGAAGTAGAACGATGTGCCATGCGGATCTGGCTCTGTGATCAGTTCAGCGCGGCGAAAGCCAAAGTGCTGAATAATGGTGTGAATCGGAGACGGAGCATCCTGGGCGAAGGCATCGATCCTGATGGTGTACAGGGCCTGTTGCCCATAGCCTCGCGGCCACCAGAGCTCAATGCCATCGACGTCAATGACGGCTTCTGCAAGACCTGACTGATTACTGGTGCTGACGATCACGTCTTCTTCTGCCACAACCTCGTAGCTGTCCTTTCTGAAGACCCCGAAGGCTATAGTATCGACATGACCTTCCCAGTCTACGCTCACTTTAACCTTCGCCGACTTCAGATTTTGCGACAGCTCATACTGCACTCCTCGACTTGAAAGCTGGCAAGTCCACGTCTCGATTGACACCGGCTTCCAGGGTCCACATGTCATGAGGATGGGACCCCAATCCCATCCCCAATGGTACTGTGCTTTGCGAACGGGCCCTCGTGAGGTCTCCGTCTGGTGTACGATAAAGCGGTGCTCTTTGTGCTCTTCCACTAGCTCGAGACCCTTTTTGCGCGCTGACTCGAAGACTATTTCTAATACGTTCTCTTCCAACTCAAGTTTGCCTGAGACGTCGGTCTCGTGCTCGATGAACATATTGTCGGACTTCAAGACCATGCCTCCATTCAGATACACTGAGGCAAAGGTATCTAACCCTCCAAAACGAAGTTTGGTGACCGTCTTTGCTCTCGCGTATTCAGACGGCGCAGCGAAGGTGGTGCGATACGTCCATGTTTCATCGCCAACCCAGCGTACTGCAAGTTCATTGAGATCGTTAAAAGGGTTTGCGATTCTTCCGTTCTTGAGAAGGTCGCGATAGATTTCAGTCGGTGCATCGCAAGCCGATAGATAGGCATTAGTAGAGGAGCGGTCGCCCTGCTTGAACGTCCAGCCCGTCGTCAGCGGAGTTGAGGTATGCGGAATTAGCGTCATGGCGTCCGTTATTTGTGAGCTAGGAGTAGGTTTACATGTTGTTGTAGCTGAGTGACGAAGGCTCGGCGGCTTCTGACCCGCACCCGCAATTGCGCATCGGGTAAACGCATGCGGGGTTCTCTCGAGCTTCTGCTCCCAAGACGCTACTATAAACACAGTCAAACGATCAGCACATCATTAGTCAGTTGTAACCGAGGAGAATTTGCTGATATAATCTGAGTAGCATACTGGAATCGTCGGCAGACTACGACGAAGCTAAAATTTCTCAAATTGTACTTCATGCGCTGCTCAGAATCTCAAAGCCTACAAGATCTGGCGCAAAGCTGTCTCCGTAGCCTCTGAACTCCACCGTGTTCTCTGTGCCTTCAACAAACCCATCAACCTCAATGTGGAGCCGCAGGCTTTCTTCCCAGTCGCCACCAGATAGAGGAAAGGCCCATCTCTTCGCCTCAACACCGTTGACCGCGATCGTCATGTTTCGCGCGTTGTCGCCCCATTCCCAAGCAGTAGTGAAGGCGTAGTCGTAGTTGACGAAGTCGACGCCTACGAGATTCTTACCAGCAGACTGGGCGCTAACATTAGCGAAGAGTACGCTGCTGCTGCGATCGATGTACCCGATCTTCGAGCCGGTGGGAAGACATGCTCCGGTAGCACATGAAAGAACATGTGCTGGTCCGGAAAGCGACGCATCGGCGGCGGAGTGGTACGAGTCTGATTTGAGCGGAGCAGCTGCAACTATGTTGGATAGGACCCATAGTCGCAGTTCATGTCCAGCCAGATCAATCGTCTGGGAGCCGGACACAGCACCAAGGTCTTTCGCGGCCCAAACATCGCGCACATCAGCCGAAGCTATGCCTAGTGATGCAAGCTCGAAGCCTACGGTTTGAGAGTCATTCTTCCAGTTCGCGACCCCCAATACTACTCTTGATCCCGAGAGCTTTCCCATCCAGATATCCCACTCTTCTTCAGTGTCCCGACGGACCAGCATTGCCTGCTGAGCAAGTGGATCTTGGTTGATGGCAATGACTTCTTTGTTTTCCAAGATGTCTACAGAGCTCTGACTGATGCGCTCAGGGTCGACTGCAGCGCCGATAATGAGAGGCGATTTGTTGATAGCCCACATCCCAAAATGAAAGCGCTCTTCCTCTTCTGAAAGGGCGTTGAGTCCAACGCTTGGATTGTCAGCAAGAAACCTCACATGTAGGGCGCTTTACTTACATCAGCATGTCCATGTCTGCAAATGCACCAACAGTCGTATGTCTAAAGTATGGCACCACTTGATTCGTGATGCGCCAAATGCTGCGCCACGCATTGTAGATGTCGTTGCTGATTCGCCACGTGTTGCCAATCTTGGCAGCCCATTCTCCAACGTCGGTACCGATCCCCCACTGACAGACATAGTACTTGATGTCACGATCTACTGCTTCTAACTCGGCCGCCATATGTTGGAAGCGTGCTGGAGACTGTGACTCTGCCGAACTGGAGTCAACCATGGTCGTGTTAGAGGTAGAGTAGCAGTTATCATATCTGCACATTGTTAGCAAAATGAAAAACTTGGACAGAGAGTTGTTTCCCAGGTTATACATACTTCAGACTATCTCCTCCCCACTCAGCGAAGCTCTCGGCATCCAACTGCTCGAATCCCAGACTCGCAGGTAGCACTTCTGACCCACATTGCAGGTATCCAGCGCCAGAATAAAGGCCGAAATCCAGTCCCAAACCGTGGATGAAGTCACCGAGTGCTTTACCACCGGATGGAAAGAGGGTCTCATTCCATTGAAGTTTACCCTCAGCATCTCGGTCTTGTGAGTTCCAGCCGCAGTCGACTGTCACGAAGTTGTAACCAACCTTGTCAAGTCCGAGCTCGACAAGTCCTTGGGCGCTTGTTTTAATCTTCTCCTCAGAAGGGAAGCAGTTCCAAGTGTTATAAGAATTCCATCCCATAGGAGGTGTGGGCGATCTGACCGTTCTGGCTGCGGCTTGCAGGGCGAGACATGCCGACAGGAGTAGTGTAGTAGCCATCGTGATGAGACTTCAATGCTGAGAACAGCGAGCGAGCACACTTATATTCATGGTTCCATTATAAGCTTAATATCCGGCGGTCGCTATGCTACATGCTGGATGACCTCACAGCAAGCAGCGTTACCTCGCCATGGCGCGGGCGACGGAGAAATTGGTCGCGATGCATCAAGTCCCACCTCTTGGCCTGCATCGTCTGGTATAGCGCCGCAACTCGAAGTAGCGATCAACGTGTATACGAGGTGTTTTACAGGGATGGAGGCTTTGTATTCTGGGGTAGGGTGAGAAGAAGATCCGACGTTTGCCCGTGAGGAAGCGAAGGGCGCCCTGAGCCGGGTGACGGAAGCTATAGGTACCCCGCCTAACTTCGCGCGACCAGCCCGATCCGGTAGCCGCGGCCTAATGTCGAAAGAGGCTGCCAAATCACTCCCTACGCAAGCGGACAATGTCGAACTGAGCAAACATGCCAGCGCATTAGAGTATGGAATTACTGATGCGTCAGCCCTCATCGAATACACGTCGTTTACGCGCTCGCAGCGACGGCAACTACAGCTGCTACTTGGTCTGGCAGCTATCACGCTGCCCCTAACAGCGACCATCTATTTCCCCCTCCTGCCTCTTTTGCGCAGACACTTCCATGTTTCGGCGCAGGTCATCAACCTTACGATCACCCTTCATATCGTCTTCCAAGCCATTTCGCCGGCCTTATCTCGGCGTTTTTCAACAGGAAATGTTCTCACCTTGTAGATTCATAGGTCATTCTATACCGTGGACTACTCCTTCGTGGCAACCGGTCTTGAAATCTACAACAAAGTATAGCATTGGAATGAGCTTCCAATTGGCCTACCGTATGTACCATGGGGTGTTGATATCACTGCTGGAATTTACCTCACTCGTAAGCTCATGGACTAAAAGTTATTGTGCAACTGCACGCAGCATTAACATGATGATGCAATGCACTATGGCTGCGACTAGCGTAACGGTGTCACAACCTTTGCTAAATGCTGCTGGTAGAGGCTGGTACGTTATGGTCTCAGGGCTGTGGAGCGTGGTGTCATCAGCATTGTCCGTCGCACTACTAAGATGGAATGGGCTTCCAGTGAAGGAAGGTACGTGGTTCCGCAGCTCCTGGTATCAATCCCTAGTCAGAAAGGAAACTATCCATGCACACTGTCAGTTGCTTTATCAAATATTTGTCCTAGGGCAGAGAAAATAACATAAGGTAACTTTCCATATGTTGAGTGGTATAACGATGCTACAAGGGGTAGGCACGCCCTTGCTGCGGCACAGGTAGCAGATTCATCGAACTTCCACTTGCTGCATGCTGTTAATCTCACCGTATCCCATTGCTCAAAGTCTGTGTTGAAGCAGCTCTCAGGTCCGTCATGCTCAGAAATTCAAAGCTTCTTTCCTTTGTGGACGGAGCATGCGACCGATCTCACAAAGAAGACATCACAATCGATAGCAACATCTTGACACCATTCCCTTTTGGTACAAAACTACTTTCAGACAGCCATTTCGGTGCTTCAAAATGGGCCGTAGCAACAGCGCGGATACACTTTCGCCTACTAGACAGCCGTTGTGACTAGGGATGAGAGTCAGATTAATTGCATTGTGACTAGTCAGTCTATGAAGTAGAATATCCTTCCTATTCGACCAAACAACATCCAGAGTTTTCTACGTAGCTACTGGCGGCTGTGGCCACTTATCCAACACCGTTTCCTCGCCTGTAATCTTAAGCTTGATTTCCGCCTGCGTAGGCTCATCAAGTAGCAGCGTGTACTCTCCCGGATACAAGACGGTGTTACCCATCTGGTCGACCCGCGCCAGCGTGCCGAGCGTGAGGGAAAGCGATGCCATCTTTGTTTGGCCGCCGGAAATATCTCTCAGTCGCGCGTAGGAAACCAGAGTCTTGAGTGGGTAGGGCTTTGGTCCAGCCTCGCCCTTGACGAATGCTAGGGCGACGAAATCAGATGTGCGGTTACCCTTGTTCGTCACAGCAACCTCTAGTGGAGGAACATCGCATAGATCAGAGTACTTTTGCGTGCAATTGCTCATCATGTCCTGGATGTTGTAGGTCAGGCTTTCGCCACTGCTGAAGTTGGCTGCAAATGTGGTGTAGTGTAAGCCAAAACCAAATGGCTGTACGGATTGGTTGTACCAGCGATAAGTACGACCAGGGCTGATGGCATCAGGGCGCAGATTCATATCCAACATGGAGAGGTTCGTGTAGCTTGCGGGATACTGCGTGATTGGTAGACGGCCGGCGACTGCATGCGCGCCAGAAATGACTTGCATGACCGCTGATCCACCGTCTTGACCGGGCCAGTTCGCCCAAATAACCGAGTTGACACCTTCCATGGACAGAAGAGGTGAGTTGTCGACCATGTCGCCCAGCACAACGACAACAAGGGGCTTGCCGAGCTGAGCCAACTTGGTAATCAGTTCGACTTGTGCGCTAGGCCAGCTGATGTCGGTACGATCGAAACCCTCTGCTGCTGCTGAAGTATCCAAGCCGCCGAAGTAAATAATGTAGTCGGACCCCTGCGCTGCATTGAGCGCATTCGTCGTCCAGTTGTCTCGAGCACTTGAGTTCTGCAAGATAGGACCTGTAGCGATTGACATGTTCAAACCAAGTTGCGTACCAGCATAAACCGGCGTACGCAGGTAGGGAGCAGGGCCGCTATAGATACCAGACAGCTTTGAAGAGTCGTTAGCCCAGAACCCGATCATGGCGACGTTGGTCCCATTGGAGAGTGGCAGTGGAAGCGTATCATCGTTCTTGAGCATGACTAGACCTTCTGATGCGATTTGCAGAGAAAGTCGCTGTGCCTCCGGCGTGTTAACATCTTTAATGCCCAAGTTTGCATACACAGCTCCAGCGCCATCAAAGTACCCGGCGCGGACTAGCCCTTCATATTGACGTATAAGAGCCCTGTCTACAGTGGAGATATTCATAAGTCCTTGGCTCCAAGCTCCAGGAATATCAGAAGATCCTGAGTACTCGCAGCTGTTGTCCATGCCAGCGTTGAACGCCACCGCTGTGCCTTCGGCTAGCGTGTTGGTGTAATTGTGGTTCTCAGAGATATCGGCGACTGCCTCACAATCACTGGTGATGTAATTGTTACTATCCGTCCAATTCCAGTGATCGCGCAAGATGGTCTGGAGAACATATGTATCGGCACAAGTGGGGACACCATTGACCGCGTTGTAGGAACACATGAAGGATCCGACTTTCGAGTCTCGTGCGCATTGCTGGAATGGCGGCATGTAGTACTCTGCCAGATCTTGCATCGAAATCTTGGCGTCGAAATGATGGCGGTCGGTGCCTCCCCAGGCCTCCATGTCGTAGCCAACATAGTGCTTGCACGTCGCAATGATCTTCCGTTGAGCTTGGTTACCCTCTAGTCCTGCGAGTAGGCTCTTCGTGTAGCCCTTGATTCGGAGTATGTCTTCTCCTGGCGTTTCTGAGCCCCGACCCCAGCGAGGATCGCGGAATGGGTTGATGTCGGGAGTCCAGAAGTCTACCGGGGCTACACCGCCATTACCGAATGCACGCGCCTCGTTTCCAATGATGTTGGCGATCTGGTAGATGAGGTCATCGTCAAAGGCGGCTGACATGAGCAAAGGCATGGGGAAAGAGGTAGCATTCGTGAACGGTTTGGTGAAGTTGATTCCTGGGGCTCCAGCTACACCGTGCAATGCTTCTCCCCACCAATTGTAAGCTGGAAGGCCGAGTCGAGCGGCACCCTTGGATTTACTATATCCATTAGCTTGGTGGATCATGAGACTCGCAGTGAACACCTACCTCATCAGATTATCGAGCTTCTCTTCGGTTTCCATCGCCGCGACAAGAGCTGCTGCCCTCTCGGTTGGCGTGGCATTGACATCGCAAATCTTGTTGTCCTTCAACGGGCCATTGACACAGTCAGGACCGATCGCGTAGGTGGTCGACAACAATGCAGCACCAAGCAGAAGGATAGATGATGTGGAATGCACCATGGTTACGACTTGTAAACTTCTGTTGCTAGACGATACAGGTACATCTTCTTGAGACAGCCGACCCTTTATGACTTCCCCGCGGTACCACTACCCAAGACCATCGAGTTGCCAAGGCACTGAATTAAGCCGGAACAGAAGCCGACGATGCACTACCCAGCCTCTGCTCAAGGACATGATGACAATTGACCGTGCTACCCCGCGTATACGAGCCCCGGATCTACATGGTGTTGCTCCATGATCGACCCGTGATAATAGACGACATTCAGCCACCGGCTTCAACAGAACATGATACGCATGTCATATCGCATCACTTTACATGTATTCGCATCACCCGTAGTGCCTCGGTTGAACTTTAAGCGACTGTTGAATTACAGCCGCAACGCTCGAGTAGCGTAACGGCGAGTAGCTAACAAAGGGATAGTTCGTACACGCCTGGAAAAAATCGGCTGTAAGCAATGCAGCCAGCGCTTAGCTGCCTTGGCCGTCCATGGACTTCTTTGGAAAGACTTTGCTGCTCAAATCGAACACGGGCAGCGGGCATGGGATCCCAACGGCTTCGCAAGCGGTAAGAATTGCAAGGTACCAGCCAGATATCAGGCCTAAAAAGCCAAACCCTCCCGCGCAACGTAGCAAGGTGTTGATGTGTTCAAGATCGGCTTCCGTGGTGGCAGATGCGACAGAGAAGTCTGCGGCAGCGATGAAGGCGAAGAGCATGACGAGACCAAAGAATGTGGCGGTGAAGAAGAGGTTGACACGAAGCGTGCCGATCAAGAAGACAAAACTAGCGAGTACCCTGCATGATGGTTAGATGTCGGACAAAGCTGCATACAGTGAGTGGGTGAGCCATCTTACATTGAGACGTTGTGGAAGCCTTGAGATGAGTTGTAGGCTGCGCCATTTGCGCCTCCTAGTTCGGCGAATGCAGAGGTAGTCTGGTGTATAGGATCTTGCTGATACGCCAGACTACCCCAATGGCTACCGTAAATGAGGAAAACCGCCATAGGGAACGCTAGCACAGGTCAGAATCGAACAAACAGCACATGGAAAACTACATACTGTTACCAAGGACAAACTCGGCAATACCAGCGACATTCATGGCCAAGGCGCCGAAGAAGTAGTAGTCGGCACTGAGGCCGACCAAGCTCTGCGGAGCGACGGCTCCCTGGAAGCCGCAGAGGATCAGGATGGTCGAAGTATATGGCACCAAAAAACCGATGAGACCCAGCAATGTTGGATTGGCAAACCGTTTTGCGAGATCTCCACGGCGCGGGGCAGACGGCTGGAAGAAGAGACGCTCATACTGCTCGGGAGACAGAGCTACAGTGACCTGGCGGCTCAATGGCGAACCGCTGCCTGAAATTCCCATGCCATTGTGCTCGGTCATCTCGTGATCGATCTTCGCAGTCTCAGTCATGGTGGAAGGAAGTTGACCCTTTTAGTGTTGACGATGGTAGGATCGCGAGCGGGATGAAGAGGCAGAGAACAAGGGTTGTGAAGAAGGACTGAGGGTGTGTGATTGTATCTTCGCAGGGGGCGATATGATGACTATATCGTGACACCAGGCGATCTGTCGTGCAGACGAAATACGGTACGCCTCCGACAATCCAGATCTTATCGTCATCTCTCGATCGAACCGAGGCATATTCCCTATGAACGGCAACACATCCCCAGACTTCTCCATTTCTCCGCACCCAACTCCATACTCGCTACACTGTCCGAGCACGGCACGGGTTGCAGTGTCATGTTCGATTGAGCCCGAGAGCCTGGGACGCACTGGTTGGTGGACGGTAGGCAGGACGGCAGATCAAGCGTTGTCAAGCGTGCGAAGCATTGCGTTCCGCGGACTCGGCAACGTCGCGCTAGGCAGAGAAGAGGCAATAGGCCGCAAATGACATCAGTAGCGGACGCCTTCCGTTTCCACAGCCGGTAGTGCTTTCTCTATTTCTCCAAGGTAGGAAATTCATGGCTATAATCTTTTGATTTAGGTACGCCGTAAGTTGTATACGCACTAGAACGTATTGTATTTGCCTGTTCATCATAGCGTTGAAGGCATTTTTCGTCCACCGGATGCGCACTCCGCTTCCAAGCTTCAATCTTCCGCTTTTCGTCCAGAATAGCGGCATTGTTCGGGTCAGCAAGAGCCGTTGTGTCGATTGTGTCGAACTGCAAGTGGGATAATGGCCGGCTCTCCCTACGATCTCATGAACTTCGCATATCGAAATCTACTCTTCGTCTGTTGTGCCGAGGAGGGCTTCCATGAGTGCTTAACCCCCTGGTATCCTTCCTGGGTACTAGTTCTCATAGCATCGTAGGCGTTTCGGGTGCCGGGCATGATATGGCGGTGTCTTTCTTGCAACCACTTGATTACGATGGTCACCATGTCCAAGTTAGGTGTAGTATAACTCTGCAACCTTTGCTATGAATGAAGAACCGCCTTGTTAAACGAGGCGAGTCCATGAAGCCTACCGCAGTGCGCTTCGTCGATGTCGCTTTTTGACTTCAGATCACTGCTCTAGACAACCACTCTTTCTTTGCTTGAACAGTCTTGTGCCCTGAGCCTTTCCCGCTGTTGATTACTACAAAAGCGCGTTGGTGTCGTCGAAATTGTCTCGTGTAAAGTCCGTTATAGCTGGCTGCAGGAAAGATTCGTAGACTATGCCACTAATGGTGACGCTGGGCATATCACGAAACTCTCGGCGGAATGGTTTCAATGATTCTTCTTATATTTTCATAGAGGGGAAGTATGTCATTGGGGCTCCCAGTTGATACGGTGGGCGTCTGGCGACCGGTGCGAGGTTGATGGTTTATGTCATCACAGTTTAGTAATCTTCCAAACGCCCGTCTCCTTGCAGAATAGCGTGACATGGAAGTTCAAGATCGAGGAAGTGAAAGGCAGGCATTTCTGCAGATTGTTTGAGCCTGTCCAAGATGGGACGTTGGGGTTGTAGTCAAGGTTGCAGAACATATCGTGCGAGGCTCGCGCTATGGAGTGGTTGAGTGGGCATTTCTATCTGTCTGATACATTGCAGATTGGTATCATTACCGCAGTTTGACGGGTCCTTGTGCCAAACGAACAATGATTGAAGTTTGTTGGATGACTTTATTTACAGGCTTCCATTGGGTCTCTTGTACACTGGAATCGATGCTTCCGGATCGTATCTGGACTGAATGATCTTACTGCCCGGTGGGAAAGTCTTTTTGGATCCATCGGGCAGTTCGATTTCCTTTCGCGCGTCGTCCGCTATCATCCACGCGCTCTTCAGGCCCGCCTGTCTTGCAATATTTTCTTTCACCCGATACACGATTTCGGGTCGTGGGACAAAGTTGCTTATGTCTTCCAGGGCAGTACTCTCCTCTAGCTCATCAGGCGTAGCTGTAACCCAGGTTGGGTTCATGTATCGCTCTTTGATGTGGTCAAAACCTACACAGAAAAGTGTTTCCTGATCAAAGTCATCAGGAGTTGGGTAGGGCACATCGACAGCGTCCATGGCTTCGCGAATGTCCGTATTGGCGATACTGTAATTGGTGTACTGGATAACAACATCGCGGATGTCCATGCGTACCTTGTAAAGAGTGTTCAGGCTCTCGGCTTGTCCATCTTTGATATCATCTTCGTCAGCAAAGCGGTCGAGATACCAGATGCCGCCATCATCCGGCGTTCGGGAGTCGATGACAAGTAGGGGGTCTGCTTCAAGATAGGCCCGCCTCAGTTCCACATGCGAAAGATCTGACCATTCGCGCCTGTCGCTGATGAAGAGCTCTTCTGCAGGGCTCGGAGAGCACATGGTAGCGCCGATACCGAACAGCTCTTGCACTCTGTCGAGCTGAGCGGGTGTAAGATCGGCGGTAAGGATAGCGAAGAGACGCTTCTTGGCGTAGTATAATGCAGGGTTGTAAACCATGGCTGTGGAGTTGCTCTGCAAGTGAGTATCATACAACTCGAGGAGAGCGGATCTTCCATGTCTTTAATGGTCGCAGCTGCATGGTTACCAAATTGTCAGCACGGAACCTCATCTCACGCCTGATCAACCTTCAAGGCTACACAGGATCGTCCCAGGCTCGAAACTGTTCCCATTGGACGAAATGCTGACAGTGTGAAGAAGGGAAGAAGTTAGTGCCGGATGCCTAGATTGTGATGAACCTTGAACTCAATGTTAGGTATTAGTATTGAGACAAAGGCAGTTCCATTTACGCGTTCAAAGTGGCCAATGACGTAAAAGCGGGTTTGTAGCATGGATGTCTTGTGTCCCGCGTTGATGCCTTAACATGTTCCTGGCTATAGTATGCGTAGTGGGGGAGCTGCAAGCCACTATGATCGGAGCCTGAAGATGGGCTGCATTGGCTCCATCAGTTCCGGCCCACGTTGACGCCGAACATCAATACAGGTCAATGCAAGGTGATAAGTCCAACGTGTACTCTCTTCAGTGGTCGGGACTGTGATGATGGGCGGCGAGAGTGAAACTGGGTGCTGATGCTGGGTGTGTTGTCGTTGTCTGTCTCGGCGGGTGTTGAAGCTATGAGACCCTGCTTTTGCCATCCCCACATACATCTTCCAGCCCGGCGCATGAGGAAGTCGCGACCATAGCGCGACAGCTACTACTATCCTCTTCTATTCCACAACTACCAGGCCGTCGATTCTCGCACACCCCACCTACAGTAGTGTGAGATTCAGAGTGCATTGATCAGCATAGACCCCTGAATCGTCGCGCCGAATGGCCACGACTCCCCCGGCTCGCGACAGAGCTTCTTCGGAAAGCTTGCCAGTCGGGAGTCCGCTCCCCAAGAAACTGCCCGCCCCCTCAACGCCTACGAGTTCAATCCGTCGCAAGATGGCTGCCAATGCGCCTTCGTCAGCCTCCAAAGATGGTGTTCCACCTCGTCGACCGACTGCATCCAGTGGCACTGCTGCGAGTGCCCGTCGACCGGCTGCGGCATCAACAAGCACCGCGAGAACAGCCACGAACGCGTCAAAGGCCCCCACCACGGCGACATCGCGCACGAGTACAGTCGGATCCAGCTTGAATAAGCCGCCAACGCGTCCAGCGACAGGGACTACAGCCCGTAGAACCATCTCGTCTTCCAAAACCACATCGGATGCAGAGCCAGACCTTTCATCTGTCACTTCGGGCGATGAGAAGAAGAGAACCACAGTGCGCCGGACGCCCGTCACACCAAGTGCTTCGCGACCATCGCCGGCCAAGCCAACGTCGCGGCAATCCATTGCGCCCTCTACCACGACGACTGCAGCCAAGCGTCCCGCAGCAACGCGCCCATCCGCAGACGCAGCGACGACCCGCGCAACCCCACGTGCCTCCCTTGCTTCATCCACACGGCCGACCCCTACTCGACCCACTACTGGAGCACGAGCTGCCGGCGCAACACCAAAGGTGCCGTCAGGCAGCGCGAAGAAGCTGTCCGTCTCTGCCCCTCCACCCCCAGCACAGGAGACCGAAGATACAGCAGAGGAAGCGTGAGTGACACCATGAACACTACAGTAGCCATGTTTTAATTCGTCCGCAGAGAAAGCCCCGTCATTATATCTCCTCGCCGCCATGCTCCCCTCAAAGACAAAGCGGCGTCGGACAACGAAGCCGGAAACCGCAGGAGCGCTCTCGAGCCCATCAGGGCATCGCTGGCGAAACTCGGCGAAGAGTCGCCGCGACCGGATACTGCGCCGACGGGACGTGCCGAGATGGATGTGGAGATGAAAAGGCGGAGCGCTCAGATCATGCAGGACTTCTTCAAGGAGACCAGCTTACGCGACAAGCTGCAGGAGCAGTGCGAAGACCTCACCCGTGAAGTCGACAACCTACATTCCGAAAAGGACAAGTTGCGCAAACAGTTGGCGGATGCTCAGGCCGCCATCGTCGAAAAGGACAAGGCCATCTCAGGCGGCTCAGATGCCTCGCCATCACAGCACCGCGCCCACACAATCCTCGTCGAGGACATGGAAAAGAAGTTTGCGAGAGAGACCAAGCAGTTGGAAGAGCAGAGCCAACAGCTCGAGGAGGAGAAAAAGTTGGCCCAGGAGAGAGAAGCTACTGAAGCTGCCAAAGCCAGCGAGCTGCAGCAGGTCCTTGACGATCTAAATGCCGAGTTGGAACAACAGGGCCGACAGTGGGACGAGGAGAAGAAGAGGCTTGTTGAGCAAGCCACGCAGATTGAGGAACTCACCCAGGAGGTTACCACACTTCGGCAAGAGCGCGACAGCCTTTCGCAAGAGCTGAATATTGCCAAGAAAACACTGGAAAACCTCGAGACGAAATTCACAGAGCTCGAGCAGAGCCAGTCGGACAATCTCCGTGCGCGCGATGCTAAGATCACCGAGCTGACCAAGACTGTCGACGAGTACGTGGAAGAAGTTGCCTCTCGGGAGGAGAGACACAACAACGCCCTGCAAGAAGCACAACGATCCCTCGAATCAAAATCATCCGAGTCTTCGGCTGTCGTTGAGCAACTCCAATCCGAAATCGAATCGATACACCAGAAGCACACGGACGAATTGCGCCTCAAGGAAGAGACAATCGCATCGCACCTCCAGACCCAAAAAGAGCTACAAGACGATATTGCCAAATTGCAAGAGCGGGCCGACCAAGTGTCGGCAGATCTAGAAAAGGAACGTAATGCGCACGCGGAACAGATGCAAGCCAAGATCGAGGAGCTACAGAAGAGTTCAGAGGATGAGCTGCGGGCGAGAGAAGACGAGCTTTCCAGCCATCTCAAGTCCATCGATGGCCTTCAGGAACAGATCGTGGCGCTCCAGCAAGGCTCAACTGATGGCGCCAGAGTAGCTGAAGAGCTCCACAAACAAATTCGAGATCTGAAGGAGTCACACGAAGCTGCAGTCAAGGTCAAGACTGATGAGAGTGACGAGCTTGTCCGACAACTGGATGCCATGAACGATCAGCTTACCACCGATGCTGCCGAGGTCGAACAGCTTAGAGAAGAGACAGCTAGTCTGCGCAGCACCATCGAGACACTCGAAAAAGCCTCTCAGCAGCAGGAATCTCAATACGCTTCCGATATGGCTAAAGTTCAAGCTGAGTTGAACGAAGCGAACAAGAAGATGGAGGCACACAAAGCAGAGCTTGACACGATGCATAACAAGCACAAACAAGATCTCCGCGTCATTGGTGAGGACTACGAGCTTGAGATTGAGTCGCTGAGAGCAGATCTGGAAGGAGACGCCACGAAGCGACTCAATGCTCTGCAAGCTGATTACGACTCACTTGTTGCTGAGAAGAATGATACCTTAAAACATCACGAGGAGACACTTGCTGATCGATCCAGTGAATTGGAAGCTCTGAAGAAGGAGCTGGCGGACGCCAAGGACAACTCCGCTCTCGCAACACAAAATCGTGATGATGCTCTTGCCAAACTCAAGGATACCGAAGAGGAGAAGGCCGCTCTCGCGGAGGCTCATGGCACTTCCCAGTCACTAGTCATTGATCTTCAAGCCCGCGTCGATGTCCTCACCCAGGAGGTTGCTGCTGTCGAAGGTCTCCAGTCTAAACTAAACAGGCTGGAGGAGGAGAAGGCAGCTACAATAGATGCACACACTATGTCTCAGTCAATTATTGCCGATCTACAAGCTCGTCATGACTCCTTGTTGGAAGACAAGACTTCAGCTGAAGATGCTCATAGTCGTGCTATCGAAGCTTTGAAGCAAGAATCCGAGAGCCAGTCGAAACAGCTACTCGGTGAGCTGCAATCTAAGTATGATGCTCTGTTGGCAGAGCAGAAGGCTGCCGAGGAGGAACACCACAGCGCCATCCAATCTTTGAAGCAGAATGCTGATGCCGCTTCCAAGCAAAAGATCGATGAGCTTCAATCCAAGTACGACACTCTGCTACAGGAGAAAACTGCAGCCGAGGATACACATGAACAAGCCATGGAATTTCTGAAGCAAGACTCTGAAACGCGGTCAAAGCAAATAACCACTGAACTGCAATCGAAGTACGATGCTTTGCTAGAAGAGAAGGAGGCCGCCGAGGACGAATACCGTAAGACCATCGAATCTCTGAAGCAGAATGCCGATGCTTCTTCCAAACAAACAATCGACGAGCTTCAATCCAAATACGATACTTTATTACGCGAGAAGACTGCAGCCGATGAAGCGCATGAAAACGCCATGGAAGCCTTGAGGAAAGACTCAGAGAGCACGTCGAGACAACTTCTTGAAGAGCTTCAGACCAAGTACGACGCACTGTTAGAGGAGAAGGCAGCGACTGAAGCAACACACTCGCAGACGATAGAAGCTTTGAAGGCGGAGTCGGAGAGCACGACCAAATCAATTCTAGGCGAACTTCAGACCAAATACGATACGCTGTTAGAAGAGAAGTCTGCAGCAGATGAGGAGCATAGCCGCGCTATCGTGCACTTGAAGGAGGAAGCAGATGACACGTCCAAACAGCTACTGGCCGAGCTTCAAGCCAAGTACGACCAAGTGCAAGATGACATGAAGAGCACATCTGAAGCTTTGAATGCTTTGCAGTTGAAGTACGATGCCATCACAGGGGACATGAACAGCAGTGTAGGGAGCTACAAAGCTGAAATTGAGAGTCTACAGAGTAAGCGGGATGAGCTCTCTAAGCGGCTTTCAGACCTTGAAAAGAACCACGCAGATACGCTCACCGAGCAATTGATGACTCAAGAAACGCACGCCAAGACACTCGAAACGCAACAAGCTGAGATCGAACAAAAGTATGCTAGCTTGCTAGAGATCATGCAAAGCGATGCAGATCGACTGGAGCAAGAGAAATCAGCGGCGCTGTCAGGAAAACAGTCTGCCCTCAATGAGCTTGCTGCTCTTAAGAAAGAGCTGAACGCTGAAATTGATGAACTCAAGAAAGGACAATCCACGAGAAATCAGGTTAGCCCAACCGGAACCGATGAGATAGCCCAGAAATACGAGAACCTTCTCGCCGAGAAGGCTGTCGCCGACAAGGAGCATCAGGAAGCCATGGCAAAGCTCAAGGAAGCGCTCGCGCAGGACCATGAGCAGGCACTATTGAAGCTGCAATCTGAGTATACCGCGCTACAGGAAAAGGCCGCCAGGACAGATCAAGAGCAAAGTGATGCTATCGAGCTACTGAAGGAGGAATTCAGGGCCGGCCATTCAAACGACATGCAGGCCCTACAGCAGCAGCTTGAAGCTATGCAGAAACGACACTCTGATCTTACGGAGCAGAAGGCATCCATAGATCATGCACATGAGGAAGCTATCAGTGAGCTGATGGTGGGTATGGAGGCTAGCACCACCGACGCTTTGCAGCAACTGCGGGAGAAATACGATGCTCTCGCCGCTGAGTTAGAAGCAGAACGTCTCCATCATGCTAGCGAGCTCGAAGCTGTAAGACGAGAGGCAGCTGAACAGCAAAGCCGAGATAAAGACACGGCAGGGCAGAGCCAAAGTCCAGAGGCTGTCGATACCTCCGCATCGGATGCGGCGATATACGAAGAAAGGCTTCGCGTACTTGAGCGGGAGCGGGATGAAGCCATCAGGGCTGCTGAAGAAGCAGAGGATCGTATCGATACCATGAAAGGCGAGGTTGTGCGCAAGCATCTAGCACGCGTCGAGCCTCTGGAGAAGGAGAACGCCTTTCTTACCGACAAAATCGACCGCCTTGAGGCTATCATAGCCGCTGGCGATCGTATCGCTCGTGCCGCAGCCACCCTAGGCGAGAAGCGCAACATCAACACTCTGGCCGAAGAAGACGAAGATGAAGCCGAAGACGCTTGGCCTGGTGCTCAACCCCCTAGACTAAACGGCACCGGTGACCACAAAGACGTGGTCGGAACTGTAAGTTAAACCCGGCCCTGTATGTGATTTTTTTTGCTTTTACTCGTCGCACATGAGATACAGACAGCTAATCTGCCGCTAGCAGATAGCAGCTATGCAAGAGTCTCTAAAGCAGCTCGCTGAGCTGAACAACGAAGCAATCTCCGAGAGCACCATGACGGCCCAGAAACTCACCATGGACCAAGATTAGTCCTTTGGTTCAGCGTTGAAGGTCTGTGGCAACGTACGAGTGCTCATGACGCGCATGCTTTTTTCTCTTCTTCGACACTTATTGTTATAATGCTTGTTCCTCACTCTTCGCCATTCTCAGCATAAATTTGCTTTATTTAGATCATGGCACTATACCCATCTCAATGTACTATCGTCGTTTATGAAGACCTTTCTATTACCAAGATACCTTGTGAAGTTTTGACCTTGAACGTGTTTGTTGTCTTTGGTAGTTTCAGTATGGTCCGACCTGGGTTCATCGCGAAGGATTCACGAGTTAGCATGCAATCATCAAGATGTTATGTACGGAGAAGAGAACGTGTATCAGTAAAACATGATAGGAGAAAACGGACGATATTGAACAAAGTCATGATGGATATTTGATGAACTTTACAAAGGCGCAGCCAACAGAATCGAAGAAAGTATATATATACAAGAAGCTTTTCCTCCTTACTCATCATCACTCAAAAGATGTCTTTCTCTCATGCTCTAAGACTGGTAAGAGTCCAAGAAGCTAGCCCTTCCGAGCTTCTGGGCGTGAATGTGCTCCCGCACAACGACAGGGCTGACTGGCTTGTGGCCAGCCAACGCGCGCCTGGTCAGGCTGTCATGACGACGGGAGACAGGCGCAGAGCGGCCGCGGTTGGAGTCGGTTGCCTGGAGGCACTGCGAGTAGTAATCATTCTGTACTACGCACTTCCAGCCATTGGCACATGTGGTAGGACCAGTGAAGCCTGTACCACCGCAGCGTTCGTAAGCTCCGGCAGTAGCGGGCTGAGCTGGCTCAGCAGGTGAAGGTGTTGTAGCAGGGGCAGACTCGGCCGGCGCTGAGGGAGTCGAAGGTCCGGCAGGCGAAGAAGCAATAGGGGAGGCAGATTCAGCAGGTGCTGCAGACTCGACGGGTGCCGCGGATTCTACAGGTGCGGCGGTGGGGGCGGCAGGCGAGCCTGTACCGATGGGTGCTGCGGAAGAAACAGCGGGAGCTACGGGGGTCGCAGCAGGTTCGCTAGAGCCGGCAGCCTCAGGGACAGCAGGAGTAGTGCCACTAGCGGGGCTATCACCAAGCGCAAGGATGCGGGCAGCAGCAGCCTCAGCGGCAACCATGACGATAGCTTGAGTGTTACCGGTAGGAAGATCGGGGTGGATGGAGGCATCGACGACGAACAAGTTGTCGGTGCCATAGACTTTGGTGTCGGTGTCAACAACAACACCAGCATCGCCCTTGGTTCCCATCTTAGCTGTACCGACGTAGTGGCTTCCGGTCTTGAAGGTCTTAATGAGATCCGCGCCAGTGACGTTGGAGACACCGGTAGGGGCAATCAGGGACAGAGTGGAGTTGCCGCCTTGTGTCATGGCAATCAAACGGTCCATCATCATGGTAATGGCTTCAGTGTCGACGTCCGAGGTCATGTGAGGGTTGGTGATGAAGGTAGTAGCGCCGTCAGCAGTGATACCAAGGCTACCGACAGACTGCAGACCGTGGGTGATATAGACCTTCATCTGGATGGTGTTGTCGGCAGGGGAGTTGCAAGTACCCTGGAAGAAGATCTCGCTGCCATCAGTGGTGTTGACAGATGACCACCAGTTCAGACGTTGACCAGACTGTGCGAGCATACCAGATCCCTTAGCGAACAGGTCGATAGTAGTCTGGTTGGGGCTAGTGAGAGCCTCCTCGTCAGTTCCGGAGAGAGGTGTGCTGGTGTTGAACTTGACAGTGAAGATGGGGTGGTCCTTGATCTCAGCACCGACAGGGAGGTCGATCCAGTCAGCTTCATCGGGGAGAGTAACACCGCTGCTGCCGCTAGCAACAGTCTGGAGCTGGTCGGCGGGACCAATACCAGAGTTGAAAAGGATACGGGGAGTGGACATCGATCCGGCCGCAAGGATGACACTGCCTCCAGCATTGACGTTGTAGATGACGCGCTTGCCATCTGCGGTCTCGACCTCGATACCAGAGACGGCCGATCCGTCACGAACAGCGCGGACGACGTTGGTGTTCATCATCAACTCGAAGTTGTCAAGCTTTTGGGCAAGGGGTAGGTAGGTCCTGACGACACCAGAGCGGAGACCGTTGGCAACGTTCCAGGTGGGGTGACCGTAGACGTCGACCTTGGCGTTGGGGTCCTTCACGAAATCGGTCTCGGTCCATCCCTGGCCGGCGAAGAACTTCGACAAGACGTCGTAGGCGCCATCATCGTAGCGAATACCATCCTCTGAGCCGTAGGTCTGTCCAGGGTTGCGTTCGTACAGGCGATCAGCCGCCTCGGCGACATCAGCCCACTTCCAGCCAGCAGGCCACTTGTCGTCGAAGTCACGCTCCTGAGGCTTGACGTACATCATAGCATTGATAGCAGTGCTACCACCTAGAAGACAGCCAGACATGTCCGCAGTGTCGGCGCAGTAAGCGGGGCTGCCGACATCACTGAGGTAGTAACCGTATCCAGGAACATCATACATCGAAACAGTCTCGTTCCAAGGCATGACCTCGGTCTTGCCAGTGAAAGCGTATGATGGGCCACCGCGTTCGACCAAGAGGACGGACGCACCGCTCTCTGCGAGCCTCTCCGCAGCGATGATACCAGCAGCACCACCTCCAGCAACAATGTAGTCGTATGTAGCGTTCGCAACAGTGGCTGTGGTGTTTCCACCAACTGGGGCTGCTGGAGCAGTCGAGTTGCCTCCAGATACGGGTGTGGTAGAGTTACCTCCGCTAGGGGTGCTAGCTACCGCCATGGCAGCCCACTTCTCGAAATCGGGGCTAGTAGCGTCGCTCATGGGCAGTCCAAAAGCTCCGAAGCCAGCGTCATGGTAGTTGAGAGCCGCTCCAGCATCGGTCGAGTCGGCAAGCGCTTTGTTGGAGTAAGCCCAGCCCATGATGTTAGTGCTAGGGGCCTCGTAGATGACGAGGCCGGTGGACGGATCCTCGCTGATGCAGTTGGAGCACAGGAACGTGTATGAGAAGGCGGTGTCGTTGACGAAGGTTCCGTCGGGGATCGGAGACATGGTGAAGTCACCAGTCTTGACAGCTGGGTTTGTGTATCCAGTCGCCTCTCTGAAGGAGGCGATGACCTCGCCCTCGTGAGGCCAAGCAACAACTAGCAAGTTGCCAGTCATAGATTGTCCCTGGTTTTGTCAGTGTGCGATTTCCACAACATCGTTTGCTTCCAACGTACCATGCTGAATCCAGCCCAACCACCATCGTTGGTGATAGGGGCTTGGACCTGGACGATGAAGTCGGTAGTAGCCTTTTCCGGTAAGGCATAACCCAGTCTGTAGCCCGACGAGTGGTGAAGACCGCTGAAGGTGATGCCAGTCTTCTCATCAGTGAACTTCGAAGATGTTTGCGCCGAGACGCCAAGTGCTAGAAGGGCAGTGGAAAGAAGGAATGAGCGTGCCATTTTGGCAGTAAGTATGTTGATTGAAATGGAGGAAAGAATGGTGTGGCGCTGCCAACAAAAGAGTGTGAAGCCGTCAAGGCTGTAAAGAATGACTGGAAAGCAACGTTCGTTGAACGAGCAAAGAAAGAGAATGAATGAATGAAAGCGAGAGAGCTTGTACCGAACATATCGCCGCAAGATGTTTCCTTATATGTAGGCTGTGCCATTGCGGGTCAAGAGCCCTCAATCTGCCACTTTCAAGGGTGGAAGGCATCTCCGACCTAGCGCCCGTCGAACAAGCTCACGATGCAGTCTCGCAACGATGTCAACCTGGATTCTGGACCTTGGTGGTCCAGGAACATGGTCCATTGGTCGCGCTACGGGTGTCAAAACGGTCAACTGGCGTTTGCACCACTGTGCTAAGTTAATTACGTGCAGCATGGGCAGAAAAATGCCGACGCACAGTTCGGAAACACAGTCGCGTTCATTCGTTGATCATGGTGTTTCACGTTTGTTTGGCATGAACCTGACGTCGAGGTGGAGTCTAGCTGTTTCGAAACGAATCGCCAAGGCAGGAACCGCCATCCTTTGCAAATTGCGCGTGGGTCGCTGAGCAAAACACCACCTGCTATTGATTGCACCCATGGTTCTCGGACTAGACCGATGAGTCGAGTACACCTTATCTTCTGCTTGTCCCGGTGGTTGTAGGAGTCAGGCCGCCTTGTCGATTATGTGGCTCCGAGTGCGAATGCAAAAAAAGATATGGATCCCATCAATTTGCTGGTATCCATCAGCTTCCAACAAACACTGTCGCAAGGTTCAAGCTGATAGCAACTCCGGAACACCGGCATATGGGGAGAAGAGATGGAACATTGAAGTATCGAAAAGGTGACGCGTTCACGACTGGTGGATTTTGCGCAGGCTGTACGTGGGCGTCTTTGCGTACAAGCGCCCGACAACTCTTCTGCGGAGTGAAGACGACCTCGTGAACCCGAAGGTATATTCCGACGGCTGCTCGATATGAAGTGGCGATTGACGAGATGGAGATGTTTGGCTTGACGTTCAGCGGCCATCGCGTCGCGTCGTACCCGAATCCTAGTCCGCCTGACACTAGCTCAATCAGGAACGACTGAGGCACGGCGCGGTAATCGGGACCGCGAACATGTCAAGCATACGCCGACACATCGATGTGTCCAACACGTCGTTGAACCTACTCCCAACCTAAGGCGGTCTGTGCACTCTTTGGATGAGGAACGAGTCGAACGTGCTGATGATGCGGAGGTGTTCAGGTGGGGTAATCGAATAATCGAACCTCGGTACAGGATGTCGCCTCCCGCCAGGTACCATATGTGCATATACCCGTCTTCATGCCGGCGATTTTGATCTGAACTTACCACTATAGCCTCATCAATGTCACATAAACTGTATTACTGATAATTGTATCACTATGGCTCCAAAAAATGAAATTCCAGCCTATGTCCTCGGCGTTGGGCTCACCAAGTTCATCAAGCCCCGTCAGACGCGTGCATATCCGGAGATGGGATATGAAGCGGGCGTGAAAGCAATGTTGGACGCACAGATCAACTACGATGATGTTGAGACGGGAGTTGCGTGTTACTGCTACGGCGACACTACAAGCGGCCAAAGGATCTTCTACCAATTTGGCATGTCCAGGTACAGCATTTGTGAACGGTAGCGTGTGATATGAAGGCACTGACAACCATCAGTATTCCAATTTACAACACGAACAATGCATGCGCAACTGGATCGACCGGACTTCATCTAGCGCGAACCCTGATCAAGAACGGAGCAGTTGACTGCACGCTCGTTATCGGGTTCGAACAGATGCAACCGGGATCCATCAAGTCTGCATGGAATGACCGCCCTTCTCCCATGGGTCTCTCGATGCGTATGATGGCGGATACTCGCGGCATAAGCAACTCTCCACCTAACGCTCAATATTTCGCCAACGCGGGTCTGGAGTATATGGAGAAGTATGGCGCTGAGGCGCGCGACTTCGCCGAGATTGCGAGGATCAGCCATGAACACAGCTCGAAGAATCCCTATGCACAGTTCAGGGATGTTTACACACTTGAGGAGATCGAGAAGGCGCCCATGATTCATTACCCATTGACGAAACTCCAATGCAGCCCGACAAGCGATGGGGCGGGTGCGGCAGTCATCGTGAGCCAGAAGTTCTTGGATGCCAGACCACATTTGAAGTCTCAAGCTATCCTGATCGCCGGCCAGTCTCTGATGACGGATTCACCCCAGCTCTACTCCAAGTCATCAATGGATTTGGTTGGTTACGACATGACCAAGCGCGCGGCACAAGCAGCTTTGAAGGAGGCCGGTGTTAATGCAAAAGACATTAAAGTCGCAGAGTTGCATGACTGCTTCTCAGCGAACGAGCTCATACTACTAGAAGGTCTGGGTTTCAGCGAACCCGGGAAAGCGCACATGATGGTGCGCAATGGCGATATCACATACGGCGGCAAAGGACCCATCGTGAACCCATCAGGTGGTCTCATCAGCAAAGGGCATCCTCTCGGTGCGACTGGACTCGCTCAATGCGCAGAACTGACATGGCAGCTTCGAGGCTGGGCCAACAACAGACTCGCCGATGGAGCGGACGTAGCGCTGCAGCACAACCTGGGCTTGGGCGGAGCTGTCGTGATCAACGTATACAAACGCGCTGACGGAAAGAAGAATGTGAAGATGAGTGATGAGGAAGTCAAGCAAGCGAGTCAGTTCTCCTACAACCCTGCTGTGGAGGCACGCTACGTTACGAAGGAGGAGGGGGACAAGGTGAGGAGCAAGACGGTGGCGAGTGAGTACGCGCTTGGCGATACACTAGAGAAGATTCAAAGTCGGCTGTAAGCTAGCTGTAGGATCGGTTGGAATTAATCTTTACGACATTGTCACTCGTACTTCTCCATCTTCTCCTCGAAAGTCTTAGCGACCTTAACAACGATTCTCCATCATTTCCCTTCTTGGATTACCGTCGCGCATGAACTCGTTCACAAGCGCGAGGCATGATTGGTAAGGTCAGTCAACCTTGTACTGTATGTCCTCTGGTATTCCCCCCTTGATAATGCTATCCACTTGCTGCATTAATTACCGGCACTGCTCGTGCGGGATTCTTGACTGTTGCTTGGAGCTGTAATCTCTTGCCTCTTACACGTTCTGCAGTACCTTGAAGCAGTCTGCGGCCTCTGCGAAACTCCTAGATTGTTCGCAGCCCAGAGTGAAGAAACGGTCGCTGTATAGTTTGACAAGATCATCCAGTCCGTTCCAGTATCAATCTTTCAAGATATACCCCTCGAATACTAGAGCATTGCGAATCTAGTAAGTTTCGTGTACCAGCCGTGTTTAGTTTGTGGCTTCCTTGCGAAGCTGGTTGACAAGCGCATGCTGCTCAAACGACCTGACGCCCGCAAGCAGTGGATTCTTGGAATACAAGAAAAGTTTTGGCACTTCTGTTCCAAGTGGAGGTATCTGCGGTGTATTTCCTCTCTTCTTTGCCTTTCGGCTCGCTGTCGTCCGTACCTTGTTGGCAGCAGGGGGTATTGGGTCTTTGGTCGACCTTTGAAGGCGCTTCTGAGCGTTTTCAGTGTCAGCAGTAACTCTTCCACGAAGTTCTTCCAGGGTTCGCTCACTGTCGTATATATATCCATGCCATGCACGATTGGCCTCAGAGCCAAGAACATCAACAGCATCTATCAATATATCAAGGCCAAGTGGCTCCCAATGCCCGATAGAATCCTGGCGGAATCCCCGCTGCGGAAAACGCACCAGCTTATTCTGGCGACCATGCGGGAACAACTCATCTTCCGGTACCAACTTCGCACATATTATCGTTTTGATCAGAAGGTGTACGTTGTAGGTAAAAGTGCGGACTTCAATATTTATTCAAAACATGTTATGATAGCCTGTTGGATGTGGAGCGATGCTAACTCAGGAGCAACATTACATATCGCTATGAACCAGCGGAAGTGCAGCGCATCGTCGCCATTACTTGCTGGTCACTCTTTGTCAGTTGTAAGGTTCCGTTCCAGTCAGTAGAAAGCAACCTTTGCGCTTCGTTCCTGCGCTCTACGACATGTTGGCGGTACTGACTGTCGGCCAGGTGTAGTGCCCGCCCTCTCACCATCAACCCCAGGCGGTGCATGTCGCTCTATCACCAGCATCCATCTATACACATACCCTTCCCAGTGTACAATCACATGGGGGCTAGTCGCTGACCGTAGACCGTACGTCTCTACCACTGGCCCAGTGAGTGTATAAAGCGCTCTTGCCAGGACAAGACTGTTCCTCCACCTCTACACAGCGTCAATAACAAACAACCCTCGTGAATTTTAGTGACATAGATTTGCTGCTGCAAGAACAAACTTTCAAGTATCAGCCCCTTCATACACCTCCAAGTCTTCCGCCCCTGAAAGCACACAGCCACCAGTCTGGCACGCTTCTACTCTCCAGAGTATTTCGAGCACATGTCCAGTCCAGACTATAGTTCAGTCAACGATTCTCCACCACCTGTACCCACCTGCTCCAGATCTCAGATCGTTTCAGACGGTCCACGGCCCTTGTCTTCAGTGAGTATTCCTGACAGCGCTAGTAGCCACTCCAAACATCAAAGTTCTTCCCGCTGATAAAGAACTACTAGAAAACTATGAGCATCGACGCTCCTCCAATCAGCTCGGAGCATATCGTCATCAATGATGACGATGCCGAGGAGCTGATGCCCATAGACCATCAGTCCAAAGGGGTCCAGACGATTCAGGACTCATCAGATGACAAGCCGATTGCTGCTAGATGTCTGCGCCGCAACGTTCGCCCATCAACCCATGAGACCATCAGGCACTTGCCAATCAAGCCTACGAAGAAGACCGACAAGAGACCAGGTCCAGGCACCCATGGATCCAAGCCCATTAAGAAAAATGATATGAAGGCTGAAAAGGCCATCAGCAAGGAGATCGAAACCTACTGGGGCAAACACTTCATCAAGTCCTACATTCCCAAGTGTCACCGGGAACCGGAAGCCACAACTCGTCACCACGGGTTTCGATGTTATCGAGGACATGCTCGTCAAGGACTGGGAGGTGAAGTACTCGTTTGGTATTCGGTATAAACACCTGCTTGTCAATCGCAAGGACTAAGAGGTGGACGATGAGGATGTGGATCGTATCTTGCAAGTGCAGTCTTCTGACCAGGAGGGTGGGTCGGTGAGCGCCGATCAAGAGGTTCCTGGCGCATCCGATTCAGATTCGGACGACTACATTACTCAACAGCATGGCGGAGGGCATCAATCGACCAGTGGGGCCGTCCGATGGTGACGCCTCTGCAGGGTTTTGGCGACTACGGTGGCTACGGTCGCAGCTATGGTGACTATAACGGTTACAGCGGCTATCCACCATACGGTCAACCACCATTCTCTGTCCATGGCCGCCAGGTCTCTTAGCAACCTCCCCACCAGCCTCGCCAGAATAGTACGTATCTCCTCAGCCACCCATGATGACCCCATCGTTCAGCACTCCAGGTCATGAGCGCCGTGGTCGCGAGTTCCCTAAGATCAAGCGCGAGTCTCCCGGCATCGAGGAACAGGGCAACGACATTGGCAACCCAGTGTTTCTTGATCGTGAGGAAGTCATGGTGGAAGAAGCTGCTGTCGCTGGAGAAGATGAGTATGATGACATCGATGCGGAAGTGGCTGCTGCGGAAGCAGAGCTCAAACTTGCACGTCTCCGCGCTAAGAAGGCCCGGATGGCGGGAAAGTAGGGTGTTGTTAAGGTGTTTTAATTCCCGATTTGACTTGCTGCAAATGGAACTCTAGTAACTGCCATGGACTCCTGGGATCAGTTTTGTGCACTCAGTGGTTGAATCTTGGGGCCTTGGAGGTTTTTGTACATCCCTAAAAGCGTTTGGTACAGGGTGAAGTAGTTTGACCAATGGCACTATGGCCTTAAGAATTGAATATCATAAATCTATCTCATAACAACGTGTATCTAGTAGACCTCCAGCACATATCTTCCCTCATCCTTCAGCTTGTCAATCTCCTTGCGTCCGTCGATCTTCTTAGCACCAGCATTCTTGACCTTGTGCTCGACTTCGACAGCCTCCTGGAGCACCTCAGTGACATCAGGTACAGGCCATGTTGGTCCACAGAGGTAGAAGCTACCCTCCTTCTCGAGGTAAGCTCTTCGGATATCCTTCAATGACTCCCTCATGCGGTCCTGAATGTAGATCTTCTGAGGTTGGTCACGAGAGAAGGCACGACCAAGGAGAGTGATGATACCAGCGTCTTGGTATGCTTCCCATTCTTCACCGTATAGGTACTCTTCACGCTGAGTGCGAGATCCCATGTAAAGTAAGACCTCACCAATTTCGTGACCTTGTTGCTTCTGGTAGGCACGTTCCTGGACGAAGGCACGGAAAGGAGCAAGACCAGTACCCAGACCGGCCATGATGATGGGCGCAGTGGTCTTGGTAGGAAGCTTCATGACAGACGGCTTGACGGATACAGTGACAGGCGAGCCGACCTTGAGGCTGTTGAGGTAGCGTGTGGCTTGACCGAATCGGTCACGGCCCTTGGGGTCGACCCAGTTGACAGTGACGATGAGCAGGGAGACGGAGTTGGGAGTTACATTCTGTGCGGAGGCAATAGAGTATTCGCGGCGCTTCATAGGGCTGACGATGCGGACAATGTCGTGGAAGCTTGGGTGAGCAGATGGGAACTCAAGAAGAATGTCGGCATAGGTGACAGTATCAACCTCAGCGCGGCGCTTGAACTCAGTAGCACCTTCCGCACTAAGAAGTTGCAGAAGCTCACGCTTCTCGCGCTCGTCATCGGCGAACTCGGCAAGTGATTCGTAGAAGCGCTTTGGTGGGCGCCCGAAGATGTCGACGTTTTGCATGAGAGATTGGTAGACAGTTCGGTTGACAAGGACGTTGGGGTCTTCACGAGATGGAACCTCAACGATCTCATTGGGGTTGAGACCGTACCACTTAATGAACTCGTCGACCTGTCTCTCGTCGTTCTCTGCGTGGATACCGAGAGCCTCACCGATAGCGTAAGTAACACCAGAGTCACCAAGATCGAACTCGATGTGGAAGATGTTACGGTTGTAATCCTTCGGTGTGAGACGGCGACGCTCCTTGACGTGAACAACACTGGTCTTAAAGCCAAGATCAGGACGGACCTGGTTCGCCGTGCCAAAGGCCTCCTTGAAAGCAAAGCCCTTGGCTGCGATTTGCCAATCCTTGAGCAGGGTCGGAGGCTCGGGCTCGATACGGTCAAAGGGAGCGAAGCTGTTGACGTTGATGTCTGATGGGAGACGAATGGGCTCAACGTCCTCGTCGACGGTGGCCCAAGCCGCGGGAACCTCGACCTCACGAAGGGCGCTCTCGAGCTGCTGAGCGAGCTTCTCAAAGATGTCAGAGCTGCCATTGATAGCGGCAAGCTTGCTCAAGCCAGAAGTCAAGAGGTCTTCACGGGCCACCTTCAAGAACGCCAGTTGTATAAGGAAGGACTCCAGAGACTCATCTTCAGCGACTGCTTCAGATAGAGCAGGGTCGAGAACGAATAGCTGAACGTCTTTGTCGACAAGCGCCTTGCGGAAAGCAGGTGACAGCTTCTTCTCTACGTCCTCGTTCTTCACACCAGGGAGCTTGACAATGATGGAGCTGTCAGGCTTGACACTGTTCAGGACATCGAATTCCTTGAGGATAGCAATGTCGCCAATAAATGCAACATCAGCTTGCTCAACAGCGTAAGGCGCCTCGATGGTGTAGTCAGCATTGCGAATGTCAGTGCGAGTGACACCACCCTGCACGAGGTTGTCATGGCCGCTACGGACGAACACGTTCTTGGAAGAGTCACTTGAGAGGAGTTTGCCCAGTACAACAGGCGCGTTGGCAGCAGATGATTCGTCCAGGTTCCAGAAGCTGTACTGCTTGACATCGGCAGTGTTCAAGATGTCAACGTATGAGCGGACCTCGGCTCCCTCCTTCTCGGCATGGATCTGACGGAAGGCGTCGAGGAAGTTGCTGGGAGTCCAGACCTGCTCGCGGGAGTACTTGACATCAGTGACCTCAACGTCCCTGTCGTAGGCGAACTGGACGGACGCCAAGACGTCGGAGTAGAGCCTAGAGTATTCCGCGGGGTCGAGCACAGCAGCCTCATCCTTGACCTGACCAAGAACGGCGATGCGACGAGTGCTCTTTGGAAGCGCCTCAAGGAAAGCTTCCTCAACGAATGGGCGGTAGACGCGGACGTTGACTACACCGACCTTGTCACCATCCTTGGAAAGGGCGTTGGCGACTTGGGCAGTCAACGAAGCCTCTACGGTACCAAAGACGACTAGGACACTCTCGGGCTCTTCATGACCGTAGTAATCGAAGAGCTTGTAGTCCTCACCGAGCTCGTCGTTGAAGGCTTGGAGCAGACGCAAGACGCGTCCAGCAGTGTCGGAGTGCTTCTTGTCGACCTCGGAGACAGCCTTGAGCACCGCCTCGTAGCTGTTGTGCAGCCTAGTCTGGTCGAGAGTATCTACCAGCCTGGCTGTTTCCCTTCCTACGCTAATGCCATCGTATGTGTGGATTGTGGGGAGGACGCTCGATAGGAGGGTAGCGAACAGGGACATGTGCTGAGTCTCGAAGACGGACGGGCTGCAGACGAGACCAAGACCGAGGTCATCGGCGAGTGCGAGGGAAGAGACATAATCGGTTACAAGGCCAGCGCTAGAGCTGGCAGAGTAGTCGACAGCGGCGATGTGGGCGGTCAATGGGTTGGCGACCGAGTAGAGGGCGGACAGCTGATCGAGCGAAGCGCGGAGGTAGTTCAACGTGGAAGAGGAGGCGACGATCGACTGGGGGATATGGCGCTTCTTCAAGTCAAAGTCCTTGGAGAACATGTATCCCAATGCAATGGCGCCAGCACCGGTCCTGGTCTCGAGGGAGGAGACACCCGTCTGGTATCCGAAAGCATTCTTCTCGCCCTGTTCTTGCCAGTACTTGACTGCTACATCCAGGTCGAAGGACTCAGCCGAGTATGCGAAGATCTTATCCGAGAGGGCGTACGCGACCTGTTGGACCAGAGTCTGGGCGGTAAGGTAGGTAGGGCCACCGATGGATTGGTAGGAGAGGTCCTGACCAAACGGCAGACTGGACGACTTCTTGTTGAAGTCCTTGGGTGCGTTCTGCTCAGCACCAGGGCCAGCGGATTCCGTCTGCTGGAAATGCATCTTGAATGCAAGTATGCGCCTCAGCAACTCAGCCTTTCAGTAGAGGCAGTGAGAGTCTCTCTTGGAGGTATGAGAGAGTGTGAGAGTTACTACGACTCTCCGGGCGCTTCACCGAGGGAGTATATCGCTGTCGTAGATTTGTCGCCTCGTAGCAGCCAAAAAGTGCCGTCGTCCAGTAGCGACATCGGCAGAAGACCGACCGAGCAAGACGCAATCCATCGTACACGCCATGATTGGCTCTTTCTGGATGCTCTAGCACGTCTTTCGGGCGATAGATTGCAAATGCGCGGAATGTCGCCTTGACGCGACGAGAATTTGGCCCTAGCGCGAATTGCGTGCTTGAGACGCCAAGATATCAGAAGCGTGACAGCGGGGAAATCGCGGCTCTCGGAGATCTAATCACCAACACCGTGTGGCCTTCCAAAGTGTACAGTCCAAACCGCCAACCTTTATCCAATGCGTCGTCGCATATTATCTTCATCCCGACACAAGGACCGTCGTTGGTCACTATCATCGCACGTATCTCATTGTCGTATCCCTCGCGCGTCTGAGTGACCTTACACAAGGCTGAGTATGAACGACGAGTTGTACAAACCGGGTGCATACATACCAATCCAATGACAGGCCGCATGCATGCTGCGTTGTGAACTATCGCAGTATTTTCCGGCCGTTGCAAGAGATTTTTCCCAGCTCGTACACCTATAGCGTCGTATGACCAGCATCAGATGACTTTAGGCCACAGCACTGTGCCTCCAGCATGGCGTCCAATATTTTCAGGCGCTCACGTCTGCACAGCTAGCTCAACAGCGCATCGAGAACTGTGATCTCCAGCATCTCTGTCAATACGAGCTAATAATATGGAAACAATAAATCTAGTGGCGGGTATAATCACTCTCATTAGCGCTGCCAACCATGCCGCTGCGATCCTTACACGAGTCTGGGATCTGCGTGGTATGTCACTCTACTAATCGGAGCGATCGATGGAGTGACCGAATTCAAGGCCACTCTGAGCTTGGTACCAATCGCTTTAGAGGACTCCCAGCACCAACTTCCGCAAGAATCCCAGGTTGAAAACAGTAGACTCTTGGAATTAGCAATGACCCATATCGACGCCTTCACTAGGTGTCTACGGAAGAACGGTCTACGAGAAGAGGTGACTCTTACTAGTAAAGTCACCAAATTGAAGAGACATGTGAAGTGTATGGATATGTTTAGAGGAAGTCGAGCGCAAGACGAGATTAACGCGTTCCGGCGAGAGCTGGCTTCGCTGAAGCTCAGCTTCATAATAGCGATGAATGCAACAAATACGTGAGTCAAAGCTCGCACTAATACGTGGCAGATCAAAACCACGAGAGAATGCCATGTTCGACATCCTTCACCTGCCAGCTAGTTGACTTCGATAGCCAATACTAGTGCTTCGGGCGACAGTCTTACTGGCGGCGTAACCACGGGCATGAAGGCTGCAAGTTACATCTGGATGTTGAGTGCGCTTTGCGCTTGGTGGAGAGTCACAGTATACCTCGTTGAGGAGGCATATGGACCCAGTCACACGATTACTAAGTTCTTCCCCATTGGCAGGACGCCTATGGAGAGGAGAGCGCCTTTGGTTATCCCTGGTTTGGGTGAGCCTGGTGTTAAGAGGGGTGTCCCTAAGCCACAGTCGGTGTGATGCGATTTACACGAAGTGAGAGATGTAACGATAAATGTTGACGTTGGCACAAACGTGTCACTTGCATTTCAAATATCCGTGGTTCTATCATTGTGGTTTTCGGTATCGTTTGGATCAACAGGTATACAATATGAGATATTGTGAATACCTACAGCGGGTACCGTGCCTGAAATACTGAAAAACATTTGACATCAAGATTATGTATGTTTAATTCAAAGTCGTACAAATTCTGTCTATGCCTGGGCGGCCATACGATAGCGAGTCTCTTCAAAGCCGAACTGCGCATACATTCGGCTAGTGGTATCGTCCCGCCCTTCTCCCTACCCTCACGGACTACTTTCGCCGACGTTCCACATTAAGCCCAGCTATAAGAGTATCCTTCTCATGTCTAAGCAACCTTTTCCTGTAAGTAAACAGTAGTTTCCGTCCAACAGATTCCTCACAGGCTTCTTCGATCCTGTAAAGCTCCATCTCACCTTCTATGAGCATTAATTCATTGGTTACAGATGCACCTGATGGCCGTAGAGCAAGAAGCGGCCATGTAACACACTTCGCGAAGTATTCTTCAGTGAAAGTATGACTAGAATTTCTTTGACGTGTTCGATATTGTGATGCGTGAGTCTCAGATAAACTGCATGACGATGCGCCTAGGGGAGACTGCATCCAATCTTGGCTCTGCGGCGGGCAGGATTTTGATGCTGATGGTGGTTCTAATCGGGGTAAGGGCGACAGACCGGAATGGCATTTCGTCGATCCTGGAGGTGAAAGTCTGCCTCTTCGTGGCGGCCTCGTAGGTTTATTATGCCTCCTCTGCGCCGCCTTGTGCTCAGCGAGAAGTTTTCTAACCTCTGCTTGACGCACGACTGCGGCTAGTGGAACCTTCGATGACGTATGGGGAGCTCTTCTAGACTGCTTACTTTCTGACATTGCTCTTGTAATCTCTTCGGTTATCCGAGGCTCGTTTCTTGCAAGGGGTATGTATCGGTTGTGTTTGGTGTCATATGATGCTTGATAAGACCATATATAGGCTTGAGATAGATATAGTGAGGATATCTGACGTCGAGGATGATGATAGCTGGCGGTGTTGAAGACAATCCCGTAGGTGTGAGACGGACAAAAGAAGCTGCGTTTGGCGCGGAAGAACGGCAAATGGTTTTGATGGTATTCCAAGGTCGACGTAGGTATTTTCTGGGTCGTGTACGTTACACTCGAAAGAATGAAGGAGGTTTTTCGGGGATTTCGGATGAGTGTCGACCCTGGCTGCGTATGTCGTCGCGTCTATATTGAGGATGAAAAGAGGATATCGACCGACCAGCGTTCTTTACCTGCTGTATGGTGTGCCTCTCCTGAGAAGTTAGCCTTGCTATCGCATGTCTCTCCCAGATCTTCGTGCGCAAGATACGCCGACATAGCGTCTCAAGGTCGCCGACGGTTGCACACAACAGCCGACTTTCATTTCCCTGGCGCCTGTAGTACACGACTTTGCGCAGTTGCTGCATGATTTGGTCCTTTTCCCACTTTGTCGTGAGCTTCACAACTCGCTCTAGTCTGAGTTGAAATGGCGGAGACCACTGATTTGCGCTGTGCTCGCCGTGAGGGTACAGTTCGAAAGAACCCGCAAGGCTAGCGTCATGTATATTCCAGGTTTTTTTAATATTGCGCAGGATCGGACTTCCTGCTCCTGGAAGTATCAGGCGAGAGGTTTGAGGGATGCTGTCCATTTTGGCTTGGAGTGAGGGTTGAATGGCCACAGAAGTGAGCTGCGATCTCGAGTTAAGAAATTACAGGTATTCGGCTGCATCGCGCGGGAGCACTACTGGACTCAAGTCCTTAGTTCAGAAGTCAGACAGCTATGAAAGCCCTTGGATAAGACTCTTGAGCAGTCCTTCTGTGTTGAGGTAGTGGGTCGGATTAAGGTTGACCGGGCCTATGGAATGTTGCGCTATTCCAACTCCTTACAGAACTCACACCCAGTAACGACATTCTTGAAAGGCACGTAAAATCGTTTCTGACTCTTTGCACTCCGACACAGCGCGATGCCTATATTGAACGACCAAACTTTCACGGCGAAGTTGAACTGGTAAGAAGACTGCTACGCGATGCAGTATGACAGCGGTGCATAAAGTCGACGGCGTTGGGCAAGGCGGCTGTGACGACTGCCGATGTGCAAAAGGCAATAGCCTGGCTCGTGGTGCAATTAAATGAACATAAAGACAAGCGACCGCTTCCAAGCATTATCAGCGACTCTCTTATCACTATAAGAGACAAGTCAATGGCCCCACAGGGCAGGAACCAAGGGCGCGGGACGTATAAAGATGCAAGCGAATCGCGACCGCAACAAAGAAAGAGACAAACACTCTAACGCCGCACCTTAGAGAACAGTATTGTACCGACATCTATCGATATGGATGCGAAAGCGCGAGGCCAGAAAAGGTCACAAGGGCGAGTACGGTTTGGTGGTGCGACCAAGAGAGACGGAAACAGCCCTTCGGATTTAGACGGAGACATCCTAGACACGCTAGGAAGACCATCACACTCTAGCAGCTTTCCACGTCTCGAAGGTGTTGCTATTGATCTCGTTCATCCAGCCGATGACTATTCAGAGTTTTGATTACGTGCTACCGGAGAGACCATGGCCTCGAGCCTGTCCATCGTACGTCAAGGACCAAGTCTGGGATTGTCGAGAAAGAAACGGATGGAGGCCGACGTGTATCGACTGTTAGCCCAGGAAAAGGACCACAAACGGCGGGCTGAAGAACACCGTATCAGAGCGACTTGTCACAATTGTAAAGCTCTCGTGCTGAGGATGCGAGTTGTAAAGGTGGAGACCGAGTTGACACATCCAAACGACGAAGAGTCGGGCTGACATCAAATCGCGCTGATCACCGAACCGAGTCCACCGACCTTGCCTGCCCATCTCGTCATTATGTCCACCGCATCTTTTCTCAGTTCCACTGTCGGAGCAGCGAAAGCGACTGCCATCACCGGCGCGATACTACGCAGCAGGTCAAAGCCTGGAGCTTGCTTCCGTTCGATCTCCACCGCAGCCTCTATGATAGACACGGCAGCTTTCGTGGCTTCGTCGTAATAATGCGCAGTAGTATTCTCGTACGGCTCCAGTGGCGCAGTCGATTCTGTTTGCACCTTGTGCATGATCATGTTCATCATGAGACGGTCGGAAACGTAATTCGACGCGATCAGTGCTACGAAAGTATTAGGTGGACTTGAACTGGATGATCCTCGCCTGGTTGGTTTCGACGTACCCCTCTCTGCAGGTGCAGGTGTACCACGCGGGCTTCTGGAGAGGCTAGCTAAGTGAGGATATGCCCGACCCCATTCGTCAAGATCTCTAATCAACTTGCACGCGAGTTCTTTGCAAGGACGAACATCAACGTGTGCCGGTATTGAGGTTGAAAAAAGCACACGCATTGAGCCAGGTATCTCTAGGAAGGCCATGCAATGGGGAATCATGAGCTCGATGTCTGCAAGACTTTGGTGCGCGTCTCGCGGCTTACCGATAAACGGTAGTGTCATCCAGTCTGGTGCGGCGTAGACCGACGTTTTGTTGAAAACTACACATTTGTGGGCCTATTATCGTCAGCGTAAGGAGATTAAACTTGTTTGGTTCATCTTCTCACATCAGAGCTACGGATTCCCTTGAACAGCGGCCATATGGCACCAGACCCACAGTTGCTTGGCCCACGCATGTTCATAATATCAGCTGCGGCCGCGATATGAGCCATAGCGCCAGACGCAGTCGCGCCCACATACAACTCATACAAGGACATGATGAGAGGTACCAGAACCTCTTCTTCATCGGGGATAGCGTCCTTCTTTAGTCTTGCTATTGACGTTCTTTGAGCGCTCAAGGCCACGGTGTACCATCTCCAAGAGTCGATGAGAATGCTCGGGTCGTGATGGTGTTTTCCATAAAATGCCATGGAGACTGCTCGTAGAGACAACCGAACCGCAGGCTTTTTGGCGTTGCTGTGAATCTCTGGTATATGGCCGAGCCATTGAATTTCAGGCGCATACTGGCTTCCACCCTTGTTCAATTCAACGTAGTGGGAAAGGAAAGCAGTGTCAAGAGCTTCCGGTAAGACTCTTGAAGGTTGGTTCAACATGGGAGGTCGGTACTGGTGGCGGATGGCTACCATGGCCTGCTCCACTGTCTCGGCGTCTCTGGTTGTGGAGGAAGATGCTGAGCGTGATGACGGCATTTGGTTAGTCTTGCTTGAGGCCTCGCCCTGAGGAAGGATATGACGTGGAGTAGCTGATGGTCGATCATCCTCTTTCCCACGGACCGTCATTGTAGCTCTTGCCGTCTCTTTCTTCTTTCTTCCTCTTGGCTTGGCTACTCGCTCTGTCATATCGATGACAATGGAGCCCTGGACAGCCCCAGAACACGTGAGCCCCAGACGGCGACATTGGTTGCATATCTCTGGTGTCTCGTCGCACTGCGGGATGAATGAGTTATCAACTTGGTCAAGTGTTGAGAAAACACACCTTGACGCGTCTAGATCGACATTGAGCGCAGGCTCTGCTTCGCTGGGACTTCGGAGGCATGTCATGTAGATTAGCTCGGGTCGTACAACACGGGAAGTGAAAGAGGGAATTTGAGCGACGCAAACAAGGAAGGGATACAGGGGTAATCAGTGGTCAGGAAGCTGGTGCGGCGCAGTCTCATTAGTCCGTTTAATTGGTTGCATGTCAAGTTCCGGAGGATCCCTTTAGGGAGGCGGGGAAGCCGCGAGGTAGTCGTGACCCTGCCGTGTCGAGTTTAGCATATGCTGGAAAGGGTCCAACGTGCATTGAGCGGCGGAAGAAGCCGACTATTCTTGGCAAGTATGAGGCTGGAAACAATGTCAGATTGCACGCTAACTTTGCAATAAAGTTACACGAAGCTTGCCGACCAAGCGCATCATCGTGTGGTTTTGGGAATCAAGATGGAGCAACTGTATACAAAAAGTAACAAGCATGACGGCGTGATATGTTCCTTCTTTTGATCACGCTTTGATCCATACTACGATCGTCCAAACGCACTCTACAACAACAAAAAGTGCCTAGAAAGTGTGCAGTCCATATCTGCCATGATGACAAACTCATAAACGTCGTTCAATTTCGAGAAATGAGATCCCACTTCAGATACGTGACATTCCACCACTAAGAGAAATTTGTAAAAGGGTATCATATACGGGCAACTGGTGCCCAAGGATCAGTCTGACCTCCTACTCCTTGCCCAACGCAACAATGTCCTTCATCTCCACATGCCATACACCCTCCTCTCTCTTCCCCTCCATACACTGCACCCCAGCATTCACTGCGGCTCTCGCGATCATACTAGCATCCTGCGCCCACCAGTCCGTCATCTTGGGCGTCAAGCCCCTCAATCCCTTCGCAAGACCCCTCAGCGCAGCCTCAGCCGGCCGCGACTCTGTCCTGTCCCCAACAATCAGACCGGGACGCACAATGACCGTATGTTTGAAGCCGAGACCCTTGACAGCCTCTTCCAGTTCGCCTTTCATCTTGGGATATGCAAAGTATGAAGCGGTGCTTGCGCCGTTGCTGCTAATCAAAACATACGTGTCTACGCCGGCTTCTTTGGCGGTCTTCGCAAGATCGAGGTTCAGGTCGTAATCGATCTTGCGCTGTGCCTCGAAGCCGCCGACTTGTGCGCGTGTTGTACCAAGACCGCTAAAGAAGACTCTGGGTTTCTGCGAGGACGGGAACTGTCTGGGCCATTGTGATGAGTCGGTTGCGATTATGGGCTGGAGCTTCGTTGAGCCTGCGGGATTGGATAGGTCGCGGCGTGCAAATGCGTGGATGGCGGAGAAGGAGGGGTGTGCGAGGAGCTGGGAGAGGATGTTTGAGCCCTGAATCTTTTTGTTAGGACTGGATGCTATGCTTATCTCAAGGATTGCGGTGAACGTACGACCAAGCCTGTGCTACCTGCGAGTACAGCTGTTGCCATTTTCTTTTTGATATAGTACTGGATTTTTTACTAGCAGTTAAGGAGTCTCTCAGGATGCGTTGCGTGGAGTTGCGTGGATGTGATGTAGTTAGTGAGAGGTTTTGTTACGCCTTTACGCGTCTGATTTCGTCCGGAACTCTAAGGATAAGTGAGAAGCCGAGGTGCGTCATCATTGGAACCGCGCGATGGCGCGTTCGAGAAGCACCAGTACATGACTGACAATTCACATGTCAAAACAATAATATCCTAGGAAAGAGAACGGCAAGGGCGGGCTGGAGTGCCAGATGTAAGGGTAGTGTATGCAATGTCACTAGAGGTAAGGAAAATGAGTACACTACGCACTTCCTACCGATACCAGCGCGCGCGAGACGTATATACATCATCACATTAAATACACTAATACCGCGCTTTTCTTTTGACGGCAATAAGCCGGGCGCACAGCACTTCTTTCTCCAAAAAACGTCGACATCGCATCAACATGTCACACCATCGTCGTGTCACTTCAGCGCCGCAGCCTGCCTGAGTCATGCCGTCGGCGGCTGCCGACCCTGCCCCAACCGACAAAGAATCCGCTAATCATCACACCACTCTCTCGCGACCATCAACACACTCAGCTCTCCCAGCCAGTCCAGACCAATAGTAGGCCCCGGAAACAAGCGACTGCTTTCCACGGGACTCAGTCATGTTTCCAAAAACGGTTCTTTCAATTTTGCCTGGATCTTGGTTACTGTTGTTTTCAATGTTCCTGACTTGCCCGGTCTGGTCTGTCAGGCCAACCGTTCGGGTTGCGGCATAGGGCTGTAGATGATGCGGAGGAGGATGGGTGGCTCACGCGATATTCTGGTGGTGCGATCGCGGGTTTTTGTGACGAAGGATGGTTGTCCTAGGTTGGTAATGTAGGTTTGATAAATAGGATGTTTTCTTCGTGTTGTAGCAGACATCCAACAGTCAGTTCATCACCACAACAGCAACCAACAATCCACTCTATACATCTTCACATAGAAGGAAAGACATAAACACCGCCTTCTCTACGTCATCAACATCACAACAAGAACATCCTCGATCAAAGTCCATCTTGACGAAACCGATACATTCACCCCAACACTCCAAACCAACCGACACTTCAAACCAAACCACCACAACAATGCCATCAGTGAGCCAAGCCCGTCTCATGTGGCGCAGCGTCACCCGCGGCATGGTAGAACCCCACCCCTTCGCCCGTAACCCCATCACCATGTCTCCCCACGCGTGGCGCGCCGGCGACCTCTCTAAGAAAGCAGTAAAGACAAGTACTGTGTAAGTCTTCTACCTGCCCATCTCCACCTATCTTTCCCTCTCGGATTTCCGCTAACGATCATCCAGCTTCTTCCCCTTTTATGCAGGCATTCTTGGGTGGCCAGTCGCCGCCGCCTGGTGGTTCAATGGCAACATGTGACTCTTCCTCATGGAGGGAGAGAGGAGTAAGAAGATTGAGAGGAAGCAGGAGAGGAAGGGATTGAGTAGTAAGGAGGTTGAGAATCTGATATTGAATATGCGGTGGGATGATTGATGGGCTTTTATCTGCCCTGGCATTGGTATTGGAGTCTTTGGCGTTATAAGCATAAGCATTTTCGTTTGTAAGAGTTACCTGAAGAATACCGATCTTATCATGTTCGACAAAGTTACGCCTGACTTTTATGTCTCACCGATCAATCGCTCTTATTCAGACGAAAAGGTGCTGCAGTTGCTAACATACAGGCAGCTGCACCTCGTCAATGCCTTACAAGTCTAACACAATCTTCCCCACGCCCCTACTAACACAACTCAGCATACTTCCCTCCTTCTCCTCGTCCAATAACCCCGTTCCCCGGTGTTCCACTCTCCCGCCGCAGACGTCCACCTTACATGTCCCACAATTACCCACCTCACAAGAGCTATCGATATCCATACCCACAGCCTTGAGCACATCAAGCAGCGACTCTGTAGCCCCTACTTCCAAAGTTTTCCCACTGTGTTTGAGTTCCGCCGTAAAAGGATCACCTGATGTAGCTACCGTGAAAGCTTCGATGTGCACAGACGACTCTGGGATCCCGTAGGATTTCGCGGTGGCGACAACAGCATCCATGAGGCGTGTGGGACCGCAAGTGTAGATGTGTGTTTGGTCATCGGCTTTTGCGAGTATAGCGGAGAGATCTAGACGTTGACCTTCAGCTTTGTTGTAGATATTTGCTTTGGATCCGAGAGCGGCGATCTGGGAGGCGAAGGGTATTTCTTCTGCGACGGCATAATGAAAGTGGAAGTCTTGGTTTGCTTCTTGGAGATAGGTGAACGCTGTCATGAAGGCCGTGATACCGATGCCGCCTGCAATAATGATGTGTCTGTCCGCATTTTTGGCGAGAGGGAAGCTCGCTGTGATGCGACCGACGGTGAGTGTGTCACCGATTTTGGTCTGTTCGTGTAGGTACTTGGAGCCACCGCGACTCGCTTGGTCTAAAGCAACACCGAGCTCGAAGCGCTTTGAGTTTCCACCAACGACAGAGTAGGCACGTACAAGCTTGGAGGAAAGCTTCAGTCGCACATGGCTACCAGGTTCGACGGGCTCCGGCTCCGGTATGTCTTCGACGGATTCGAAGATAAAGGCTGAAACGTTACTTGTCTCCCTTCGTTTCTCAACAAGCCGGTATTCACTCCAAGTATCCATCTTCTCGTCCTCACTACCCCACAATCTGCCATTATGATCCTCAACAACACCCTTGTCTAGACGTTTTTGGAACTTTCCCTTGATATCCCAGCCAAGCTGCGGTAGCTGCACAATCTGTTCCATCATCTCCACGTTGTTGGTCTCAATGAACAGGTAGTACATGACTCGAGCTACCGTCCACTCCGGATGCGGTCGCTCAAGTAAGGAGATCATGTCGCCAGCGGCGATGGTACCCGTCTTGATGATACGATATGTCCAGCCCGTACGTAGCAGTGTTTGAATGCGTTTCGCCATATCCTTGACCTCGAAGCGATGGTTGAGCTTGTAGCAAGGCGCTCGTGGTTCGCAGACTTCGACGATGATCTCACCAATGGCTAGTCGATCCCCAATACATAGGTTCATCTCGCTAACTTCGGCACTGAATAGGTTTTCTCCAAATGCACCGGGCTTGAAGTGGTGCTCTGAGGTCGGTATCTCTTTCTTCCACTCATCATAATGTGCTGTACAGTAGTGGAGAAGTGCCTTGTCTGGACCACCATGCATATAGAACGCATGTTCGTCCGTAGGGATGCCCGTCTCGCAGATCTTGACGGGGCCTGTCAATGGAGCTTTGTAGATAGCCGTCTCGATCTTGCCATTTCCGAGAGACTTCTTGATCTTACCGGCGCGCAGTTGGATGAGCGGGAAAGGAGCGAACGGTGGTGGGTTCTTCAAAGAGTCGGGATCTGGAGGAGGCGGCGGAATCCAGGTCGAGATGGGCATGGCTGATCCTCGAGTACAGTGTAGATGGAGTTGATGAAGCAAAAGTAATCGTCGAAGACGGTAAACAATGGCGGCGCTGAACACAGACACACACTGGGATGAAAAGCACACGATTCCTTCCCGTTACCTTGATGGGATTTCAAGCATAGCTTTTCGGAGACTCACGTCAACGAGATCTTTTCAAAGCCCGCGAATGTGCCGAGAATACCTAGGTAGTTCTAGACCTTTAGCAAGCTATGCTGGACCCGGAAGGCGCCTGTAGGAGTTTACGACTGTGATTTGAAATTCGACGAGTCGAGAGAAAAGTGAGATGCGCAACTTGGTTAGCTAGAGGCACGCCTTATATGCGATAAGACATCGTGACTATTGCTACCTAAAAAGCCATGATCGCTGGTCGGACTGGTCGCCGCCAGTAGAATTCTATGATAAACGTAACCAGAGTAGTCTTCCGATCAGACTCATCATAATAGGTTTGATGAGTCGTCAACCCTATCACCAAGAAAGCTTGACTCGCACAAGACGCCAAACTCCTGGCGAGGGAGAATTGGCGGGGATCGGAGATGAGCGCGACTCCCCGGCCTGAGCATCCACGCATTGTGTCGCTCCAACGCGATCTGTGTGCTTAGTCAGCGAGCATTAGATGGTGTTTGTGACGATGCGACAAGCGGGGAAGACTTGAGCTGGCAGTTTGGAGGATAAATGCGTCTCATGTCACGTGGACCGCGGCCTCGGTTGCAATTTGTCGAATTGACGTCAGGCTGAGGGTCCGTGGACAAGCTTCGAGCTACCACGTCAACTCGTCACTGCGATCTTGATACACCCCAATTGCTGCTATCCCCGCAATTATCCAACCTTCGGTTTCTCTCATCACAATTAAACCTTCCTAGCAAGCCAACATCCAAGACCAGTCGCCCACTACAACCTCACCATGTTCCGCATCCAACCCGCACGCGCCGTACAACGCGCAACCTTCGCCCGCCCTGCCGTCGTTCGCCCTCGCTTCCTCAGCACAACACCAGCACGCTTCGCGCAAAAAGACGCGCAGGACAAGGACTCGCTGAAGCCCCGATCGACCGAGTACGCCAAATCTGGATCCGACGACGGCGCTGCACACTCAGATGCCGCTTTCAACCCCAACCAGACCAGCCCTGAGGAGGCCGAGGCAACTGCTGAACGAGAAGCTGGTGGTGTAAAGAACAGCTTGAACGCAAGCCCAGGCAACAAGGACATTAGCGAACCTAACAGCCCCGACGTTGGTGGAAATGGAGGAGCACCGGACAAGAAGAGCAGCGGTAGTGGCAGCGCGCCCAAGAACAGCTCAGGATAAATTTATACACCACAAGAGGTGAAACGTTTGTAATGAAGGCACGTTATGGGCAGCGGTAGAAGTGAGCCATGAAGGTAGTGTAGGCGCATATGGAGCATCACGTCACAGCATCATTGCATTGGGAACAGCTTCTCAGGGCTTACGACTGTATATACCACATCAATTGAAAATCTCAATTTCGAAGCGACAAGCACAAATGACGCGTTATCTGCAACTTCACCGCATTGGGCATTTGCGTGGAGCAACCTCTGTCTTGAACCCATGCAATGACGTCACAGTAGATGACGATGCCCACCAGAACACGGCAGCAACATCCGTCTTTGCGTAACAAAATATCCTCACACCTCATCCTACTTACCATCAAACCTCTTACCCTACTCAACCCAACCACAAACTTCATATTTCTTCTACATCAAAAACCGCACAATGGCGCCCCGCATTCTCCTCACAGCCTCCCGCTCTCTGCGCACCCCCATCCCAAGCACGCGCATCGCTTTCACCGCGCGCCGTACGTTCCTCAGCACACCCACCCTACGCATCAAAGAGGACGCGGACCGTACCCCCGAACAAGTCGAAAACGCGAAACAAGAACAGCTCAAGGAGCAAGAAAGGGGCGAGGGAAGATGGCGCGAGGACCTTGCTAGTCATGGCGAGAGCAACATTGCTGCGGACAGACAGCAGGTCGACGACCACGACGCACATATGAAGGAGTTGCAGAAGGAGGGAAAGGAGAAGGGCGAGAAGGGTGACTTGTAGAGATCCTGTCGAGAAAGAGAGGTGGGACATGAGTAAACGATTTGTGCGGAGGTATAAGCTGAGAGAGATGACTGGACGGATTCACGACACATACGAAGTTGTTTGCTGTATATATCAAGTCAAATTCGAGCGCCTACTGAAAAGAATGGGATGTAATAAAAGAGTTGAACAGCAATTGTAGCATGTTGAACACCGCTACCGCACCAGCACCATCATCATCATCATCATCATCGGCCCGAACATCGTCTCCCTCAACTACCCAACCATGTCCTCAGAAGTTCACAACACTGGCCTCCAAAACCCCCTCCTCTCCAATCAACCTCTTCACAACATCCTCCCCAACCGGCTTGTCCACACCCAGGATCATCAAAGCCTCTTTACTCCCCACTGCAGCCTCCCCTTCCCCATTCCTTTCATTCCTCTCGTTCAACCTCTCCTCGACCTCCTCATCCAACGGCGCAACATTCATAAACTTGATATTGACACCTGCTTTACCCAAAAGATTGCCCACATATCCAATTTTACCTACCGAGTCAAAGTTGCGGCAAATGAGCAGTGTACCACGGGGTACAAATTCGCCCTTGAACTTGTCCAGGCGGGAGATGAAGGGCTTATTTCCAGAGACGAATCCTTGGATGATTTGGTCATCGTCGTCGGTCGCGCCTTGTTGGAGCGTGCGTGCAGCAGATGGTGAGACGTTCCTTGAGCGGGGTTGCTGGCTCACGGAGCGAGAGGCACGGGCACGTAGGGTGATGAAGGAAGAGTATGGTTTGTCTTCGACGTTTTCACGCGAGCGCTGTTCGTTGATGAGGATACCGCGTTCTTTGGCGAGTAACTCTGCGTTTACAATGTTGATGTTTAGGCCGTCGCTTGAGGTGATTGGGGTGAGTAGGCCTTTTACCAAGGCGGCGAAGAGGGGTTTCGTTGTGTTGATTGTGGCAAGCTTGCCTTCGTAGGTGAGGTCGAAGGTTGTGCGGAAGGAACCTGTCTTTACGGAGGAGAAGTGCTGGGTATAGAGACTGCCCATCTTCTCGACTAGACTGATGAAAGGTTGAAGAGTGCGGTATTCGTCTGGAAGGACGATTGGTGCGTTGACTGCTGAACGTGGGAGTTCGCCGTTGAGGATGGAGACGACTTGCTCGCACACATCGATCGAGACGTTTTCTTGAGCTTCTTTTGTGGATGCACCAAGATGTGGTGTGGCTACTACCTTTGGATGGGCGATCAGGCGTGTAGCTGATGAGTCTTGCTCTGGTGGTTCCGAGGTAAATACGTCGATACCTGCTCCGGCGATGACACCAGCGTCCAATGCTTCGACAAGAGCATCCTCGTCAATCATTCCACCACGTGCTACGTTGAGAATTCGGGCCGTTGGCTTCATCGTCTCCAGCTCTGCCTTAGCGATCATGCCTTTGGTGGACGCAATCAAAGGAGTATGAAGTGTCAAAAAGTCCGCCTCTTTCAGGATCTCAGCTAGGCTTGGACGAAGGGTAACCGAAGCTGCCGCTGCTAGGTTTGGGTTTGCATAAGGGTCGTAGGCAATGAGTCGCATACCCAAGCCGTTAGCAATACGAGCTACGGTGAGTCCGACTAGGAAGGCGTCAGTTGGATGTATCAGTGTGAGAATCCAAAACTTACCCTTGCCCAACCCAACTATTGCAAGAGTCTTGCCCTTCGCTTCTACACCCACCAGCCGGCTTCGCTCCCATTTACCAGCTTTGATACTTTGCGATGCATCTCCAACGTTGCGAGCCACAGCCATCAAAACTGTAGCATGTCAGTCAGTATGAGAATGATGTTGTTTGGGCTACCCACGTGCGATGGTATGTTCCGCTGCGGCATTGATATTTCCAGAGGGTGAATTCACTACAATGATACCATGTGAAGTGGCGCTCTGGACATCTACATTGTCGACACCCACTCCGGCACGGGCGACAACTTTCATCTTCTTCGCGGCACTCAACAGCTCTGCTGTTACTTTCGTCTCAGAACGCACAATGAGAGCATCGTATTCACCGATGATGTTCTTCAGTTCCTCTGGACTTAGACCCTTCTTTTCATCTACATCGAACTGATCTTTTAGCAGTGCTAGGCCATCTGGCGACACCTTCTCGGGTATCAGTATCTTTCGGTTTGTTGTATGCATGAGGATAGCCATGTTGAAAAAGGATCGCGTTGGTTGAGGCTCCAAATTCTCAAAAGACTAGAGCAGTAAGACACGGAAGACCTTGGACAAAATCAAATAATAGTTGTTGTTGGTAGTGATATGGGAGCAGTCCTACAAGACAATGCGGTATAATCCTGTGAGGAGACTGTGTGAGGTAGAAGTGCCAGATGCTTCGAGAGGAGTGCACTCCGTTTTGTACATCGAAGACAACTCTTGCGCCGCTATCGGTCTCCCGCAGTAGCATGCGTCGGAGGAGCTCTTTGTGGTAGCCTTAGCTGTTGGCTGTATTTACCCCGCACCCTCTTACCCCACGGGGTGAACGCCGCTGCTGCAGGGTCAATCTCGCGAACTACTAACTACAGACCTTGGAAACTTTGCATCAATCATAATCTGAGCGGAAGAAAGAGTTGACATTGAAGAGACGGTCGTGTAACTCGACATGTATTTCATTATCCAGTTGGGGTTGTAGTACCGCGATTACTCGCGTCCGTCATGGTATCACGCTGTGCATAAGTCGCGCAGCGTGGGTAGCTACATATGGTGTGATCCGCAACGATTGGAGGCTGAACTGATGGTGAGTGGGATATGCACATCACGCGGGTAGTCGGCGCCGCGCAGTTACCAATTACTACGTGTCTTAAGCTTCTCGTTTTGTACTACCTCGATCCAGTAGTTATCGGGATCTACATTTATTGTCAGTTGCCACTCTGTACGATGAATAGATAACAACTTACCTAGCACGAACGCGATGTTCTTCATGCGACCGTCAGTGAGCCTCTTTTTCCAGTTGACCTTCTTCTCTTCGAATCGAGCACAGGCGGCGTCCAAATCATCGACAGCAATGCAGATATGACCGAATCCTTGCGGCTCATCGTTGCCGTTATGGTATTTGAAGTCGGCATCCTTCTCAGTACCATAGTTCCATGTAAGTTCAAGTAAACCTTCGTTATCCGCTATGGGGTTGACACCGTTCGCAGTCGTCTCCGACGCATCAGAGCCATACCCTAAGAAGTAGAGGTTGAAGCCAGCATTTGGGCTCTCTGAGGTGCGCTTAAGCTTCATTCCCATGACATCTTGGTAGAAGTTGAGCGACGCATCCTTGTCCTTGACACGGATCATAGTGTGGTTCTGCGGATATCAGCATGACACAATATAGTCGTGGAGGCAATATTTACCATGCGGTATGAGCCAGTGTCAGTATCCTTGACGTTCTCCGTCTCCTCGAGCGGCTTCTGGCCAATCACCTCAACCCAGTAGCCATCAGGGTCGAGCACGAAGGCAATGTGGCGCATGCGACCGTCTGTAAGCTTCTTCTGGAATTTATATCCGGCATCTTCTAGCCTCTGGCACGCTGCTTGTAGGTTGTCCACAGAGATGCAGAGGTGACCGAAGCCCTTGTGTGGTTCTGTGTTGCCGTTGCTGATCTTGTAGTTTGGGTCGTCCTCAGTGCCGTAGTTGTGCGTCAACTCTACGATACCCTCGCGATCAGTCCAGTGGTTGCCATGTGAGACAGCCTTGGGGCTATCGTATGCGAGGAAGTAAAGGTCGAACTTGGCATCGGGGTTCTTGATCTGGTTGATCTGCTTCATGCCCAGGAACTCGTAGAACTGGACTGATCGCTTCGGATCCTTGATACGGATCCTGGTACTTGTGAGTAACTAGCCAATGGCACGGGGACGGTGCAGGAAATGCCATGCGGGTACTCACATTGAGTGGTTGAGCTTGTACTTGGACGGGTCGGTCGCCATGGTCGCTAGCGTTCGAAAGAGGAAGCTTGGTGTGTTGTTTGACTTGAGCGGTCGAAATACAGATGATGCAGCTAATTGTGAGGTTCTCAGTACTGCTGAACGGAGAAAAGGCATTAATCGAGCTTTCTAGTAAGAGCGCAGCGCAACTGAGGGGAAAGAGATTCTGAAGGCCAATGACGTCTGTGATCCAATGAGGAGCTGCCAGCTGCCAGCTGCCCCTCGTCCGGCATTTGCTCGGACATTAGCCTGGTGGAGAACATGATGGCATTTCGCGTGAGCATGAACGATGGTTCGCCGTTCAGAAGCAATTCAAGCTTCATCGCATTTTCTTCTGGTCGGCCATGTGCTTGGACGCATGGTGTGTGTAAAGAAGCTGGACTGTATTCAACTGTACTCTGTGTCAGAACGTACACTAAAAGTATTCGTTGTGACAGCTAGTTGACTATTTGCAGAAAATAGCAATGTATACCTTTAGAGTGAGCTCCCGAGGTCAGGTAACACTGATAAGATACGGGCTCCATCGTACATGGACATTGTGAACATGTCGCGTAGAATGAGCGCGAAAGCACGTGCGGCGGAAAACAAGGCTCCGGCTTCTGCCCAGGTGGTCATAGCTCTTACTCCTGGTGAACTTCGTCCTTGAACATCGTCATGCTAAGTATACTGACACACGCAACTTCTCTCCTGTGACGCTTTCAATCTTTCTTCGTGTCCTGACGCGTTCCCTACTGTTGCGACGCGTCCCTCTCTGCTAGAATCTCCTTTAGTCTCGGAGAAGGCGCAGATCGGTGACCTAACAGCAGCACACGACAGCGTGGACGTAGTTGCGCGAACCATAGACCAGGTACGTGGGCACTCTTCTACATCACGACCATCCGTACCGCCTCCAACCGTCATAGCGCATTACATTCACTGTATTGTCACGCATCGCACAAAACGTTCCTCGCGCTTTCTATCTCACATCCTTCGCTCTAAACGTCCGCTACTACCTCGCCTAATCATGTCGTCAGCAGATCCCTCGATGATCAACATCGCCAAAGTGAGCGACTGGCTCACTCAAAATGCAAACGAACACATCTATCCCCGACTCTTGTAAGTTACAAATACCATGTAGTGTTACCCCACTGACGTCAGTAGCTTGATGTCTCCAAATGGCACACTACTAGCGTACTCGAAGCCAGTACAGACCAAGGAGCTTCGCGATCAGGCTGCGCTCATTTCTATGACCTGGAAAGACAACTGCCAAGGACGTCAGAAGTTTTCGGTCCGCAATGGAACTAATCAGGACCGGTCGCTGAAACCTGCACTAAGCACACTCACTATCGAAACTCCAGACTGTAATATCATTGTACGCCTGTTGCAACCAGAGCTACTGCTCGTTCTTATTGGCAGGATCGCTCCCGGCAAGAAGCAAGCCTTCAAAATCTCAGCTGAAGGGCAGGGAGACCCACGATATCCTGAGGCCGACCTTCCTACCTCGCGTCCAGGCTCGCGTTCTCAAGTGCTCCAAGGTGATGCTGCGAACGACAATCCAGGTTTCCAAGACCGCTTGACGGTTAAGAACAAAGCGCCTTCGCTGCTTAGTAACATGAGCCAACGCGATAAAGACATCAGAGGTGGTGCGCTCCATGTCCAGCGCAAGAAACTGGACGCCCTAGCTGAGTACGTCTTGCAAGATTTCGGAGATACTGGATTTATCATGCCCGCCGACGCAGACCTACAGTAGGACGAGGATTCAATGTTGGCCGTGCGTGCGTGGTAGCCTTCACGCACATCTCGAAACCGTCCATTGACTGTCTCAGATCTGGGCAACGACTTCCCAGAAGACGCTACCAAAGACCCTATGGAGACACGCCAGGCTTTAGTCAATACTGGCAACGGTAATTTGACTCTGCTCGCTCCGATCTTTCCGCTGTGGCACGAAGACAGTGGAGGACCGGAGCCTGCCTACCAAGATTCTGATCGCACCGAAGTGGAGTCTGGGATGAATACAGCTTCATCTGACGCTGAAATCCGAGTGATGGCCAGGAAATTTCGCCGTTGCCGCAACTTAGTTCAACACAATCACGAATTCCGACACCCACTGTGCAGAGGGGATTGGTCCGTGTTCTATGTTATTTCAAAGTGCAACCAGCCTCGTTTATCGTCAGGAGATTAAATTTCGGACAGTTCCAACCCCATTGCCCATACAGGGCACAGATGGATGCGATTTGGTTTATTGTCTCTAATGTGGAGAGAGTACTTTTGCAGATGCAGTAGCGATGAATGGAGCGCTTTGCACGCTGGGTTTTGGAAGATGGAGAGGCCGTGGAGCTGAAAGCAAGTGTGGTAACATGCTAGACGTAGTATACCTGCTTAGCAAGACATTATAGATGACTATGTATCCGCCTAGCTTCGGGCAGAGTACCACTTCGGGATTCCACTCAAGACAGTGCTTCATGTCAGCCTTAGCACCAGTGCAACGCGGCCGCTCATGTCGGGGATCGACGAAATCCGCAACACCCACGAGAGCACTTGTGCCGTCTTCTGGTGAGTCTCATGAACGCATTTGGCATTACCACATGCAATGGAAGACACTAAATCTAAATATGATGCATAACGAGGCAAATATATTGACGAACCATGCAACACGCCCCGCTATACAACTAAACCGAGCGGTGCTTCTCCATGAAGCTTGAAAAATCCTGGTTGCAAGTTCTGGAAAACCTGCGTCGGGTCATACTTCTTCGAAATAGCCTGCAACCTTGCCATGTTGCCTGGACCGTACCCAGCGACGACGGGCTGATAACCACTGCTGTATGGCATATAATAGTAATCGTTGTCTACACCAAGCTCCTTAGCCATGGTTCTGGACACCTCAACATAGTCCTTAGCAGCCTTCATCATCGTAGTGTCGTCGCTAGACTTGTTCCAAGCCATATACACCAAAACATGGAAAAACGGTCCGTCCTCAGGGTAGAGACCGAGGGCGTTCCCACCGTTCCTCTGCATAGCTTTCAGCGCCGGTTTGGAGAACGCTTGAAAGGCGATGTTGACGGACACGGCTGGGAGAGCAGGCGCGATTTCGAAAAAGTAGTCGGTCATCTTTTGGATGAGCTCAGCGCTCATCTTGAAGGATACAGACCACATGGACGTGCGGAACCCAGATGGCATGTCGTTGCTTCGGTGGGGTGTCAGATCCTCGAGCGTGCTGTTGCCGGTGTTATCTTGCATGAATGGGATGCTGAGGTACTCTTTCGCGATCTCGGGAGGATTTTCGAGGTCGACTGGGACGAGGTATTCGAGTTCGGTGAAAGCGAGCTTGTACGTATCATATGTCGTGAAAGACACTACGTGTGCGAGCTTCGTGTCTTTTTCCGCATTGTTAATGGCGTTCTCGAACGCGGTTATCAATGCGGGCGTGCTGCTGGGGTCGTAGATGCGCATGCCGCCCCACATGGGGGGTTGTACGATGGTTTCATAGTTAAACGTCGTCACGATACCGAAGTTGTTGCCGCCACCGCGCAGAGCCCAGTACAGATCCGGAAAGAGCTTGGGAGATGCATTGACGATAATGCCAGAAGCGGTGACGACTTCGAAGGATGCAACATTATCACAAGCAAGTCCGTACTCGTTTGTGAGGTCGCTGATGCCTCCACCAAGAGTAAGCCCGCCAACACCGACATGTGCTGCCTACGTTATGTTAGCGCATATCCAGCTAAAGATTTCGCTGTGCGAACGGGATGAACGTACTCGGCCACCAACCACCGTTAAGTTGTATGGGGTGAGATAGTGATACACGTCTATCCACCGGTTACCCGGACCAATAGCGACAGTCTTCTTGTCGATCGAAAGGTTGCGCGCCGTGAAGTCTTTCAGGTCAACGGTAATGCCTCCTTGAATACTAGAAGCACCGGGGAACGCCGCGTGTCCACCACTCTTGACCGCAAAAGGACACTGCGTAAGGCGTGATATCAACACTAAGGTTGACACCTCAAGGGCTGCCTTGGGAGTGAAAGTGCAGTACGGTTCAACGGCTAGTTGTTGGTTTGACCAGTACTCGGCATGCTGACCATGAACAACCTTGGCGTCTCCGAAGACGAGCTTGAGCGAGTCGCACTATTGCGGGATATTAGCACATGCTGAAGTGAGGCGCAGCATCTCAACTTACTGCGATGGAGCAGCCGCTCACGGACGATCGAACAACCAAGCCTGCCAATTCAGGAATTGCAGACACGTTGACACCGTTCTTGATAAGTGCTTCGGTCACATTGAACTCGGGTGCTTCAAACGTGTCTTGGGTCGATACCCCCACGGCCGCGGCCAGGGTGCCACATATTATCTTCCCAACTGATCTCATAGTGTTTGGAGATGTAGAGGCCTTGAAATCAAGTCAACAACGAGGCCAACCCACCATTTTACAGTAAACAATTGAGCGCGAGTGTAAATTCATGTACGAGTAAGTAGGCCAAAAGATTCCTCGGGATCAACACTCCGCATGTACCGAAGGTAGGCTTCTGGCTCATCTCTGCGTCCACCGTCGCTATATCTAGGCTCCGATTAGTGATAGCATATATTTTCCATTATGTTTACCCAATCGGAGCGTGAGGCTCACTCCGTCCAAAGGGTTAGAAGGATGCGAATGAATGCCTTGACAAGCCAGATGAGGGGCCGTGTTCATAAAAAACGAATGCAAGCTGCCGACCCTGCATTAGTATGCGTTGTGGACCACCTAGACCCCATCTGTAGGATTCTCTCCCCAATTATAAGATGGATAACAGCTTCCAAGAGTCTATACCGAGCATTGTTGCGATACCGAAATGATGATGAGTATTGTGTACGTGGTTGTGCCATGGAGGCAGGGTTTTTCCCCCAGAAGACAGCTGCAAAGAAACACGTAAGGCGAACGAAGGAGTCACATCGAAATGAGATGAGTGGGGTGAGCAAAGAGCGATACGGCAGGTGGGAAGGCGGCGCGCTGTTTGAGGGTCGCGCCGCAATGCCAAGGTGGCGCGGACGCGGGCGATCCACGCCATCGGGCCTTGCTTGCAATCTTGTAGCTTCATCTTCGACTGGAACATACGGATGTACTGCCGCCCACGGCATATCGGTCTGTAGGATTAGTATCCGCACCAATGACCACATCAATACGTATGCATAGCTCATCGTGGGCCACTGCCTTCCGTGTAGGCGCAGGCGTGGCGATGAAGATTCTCACTTCTGCGGATACATCCTTCCGTAGTTCATTCCTATCCCCTCTCGTCATCTGGATTACGGCGTGTACACATCAACAACGCCTACGGCCTGCTATTTTGCCAGAACTTCCAGCACTATTAGTGGAGTGGTGTAATAGAAGCGAATTCTGCAAACACTGCAAGCCTTCAAAAAACTTGGGTAACGGTTTCCAAGATCTCTGAGTATGCACAGATATCCCTGGGCACTTGGTGCAGTCATGATACATGACCGTAAAGGGAACACTCGCCGAGCGGCCGAGGCGATGTTCATGAGATATCACGAGTAGGAGCATTGTGATTTGGCGCGCACGGCACAGCGTCTATGGACGTGGGCGGTACGGAGCGTCTGCCGCGAGGTCTGGGCGGTTTCTGCTGCGGCACTGCATCGACAACGGGATTACTTAGATCACAATATCATCTACCGGTACACTGGGTCACCAAGTCCTCTTGCCGATGCAGGCTGGACCGAAATGGCACAATAGGGAAGCCATAACCAACGTTTGATATATACTACAGTCGCACTGTTTTCCAGCTTCATCGGGTGTCGTTTCCGCTATATTGCCTGTTATTGTCGTCTCTCATGGGTTGATTTATTTCGGCCTCTCGCTTGCTATCACAAATACTCCAAATCCCGTTGCACGTCTGCCATGATGACAAACGTCTCACTGCCTAATGGCAACAGCCAGGGCTTCAAGAAGTCCAGCAACTCGTTTTCTCAGACCACTGTACTTACGGTTGGTTACGTCGCCATCTCGGTTGTATCAGTCGTTATGATAGCTCGTGTAGTGCTACATGTGATGCGGCCGAAAAGACTAGGAACAGAAGACTATTGCGCATTTTTGGCGTACGCGTTCTTCGTTTCTCAATGTGCACTTTACATTACTATCTCACCCTTGTCAGACCGAGTCATGGCCGTGCAAGAGGGAAGGGCTCCATACTATCCCGAACTGATCGAGGAAGGTTTTTTACTGGGAAGGCTATACTTTCCAGCTCTTATCATCTTCTGGATCATCCTCTGGCTCGTCAAGTTCGGACTACTTCTCTTGTATAGGAAGCTTCTAGTTGGACTACCATGTGTTTACAATAAGATTTGGTGGTCTATCGTGGTATTTTGCGCTATCGTAAGTACTCGCACGATATAGTTTATATTGCTTCCCCCGCTCACCACGTATAAGCAGACCCAAGTCGGGAACTACGTTTGTTATATTCTATCTTGCGAAACTATGAAAGGTTTCTTCAACGGTGGTTGTCATGACAGAGTTCGCCAATTCATGAGTGTCTGGTACTCATACGCTGCCGACACGCTGACCAACATCATGAGTACGCCAAAATCACTACTGCGTGTCACATCCAGCATCTTGACTAACTACTACTCACTAAGTTATCGCATTTCCTATGCACCTAACGTGGAATCTCCAGTTGCCGCGAGGACAAAAGATCGGGTAGGTCATGTTCTACGACCACTACCGAGTACACGCAGCTAAAACCTACGCAGTATGAAGCTCCTAGGTTTTTGGAGAGCTTGGACTTTGGGATACCAGATGCGCTCCGTATCCGGCGCTCTCGTGTCAACGCTGTGAAAGCTAACAAGCGGGCCAGGTATTCATGCGCTTTTCGCCAGTGCTGTGCTTTGCATCTTCATCTCTACACTTCGTGCCGCACAAATCACAGCAAACACGATCCGAACAGACGCTGATACAGATGGAACCTGGCTCGCAGTGTGGGGTATGGCTGAGTGCGCCGTCGGTACGTCCGTTGTCTTTTATTCTCGAGATCTCTTCTCATCGCACCTTGACGCTATCAGCGAGAACTTCGCTAACACGTTTGATAGCTGTAGTCATTGGCCTTACACCCTCGTTCGCTATCCTCATACGCGCAGGCCGAAACGCTATGAGGAATGCTGGCCACATACAGCACGAAGGGCAAGAGGTCCAGCTTACTACTATTGGTGGTTCAGGTGGATCAGGAAATCGCCACAAGAAAATTCCCACCGAAACGTGGGTAACGATTAATGACAGCCAGGAAGCGCTAGCGACAAAACAAGATACGGCATCGGTAACGACTAGTGCGCGCCATGATGAGGAGAGTCTGGGCCTCGCACTATGAGCTTGAGAACGTCTGGAGTATGCGTCTAGATGTCGCGATCCCGAAAAGGCAAATCAACGAGAAAGAGTCGCATTTTGCATGCCGTGCTTTCATGATGGGGCACCATGAGCTGAAGATTGGGATATTCGCAGCCCTGAATAGTACACTTCGTTACGGAGGAATTTCAATATAGGATCTTGAACTTATATTGCGGGTAGTCATACCTCACAGCTACCAGGCCATGGTCTTGTTCACCCGGAAGCGCGATATCCCCGGACTGTTCCCAACCCTACAAAAGACGCTGATTAGGTGCAACTTTGTCTTTTCTTGTCGCTTGCACATCAAATACTTCAATTCGTATATCAGCGTCGATTTCATGCAATATGTATGTGAAGAACATGTTCAATGCTCGACGAAGAGAAGGGTGGGCCTAATCTGTAAGGCCTCTAGCGAGACAACGCATGTATGCAAGCCACAAGGAGAGTACCTAAGTATGGCTTAGTTCCACGCCACGTGCTAAACTAGATAGTCGACAGTAGCTGAACCAACAAAATAGCTTCGACAATTGTGAGAAGCGGCGAGCTGAACTTGATTCTGATACGCGCTCGACTTTGGCCTCCGCTGACGTTTGCTATAAATTATGAGGGAATAATGGAACAACTTACACAACGCGAATTGACCTTCGTAGCACCCTTTGATAGCCTCAATCTCTATACAATACCCACGACGTCAATCACGAAACCGTCATGGGAGGCATGGAATCAGCCTTTAAGAAACATGAGAACATCAAGGTCTCCACGTCTATCAACGATTATGCTCGTACCGAAGTTGTCACGAGCTTCCAAAAGGCTGTGAACAAAACGTCGTATCACGCCTATACCTTACTGCTTTTCACAAGCGATACCATGATCGACATGGTCATTCCAAGCACAGCTCTTGGAGTTCTTGCAGCTCTTTCTGGCTCAGCCCTGGACCTACCGTCGCAACAAGGCCTTGATATTCTGCAAAGAATACCGAAAGTGCTGATATGGCTTTGGCTCATGGTTCTGCAATTCTGCCTTCAAAACCAGCGACATGCGTCTTCAATGCGGGAAGACGCGATCAACAAACCCTGGCGTCCAATTCCCGCAGGAAGAATCAACAGAACGCAAACGAACCAGCTCTTGCTCGCTACCTACTTGATAACTGCATTGGTCAGCTATCATTTGCGCGTAGTGCCGATTTACGTCGCGTGGGTCATCCTCATCACGGCATACAACGACACTGGCTTTAGCGACTACAGCGGCATCGTGCGTAATGTCTTCGCTGGTGCGGGCTTTACGTGCACCTTCAGCGGTGCTCTTAATATTGCTCTCGGCCCACACAACCCGATAAGCTATACAGCCTGGCAATGGACTCTTCTAGTCACATTTGGTATCATTGCAACAACCATTCAGACCCAAGAGTTTCGCGACGAAGCGGGCGACAGAGCCCGTGGCCGCCGTACAGTTGTCATCGAGTTGGGGAGAAAATATGCGCTGTGGACTGTTGTGGTGACCGTCGCTTTCTGGTCTGTGTATGCGCCCTTGGGATTTCTTGGTGCTCGTTGGGAGGCGGCGGCTTTATCGATCGGACTTGGTGCGCTTCTAGTTGGTACTGCTATGTGGGCGCTCGGCCTAGAGGATCGAAAGTTAGACCGACAAATGTACAAGCTTTGGTGTCTCTGGTTGTGTTCGTTTGCCGGTCTTCCGCTCTTAGCTACTGTCTTCCCTTCACAGGAGTAGTAGCGGATTCGAAGTGGAAAGCTTGTTAGAGACTAGAAAGAAGGCACAACATGCGGCGGGAACTCACCATATCAGCGCATATTCTGTTAGGAGAACACGTAGAGCGGAACTGCAAGTCAGCTGCTCGGCGCGCCTGGATCGCCCATGTGGCATAAAAGAGAGTTTGCGTTTACGCTGTCGCTGATTATGCTGTCCCTGTGATGCCGGCGACTTCGGGACTTGAAGGAGATGTTGTGGAAACTGCAGGGCGGCAACTAATAGTAGCGTGAGCTGTTGATAATAAGTGACTTCTGGTAGTATAGCTCTAGCATAGTACAGAATGCTTATTCTCATTTTGTGATATACATCGGAAACGATTCAAGTCAAATGGTGATGGATAGGCGCTTGTACACGGAAAAGAGGATGCAGGTCGGTAGATGCGGTTGAGCTTAAGCCGGCCTAGCGCCTTGCCTTATCGATACTGAACCTTGGCTTTCAGAATCCACATGCCTCTGCCCCCCGCCGTCTCACAAACTCGGTGGAAACGCTGCATCAGCGGAGGGATCTAGAATATATCCACGTATGCCACCTGACGACCGGATACTATAGAAGGTAATCGCCACAGGCTCTCACTGAAAGCATGAGCTGCATGTGTGACAGTCCTCGCATTCCGCCCATGCAGTACCAGGACCTAGGCACGGTAGTACTCATTTCTTGAGCATTTGGCGAGAGCGCTCGCTTCTTGATGCCTTGTTTGGATCTCCTGAACTTCGCGTCTACGAGACTTAGTCTCGTTCAGGAGCCGAGACCCATGTCTGCACGCCCCGTAGCTACGCGCTGGAATATGTAGGGGGCATGAAATCAATCCGTGTACTTCGGCATGTAGACGGTACACCGACGTCACGCACTTCGCTATCGTCTATTTCATACCGAAACTATGCCCTATGAAGTTGCCAAGGGCAAGAGCGGAGCCTCAAGCGGAGAACCAAGCGAGGTCTAGGTTTATCCACCAATTGACCTTGGTCATCAAGATCACGCAACAAAACCACCTATACAAGCATGCCAATCCCTGAATTGAACACAGTCTCTTTCTTGAGGTTCACATCATCCATCTTCTGAAAGTTTCAAGCACCAACATGGCCGCCAATGCTCTCGTCGACTCGCTGAAGAGCGCTAACCTCCTCCCTTCGGCCATTATTTCAGAGTCTTTCACTCCAGCCCTGGACCTCAGCGTCAAGTTCTCCTCCGGACTCGCTCCACAACATGGAAGTCTCGCTCGCGTGAGCCAGGTCAAGGAGCAACCCATCATCTCCATCTCCTCTCCACCAACATCTTCCGCCACTACCTACACCTTCATGATGATTGACCCAGACGCGCCTACACCAGATGACCCGAAGTTTGGTTACTGGCGCCACTGGGTTGTTGCTTCCATTCCTTCTCCATCAGCGACCACGTCTCCAGACGACATCACGACAAGAGGCACGACACTGACGCAGTATCTGGCACCTGGACCAAAGGACGAGAGTGGGCCGCATCGGTACCTGTTCCTCCTTTTTGAGGAAAAGGCGGGAGGGAGCTTGGAGAAGGCGGATGTTGGAGGGGAAGAGTTTGTAGAGAGGAGGAGTTTCAGAGCCGAGGAATTGGCAGCGAAGAAGGGATTGAAGTTAGTTGGAGTACAGTGGATGAGGGGAGTTGGTGATGGGTGGAAGGGAGAGAAAGACGAGTTGTAGAGAAGGCGAACAACAAGCTAGGAGACATTTCTTATGATAGATATCTCACGATAACCTCCACAGATGGTACGTCCTTATCGGCGAAAGTTGAAGTGGAAAATCCACTTGCTTCACGAATCTGCTCTATCTTCCATCATCAACGAATACTAAACTCCGCTATCTGAACCTAGAGAAACAGGGTCTCCTTACATTGTACTGTGCTTTTTGCAGAAGGAAAAACACCCGATATTGCAAGCATCATCCGGATGATGCCGTCACGGCTGTCTCACTGGACGTAGCCAGTTGTCTTCCTCGAAATTCATTATACTATCCCTGTCCGATCTAGACGTAAGTGATGACGTCCCAACTAATCGTATACCATGGTAATCTCCCTCCCTGGGGTTAGAACATCTCACCGCGCAGAACCGCGAACATCGTTCAGGCACCATCAACTCCATCCCACCATCTAATGAAGGCTGAGCAGCCTGAAACTACACTCCAGACGTGTCTCCGCCTACTGTATATCTCTAATACAAAAAAAATAGCATTGCTGGCTTTGTTTCTAGGCAATTTGTCTCTGGCTTCATAAGCTGCAACGACGATGCACCCCTGCTCTACTATTAACTAACACTAAAATCGCCTCTTCGGAGGGCTTAAACGATACTCCGTTACATGAAACAAGACTAAATAAATTTAATGATGTGCAGCCGCTATCTACATACAGTGTAGGTTTGTCCGCTTTTGCAGGCAAGATCTTGTGTTCTTATGAGCGGACTTGACGTGCCTACATAGCGGGGTTATGCACGCTTCGCGGTATGCATTGTACGCTCGCGTTAATGTTAAGATCGTTTGAGTTGTGGCGTATGCAAGCTATCTTTAGCCACGGCACGTCCTGCCCGATAGTCCTCTTCCTGGCACCTCCACAGATTCACACCCCATCATAGCCCGCCTCGATGCTTAGTAAGCGAGATAGTCTACTCTTTTCCCGATGTGTGGACATGCACATATCCGCATCTATCAACGTTAACGGCGGCACGCGAGAGCGAAAACGATCGATCCAACAGCTTAATAGGCTGTCGCGCTTCCATGCTGTCCAGCCTGATGCGAGCAAGGACCGAAGCTCCTCCATCACAACATGCGACTGCTCGAGATACAATATGACGGCACGATTGTGCTCACAGAGGACTTGATGGGCGCCGGCAACGTGCCCGCCTACGCTATACTCTCGCACACCTGGCTGCCTGGTCAGGAGGTTACGTTCGACGAGTTTAAAAGAGGTCTTGGACGTGACAAGGCTGGCTTCGACAAGATCCGCTTCTGCGCACAACAGGCTCAGTGGGACGGCCTGCGATACCTTTGGGTGGATACGTGTTGCATCAACAAGGCGGATCATGTCGAGCTTCAGCATGCGATCAACTCCATGTTTCGCTGGTACCAGGAAGCGACTCGGTGCTATGTTCTCCTGACGGATGTGCTCAGCGTTGGGCCAGCGACCGATCGTGTACCCGGAATACCTGTTTGGGAGGGAGAGTTTCGGCGAAGCCGGTGGTTCACTCGAGGCTGGACGCTTCAAGAGCTGCTTGCCCCGCGCGTTGTAAGCTTCTACTCTAGAGACTGGACGCATCTAGGCGACCGATACAACCTGAAACAACTCATCCACGAGATCACAGACATCCCCTGCCCTGCCCTTGCAGGAGCCCCGCTGAAAACCTTCAGCGTGGAGGAGCGCCTGTCTTGGTCGAACGAGCGCCAGACTACACGTGAAGAAGACAAGGCGTACTCGTTGCTGGGTATTTTTGGCGTCTTCACGTTCCTCAACTATGGCGAAGGTGAGACCAATGCTTTCAAAAGGCTACGAAAAGCGATCGCGGAAGATTCGCAGGAATTGTCCCAGCCACAGGCGTCAGCGGGGAGCCTTGGAGGGCGCATCGCCACCTATACACCTGGTACGTATAAAGACAGCCGGATAGTTAGCTTTCTGTGTGTCTGATCTGTTTGCCCTAACCTGTCAGCTCTCCACAATCCCTCGTACTATATACCGTTCCCCAAGAACCGATATTTCGTTGGAAGGAGAGAAGAGCTCGAGATGCTTAATCAGACGCTGCTGGAGGGCACAGGCTGCCAAAAGATGTCGATTGTGGGACTCGGTGGGGCTGGGAAGACACAGCTAGCCTTGCGATTTGCATACACAGTCAGAGAGACTATGTCAGCCGTCTCGATCTTCTGGATGCCTGCACTCAGCATGGAGAGCTATGAGCAAGCTTGTGTGGCTATTGCTGCTGCTCTGCACATCAGTCAGGTGGAGACGGGCAAAGATAACGCAAAAGAGCTGGTGAAAGAGCATCTGAGTGCGGATCAGGCTGGCCCGTGGCTGCTTGTGCTCGATAATGCAGATGATCACGACATCTTGTATGGGACCGAGCATGTTGCGGGCATCGTCGACTACCTACCAGAGAGCGAGAAGGGCATAAGCAGACTAGATGCCATGAACTTTTTGGAGAAGTCTTTGATTGGGAAAAATCTTACTGAGGAACGCAAGGAGATGGAAGAACTATTGGACGAGTTAGCGTGCCTTCCTTTGGCCATCGCCCAGGCTGCCGCGTACCTAAATATGAATAGAACATCTATTACAAGGTATCTGCGGCTGCTGAGACACACAGAGCAAGATACCATCAGTCTGATGAGCAAAGAGTTCCGCGACCAAACACGCTACAAGGGCTCGGCGAACGCAGTGGTCTCGACGTGGGTAGTGTCGTTCAGTCAGCTTCGAGAGCGCGATGCGGTGGCAGCAGATCTGCTAGCGTTCATGTCGTGCATCGAATGGAAGGCAATACCGCGGTCGTTGCTACCGAAGGTACAGTCGCACGAGCGATTAGAAGAGGCTATCGGCACGCTCTGCGGGTACTCTTTTGTGTCAAGGCGGGCAGGCGATAACACTAGTGAAGTCGATGGAGGAGAAGAATGGTATGACTTGCATCGACTTGTGCATCTGGCTACTAGAGTCTGGGTAGACAAGTATGGCAGTACTGCAGATGTGGTGCAGCAGGCTCTGGCACATATTGCCGAGGTTTTTCCGAGCGATGATTTTGCCAATCAGGCCTTATGGAGAGCATACATGCCGCACGCACTGCGACTACTTGACACAAAAACATTCATCGATATCCAAAGTAGGGCCAAGCTGAGTTTCTGGGTAGGACGATGCCTAGATTTCGACGGTAGAGTCCCAGAAGCAGTGAGATGGCTAGAGGAGTGCTACTGTTGCGGAGAGGGGCTGGCCGAAGATGATTTAGATCGGCTGTCGTCCGAACATGAACTTGGTTTTTCCTACTGGGCGAACGGGCAGATCAAGGACGCTGTGAGGCTGCTAGAGCATGTCGTTAAGGTGAAAGGTGATACACTCGCAGAGACTCACCCTTCTCGGCTAGCGTCGGAGGGCTGGTTACGCTATATGACTTCTTATCAACAATAAATTCTATTCTTTCTCTTGCAACATTCCTATCTTGTACATTTTTGGCAATTTCGCTTGATGCAACACTTCAACATGCCTCAGGCGGTCAGGCGTTTCAAAGACTATGTTCTAAGGAGGGTTCTGGGACACACGTAAGCATAGCTATTGCTACTCGACAAAGATCTATACATATCGTAAATGTATCTCAAAAACAGTCTCAAGAGTTGCAAAGTACTTCACTCAATTGCAAAGCTCCGAGAACTTAGCTTGCATGTCGAGAAGAGTTTTAACAGACACGTATCTAAACCATGTAAAGTTCTAGTACATCTTCGCAACCAGGATTCTCCGTAAGGCCGCTAGACTGTTCTCTAATGCTATCACCTCGCCAGTTCGCATTACTTTACTCGATGGCGGTGGAGCTTCCGATGCCACTTCCTTGCGCTTGCGGCCACTCCCTCAAGTAATTCCAATCAAGTGACGACACCGCTTGACAATCCAGTATTTCGATGCACAATCAACGGTGTTGTTCCTTTCGACCCTGGTATCTAAAGCTCCGCCGATCTTCCTCAGGAGGGTCGCGCGTTCTGACCCGAGGATGCACACGATCCTGATATTCTGGTTCGTCTCTGGAGGCATGTCGATCACGGCTTGGAGTGCGAGATCGGCTGCTCCGATGTCGTTCCTGGTACCTACCGTTACTATCTTCCCGTCCTCGCACGCTTTCTGATAGTGTAGAGCTAAGCCTGCTCCAGCGGAATGGTGGCATGGGCGCACTAGAGTGTTGAGAGTTGATTGGAGACGGTGGCTTGTCTTCAGGACGGCTGGCGTATAGGGCTTGACGAATTTGGCGGCTATTGTCATTGTTGCGATGTTCTCTAGAGACAGACGGCTGCGGTCCAGTCCTTTGGTCACGGATACCGGTTACTGGATCTCCGAGGCGCTCCAGGAATTCATTCTTTGCTTCGCCTTGATTCTGCCATCTGGTAGATTGATTGTGATACATACTTGCACGCTTCGTCTTATTGCGGTTTTCAGGGCTGTGAGTATCAGCATTGCCTCCTTGAGAAGTGCTTTCGACCGAACGTCGCCAGTCAGAGATGTCGTTTTGCCGCCTTTCTGTCCGTCTCTGCTCAGCGGGATCGAACTCGGACGAAGCTGATGATGCCTCTTCAAGACCGGTGTCACTAGACTGAGCTCTCTTGCGTTCCTCTTTGTCTTTCGGATCGCTCTTCTTTGCTGGCCGTTCATTATCTGTGTCGGAATTGTCGTCTGGTATCAATCGCCCTGCATCTCTCCAGACTTTGAGCAAGACCTTGTCTACATCTGTCCAAGCCTTTCGCCACCTATTCAAGCCACGCGCAAGATCTCTGTCAAGAGTTGCTATCTTTGCTTCGAAAATCTTTTGGTTGGCTTTCAGTCGCTCGACGCCTTGCGCTAGCTTCTTCAGACTCTTCTTCTGTAACTCGGTCGGCTCTTTATCTAGTTCTATCTCCAAGCGTTTGACGCTCAAGCGATGTGGGATGCTTCTAGAGATCCGGCCTTATCAGCTTGCTTCAAGACAAATTCGTGCCTCCATCTTTTGACGTCCTGTAGCGCGGATTTGTGACCGCATACTAACGCGAGAGCGGTTTGAATCTTTCCCTCAAGCCCTTCTGTCAAGAACAATACTGAAGTTTTGCGTCTACCATTTCGTAAACCTGTGAGTCGCGGCTGCAAGCTGTTCGAACTCGAACTAGGGGCTGTTCGACTGACCCATGCTCCATGGGCTCTTTCTGAAAAAGTCGTTTCCAGTTCTGCGTCGTCATACATGTCTCTTTTTTTGGTGGGGTATAGTTCTTCTTGCGACGGGATGCGCGAATTTTCCATGGTTTTGTGTGGGATAACAAAGCTAGCGAGATCCTTTGATAAGAATATCGCTTTGTACATCAAGGACAAAGACAGAGCCAGGGATATCAATTACGTTATGCTCAAGATGGCCTACATGAAAGACTTCACAGCGCACGAGTATTAGTCTGAGTGTTAATCCGCATACAGAGCGGCTGTCTAAGCATTTTTTAAGTCGGGTGGTTAGATCTGGATAAGTTAGAAGCATTCCAAGACTGTTAGGCCTGTATTGAGCGCCAATGTGGACTGAATTTACATCGTCCGAGCGGTAGGCACAACCACTAGATACCCGGATTCTTTTTAGTTACACGTATCATGGATCGTGCTCGGTCAGTCGTGCGTCGCAGCGGGAAGGTCATGGATACGGCGAATGGGTTCCCTCCGGGAGCCTGGAGCTCCTACTGCTGATAGACCTGTCGCGCGTTACTACATTATGACCTTCCCCTACCTCTACCTTCTCTTTCATTTCTACCTGTAACAACTTCTCTTCGCAACCCGCTTCTCAGCCACCTTTTCACAGTGATCTTAGCCACTTTAGCTGTCAGGCCTGGCTGACGATATATACTATCCTGCACACTTATCAGCAGTTTACTGATCATACGTACCTTTTTGGTTGCAAGGCGTAGTGGTGCAGGGCTGCGTTCTTGACATTAGCTTCATAGAGGGCTTACCGTTTTCAACTTCGCCAAAAATGCATCGTCCCCGAATGTTCCGAGAACCGGACACCAAGGGCTATGTACCATCGCCCAATGATACTATTGCTACCTTCGAACCCGAGGATGTAGTGGTCATCGATTTGGATGGCTCGACAAGACATTATGCCACCTCAAATACTGTACAAGATACTACGTGCATCCAGGAGCAAGATCATGAACCCTCTCTGCATTCCCATCAGGAAGCGCACCACCTAGAGATCGATAACCAGGAGGAAAGCCGCGCACCTCCGCCACATTCCTCCCGGAAAGGGTCTGGACAAGTGATTAGTTACCGAAAGCAGAATAAAGGACCACAAGGAACTGGTAGACAATCGACCACCGACCCACTATTCAATCCACAACCTGCCTTTAGTGTCAGCACAGCACATCGGATTGTGTGATTGGGGATAACGAGCTTGCGGATAGCGAGGTATTGGTCTGGAAAATGAAAGGCGGTCACGACTGGAGCTGATGACTCTCGTATGACCTGGCTAAAGTCACACCATAGGCTACGTTGCATAACTTCCGACTTGAAGCCCCTATGATTCGCAATACCGTCGACTTGGGGTTCGCGAAGTCCTTCGTCTCTACTGGACGACCCGGTCACGATGTAAGTGCGCAGGCTGATCGCGCATTTCATGCGCCAGTATCGACGCAGTTCGCTTGCGACAAGTAGCGACATGCGCGAGATTCGTTAGGCTCATGGGCGAAAGGTTGACTGGTGCACTGGCCATTAACAAAACGATGGGAGAATGGAGTCTGGAGTGGAGGAGCGTCCATCGCTATTCGCACCTTCGACATGACTCATAGCCGCACTGGCGGCTGGAACTCATCTAGGAAGCATACTTTTCTTTACATTCGGTTATCTATCTAGAGTTGACATCTTTAGACTCTCACCACTTTGGTGGCGTGGCTTAAAGAAGTCGCGAATCGACAGTCTATTAGAATTCGGCGTCCTTCCTGCAACGCCTTGCACACTCAGCCTCCCCTGTTCCCACTCGACAGCCAGAGATTCACGCGTCGACGATCGACTGTCGCTCGTCCTTGACATGATAACTTTCTGCAGTTTTCTTCCACTTGGTTCCCGGACCTCTCGCTTCCGCTTACTACCAATGGGGCTATAACTGTATTCTTCAAGCTGTTCGATTGAATTTTGAGATGCTGTGTCTTCGATGTCAAACTGGAGTGCCAATTTTCGAAGACCATCTTGGAAATCCTGATTCTGTCGTGAGATTGGTGCTATATCCTGAACAGCTTTCTCTGCCATCGTTGCGACCCTCCCGTCAATAGATACTGCACCATCAGGTTCGATGACTTGAATATCTTCATCCCGATAGCCGTCGGTTCTGCGTAGGTATTGCGCCGGTTTTGCTATATTCTCCAGAACTTCCGGAGAAATTTCGCCAGTATCGCATGTAGATCCTGCCATACGCCTCAACTCCGCACATAAACCAGAGTATATGTCCCTGTACTGGCGATCGTCAGTCCAGCTTGAAAAAGACTGAGAGCGAGAGCGGGATCTCTCCTGACTCCGCCGATCCGGCCACACCTGTCGATATCCATGCGTGCGAGGCTCCTGTCTGTGATTTCTGAACCTACTGTTTCGACTTTGCGAACGAGAGCGAGACGCAGACTGAGTATGTTGGGTATGATCTTGTCCGCGCGCTTGTGGACGGCGATCTAGACTCTGCGATCTAGTCTTCGTCTTCCGGTTATGGTGAGAGTTTAGATGTTCTCTGTCGCGAGATCCTGAGCGGCTGCGAGGTCCTCGGTTTATCGGCGGCTGTCCACGTCGATACTCATGGACTCTGCCTGCGCCCACCCATACGCGGTCGAGTTCTTGCTGTAGCGCAAACCAAGCGTTGGTCCATCTCTCCTGGCCTAACTTAACTGCTTCCTCATGCTTCTGACGCTGACATTCGTTCCATTTTTTCGTTTTCCGACACTTCATCCGTTCTTCCAGAAGCTTTTGCAACTTGTCCCTCTGGTCATCTGTTGCCCCTCCATCTCTTTTCACTTTCTTTTTCGTAAGCTCTATTATGTGCTCCAATTCGTCCACCCATGACTGAGTCTCTGCCTCCTTCTCAAAACGAGTCTTTATTTCTTCGGGGATACTCTCAGCAAAACTCCAGTATTGATGAGCGATACACAGCGCGTTCTGTATCTTTTCCGCCAGAGATTCGGATAGCATCAATGCAGCTACCCTTGTCGGGCCATCGCAAATGCTTACAAGTTTCGCTGATCCATCGGTAAACTCCAATCCGTCTTTGACTTGCGTCGTCCACTGACGATAGATCAAATCTTGTTGTGTGGAGTGAAATTAGGGTCATGTTCAGGATAGAATAGGTGGTGATTGTCCACTTTGGGTGACTGGAGATTCAATGATGGCGAGGGAATGATAATATAGGCTTGAAAAAAGGAGGTGAACGACTCCACATATATCCGGTGTAGGAAACACAGTGTCGATACGTACCTTAATTTACGGAAGAACAGACACAATGACCTCCTTAATTGACCTAAGCCAAAATGGGTCTAAGGCTTGCTTCTACTTCAGTAGAGTTACCTTTCGATCCATAGTCGTTGTCACTACCTCAGCACAACTGCCTCAACCCAAGAAGAACTTTATCAGCGCCAGCTTGACACATAAAAAGGTTCAGCTTTGATGATGCCTCTCAGGAACCAGCTCGCAGAGTTATCTTCAGACCTTGAGCGTGCGCATCCTTCGTACAATGATATCAAAGATGGATCACCATATGACAAACAGGGTAATGAAGTACCGGCTCAAAAGCCTGACAACGATCGAACTGAACGTAAAGACAACGAAGACCGCTCTAGGGGAGACAATGGACGCCTCAACTATGATCAAGGAGAAAAGGCTCGTCACCAGCGATGTCGATCATCTTCCCCTCAACGATCACCCCGCCGAGATCAGACTCAGGATCATCGTAGCCGGCATCGTAGTCAGGAACATCATAATAGACCTTGCAGTCCCCAACGCGGTAGATCACGCGAGCGCACACCTAGACTGCCACCTCCACCTCCCGACGCGGGCTATACTATCTGGTATCATCGCAAAAAATGCAACTTTAACTGTGGGCCGGAGTATTTTGCGAGACCCCTCCAGTATCCGGGACATCTGACGAAGCAATATCACGCTGCTGATGTCGTGTCTATACGATACTGTGACTTCTCCTCCGATTCTCAAGCAAAGATTGGAGAGAAATTTACACTGTCTTCGCAAGGTAAAATATACGTCAAGGCAGAAGTCCCCTTCATCTTTTTCCATGTAGAGCCTGGCTATGGCATTGGCTGGATGGGTCGCCGCGCGGGTAACCGCGGCTTGGCTTGGCCGACCCCAGTGGAGGATCATCCGAAGTACTTCGGGATAGCGAACAGTGGCGATCCCAAGGGACCCGCTGGAAACAGCAGTCCCCATAAGCAACTAAAAATTGTGCTAGGGAACGGATCTGAGTCCCTTTTGTCGACGACTCATATCTTCGCTGGTGAGCTGGTAAAAGTCCCCATCCCATCAAGACGCAAGTACTGGGGCCGACTCACAGTCGAAAGTTATTACCAGTTATTCTGTCTGGAGGACTTCCTTACCGCAAGACCTCTATCACCCAATGCAAACCTAGAATCGACCCCAACAGGTGTTGACTTGGATATTGATGCGCTGAGAACATTACAAACAGCAAAAGACTCTTTGGTGGCAGGGTGGACAGAACAACTTGCAACTCTCGCTGCCAGACAAACTTCCATCAGCTACGAACAATACGAAGTCTGGCACTGATCAAGCTCAGCGTCAAGCACCAACTCCAGTACTAACTCCAGCACCATCGAATGATATCTGCTCATCTACCGCCGTACGCCCAACTCCAGAAAACAGGAATAGCTCGCAGCCAACGCCAACCCCGAATCGAGCTACAAATAAACCCCGCCAAGCCCCAACAACTCCAAACACTACAAACCACCTTGCACCTCAAGCTTCCACAGCGACAGAGGCAGCTACCCCAGGCGAACCTCAACCCGGACCGCAAGCAGAAATGCTTCAAGTTCACAGTATCGAGGCAAGCGCTCAGGGTCTTTGGGCTAATGTGATGGGACCCGCACGTGACATCGATATACACAATGCTCCGGTGCACAACGAACGGCGCAACGCGTCCAAGGAACCAAGTGCGGTGGGCAGTGGAGCTGAAGAAGGTGAGATTCCTGAGTAGAGGTATATGGAAAGAATCAAGCGACAAGGGAACGGAAGGAACGTGTACATCAAGATGAGCCTTGTGTTGTTTTTAGACTGCGAAGAAGAGCATGCGTGTAACAACGCTTGTCATTGTATTCCCCGGTGGAGTCTTTTGAAGCTAGTACTTTATGGTGTTTACGCAAGGCTCCCATCATAGCTCCTGCAAACCCGAGAAGTGCGAGCCACACTGTCCGTAGAACTCATACCTATCAGAGCATATGATATCATGAACTGGCCGCGAAAGCAAGAGTCTTTCGTGTTGCTGGCCTCAGCAAACAGCAAAATATTATCGAAAAAAAAGACCGCGAGCCATCACTCGCCATAAATTTTGTTTCTCTCGTCTCGTTCCAACTCGTTTCTGTACTACCAGCCTATACGGGCGGCGATTGCTCTCAGAGTGCGACGGAAGCAGCTGTTTTGACGCGTCACTGTGCGATGAGGTTGGGTAAAAGACATGTTCAGAGCGGAATGCAAGGGGGGACGATGCGGCTCCAGTCCGCCAAGACATCGGAGATTACCGGCGGCGATCATCACAGGAAGCATCGCTCGTCAACCACAGCAGAAGCGCCAGCTTCCTCTCCATGAGCTATGATACAGCATGCTTCGTGAAGTTGCTCGTCCTTACACCATCACTCCCATATAGACCATAGACTATCGCTCATACGCCAGCCTACTTCCCTCCGCCCCTGCCAACCACGTCGCGCGCATCCAATGGGAATTTGCTCGTCGTGCCTAGGAGGGCGAAAGACTTCCGAGTCAGATGTGAGTCCTCATGCACACTATGATCCTCTCCAATTGAAATCACTGACGCTCTCTTGCAGCACTCGGACGCCTCACACCTGCTCGGAGACCAGTACCAGCCCAACTATGGTACTGCCAACAGCACCCACAACGCGCCCCAGCCCGACCCAGAGGAGCTTCGACGTCAGCGGGAGAATCTGGAACGTATTTGTGCTGAGACAAATGAGTGAGTCCTACCTGTCTCACTTTCCCCACTTTCCCCACGTTCCTTCCCTACGGCCCTTCTCTCAAGCCATCGCGCTTTCCTCCATCTTAACTACAACATGACGCTGATCCACTGCAGCCAATTGATCCCTGTCTCTCAACCAAGCGCCCTTCCAGAGGTCACTCAACAGCCTTCCAAGAACGACGAGTACGCCCATCTCTTCAACGAGCGCTTCAAGTCCATACGAAAGGATCGCCCATCTTCCGCCGGTGACAACGAAGATGATGAGACAACTTGGCTTGAGAACGCTGTAGGCAATCAGGGCGAGGATGAGCTTGACGAAATCAAGCCAGCCAAGGGCAAGTTGACGATTCAATTCGGGCAGAGATAAAGACGCCTACGCGGCAGGAGCCGAGGCTGGCGGCGTCTTCTTGATCCCTGGCCTGCGTTGAGGCTTTTCGCACATGTTTAATATGTTCTGCATTGCATGAGCGCCATCACGGATACCCATAATCTTTCTTTTCTGTTGTTTTTCCATCTTGACATGAAGTCACTTCTTACGTCTTTCTTAGCACTTGCATAATCGTGTCTGCATTACTATGGAACCTTGTCGTCCCTTGCTTTTCCTTATCTGTTGGGCAAAGCTTTGTCTAGTAACGTCATCAGCACGGATCATGTTCTTGGTCAACACTGATGCCGATCCAGTTGGGTTCTGAATACACGCTCCTACGGTAGTACCTCGCTATCCTAGGCTAATGCAAAACTCGTCATACAAAACCAATCATTACTGACTCACCCCTTGTGAACGGGGTGATATAAGTCCCCGCATATTCATCTATCGTTGAAAGTCTAGCCATGCAGAAAAAGCAAAATAGAGACGAAATAAATCATCGCTCTGGGCCGGTACAACACCATCGCTCGCCCTAGGCTGGCTTGAACAGTTGATCTGGTGGAGCCGTCACAGGCTTCTTGTCAATGATGCCCAATCCCGATAAGACACGGTCAGCATGCTCATCCATCAACTTCGCTAGCTCCTCCCGAAACGTCTTGTTGATAAGATCAAGACGTAGCTTCAGGCCTGGTTGCACCATACAATGCATCTCCGGATCCAGCTTCTTGTACGTGTGTTTGCTCCAGACCAGTGCGGCACTCTTCATGGCGCCGAAGATGGCCTCGTTCTCGTCTTCGTCCATGGTCTCGACGTTCTGGTACCTAGCTGCCTCCTTCTCCACGAACGCTCCAACAGTTTGCGAGTCTACATCCTGTTTAGTCTTCTTCTTCGTCATGTCAGCTTTTCCATCATCATTTACCGTTCAGATTTCATGACTTACGCTTTGCTCAGCCAAGCGAGCTACAGTTTCTTCTTGGACTGTTTCGTGTGCCTGGTTCTGTTGCATCTTCGCTCGGAGTCGCGCCTGGATGTTCTCGTACGTCTGATTCTCTGTTCTGGGCTGTCCACCTCGCTTGATAATGTCGGGAATCCTGCCAGCCGGGTTCAACCTGACAGGCTCGCGGCGAGCCAACAACGGCTGGTCCTTGTATGGTTTGATGCCAACGTCAAAGAGGTCTTTGTCGCCCTCGAAGTCGCTGCCTAGGAATTCACTTGGCCTATAACCGACCGAGGTGCCTGCGTTGACAGGGTTAGAGCCTGGGGATGATGGAGCTCGGTATGTAAGAGCTGAGAGTGATTTCCTAGTTGCACGTGTAGCGGGTGGTGCCGGGAGAGCAGTAGCAAGGGCGCTCTCGGCAAAGGTAAGTTCAGATCGACGGCGGCCAGTACGACGGCGCTTGCTAGGCGTTGGAGAGGTGTCATCTGGCTCAAAGTTATCCTCGGAAGACTCTTCAGCCTCGCTATCCGCAACAAGAGCCCTCTTCTTGATCGCGCGCTTCTTTCCCGACGACTTCTGCGCAACTGGGGCAGGCTCCTCCGTCGTGGAACTGGACTCTTCCTCCTGTTCTTCGACCTTGTCGACCTTCTTCTCTGTGCTCTTGCTTCCAGGTGTGCTCGGAAATGGCTTCTTCCTCACCGCTCTGCCTCCGCTGCTAGCGACGAAACCGACTCCAGTCATACCTGGACTCGCCATGTTACCATGAAGGAGGCCTTTGCTATCCCGCAAGCGCTTTTCATAACACGGTTGGCAAACTTGGAATGTGCAGCCTGGGCAGCGCCGCATGGTATCCATGTTGCGCTTGTCGCACTCAGTACACTTGGCCGTATGTACGGTCACCCTACTATACTGTGACTCGTCGACCGTGCAAAGTGTGTATGATGTGCCTCCGGGAGTGCGGGGCGCGCGAGCCGGAAAAGGGCTGTTGGATGCTTGCGGAGTACCTGGAAGGAGTGTGTGGTCACGTCGGCCTGGTGTCGAAGTTGCGGGTGTGGGGGTGGGCATCGAGGTCGGGTCGTTAGTGCTTTGACCCGGACCTGGTGTTGCTGGAGGATCCATGGCGCCTCGTGGTGATTCTTGCTTGGATGGCGATGTTGCTCGATCAGTCATCTTTGTTTAGTCGCCTTGTCCTTGCGGAGAGTGAGCCAGCTCAGGTGTTGATCACAGTACCCTGGGGGAGTTGGAAGGAAACTTGAGAGGTGGGGTGGATGTACTTGGAGGATTTGATCGCAATAAAGGCTTCGACAGGCGGCTGAAAGTCGCAGTCACTTGCCGCTTGGACCCTTATGTCTGATAGAGACTCGTAATAGGGAAAAGGAAGAGTCGGGCGTCGACCCAATTGGTGGAGACGATGAGGTGATCGTAGAAAGTGCCGTTCGAACCGATCTAATGGCCGTACGTTACTCCCAAGATAGTGGTGAGAGTATCGAATCTGGCGATGCAAACAATGATGAGCTCGAATTACGAGGTGGATCGAAGACCGAGTTATATATGACTGGATTCCAGACACGTTTCACTCGGACTGTGCAAAGTCTCAGACTTTGAGACTAGATGGTAAACACTAGCATAAACCAAAAGTTATATACAAGAACAGGTGCAAAAAGCAGGAAGGAAGCAAGGGTATCGCCAGCAACGAGCTATATGCAGCACGCCCGACAGTATATGTGAAGAAAAGAGAGCAGGTCATGTCGTTATCAAAACACTCATATATACGACAGGGTCAGAAGCGGTAGCGAGAGCGAACTACAGGCGAACGAAGCAGTCGTTGTTCCCCTCTCAGACTGTGAAGGGAAAATGCTTTATACCTGTTTGCGGGGGTTTTGTTCTGATTTTGGGTTGGAAAGACGTGCAGTCACATCTGTCACAAGTAGTACTGGATTCATGAGTGTTGCGATGTTACATACCCCTTCACATACGCAAGGACTGTTGGAGCTATGTAGCGACATGTGGTTTTGGTCTCTCGTGGATTTGCAATCGCTCACTTAGAAGCCATTGCATCGTTTGGGGTGTTCGTACTTGCATTAGTTGTGGACGGCTCATCGCAATAGGTCTTTCATCCGTTTATGGATATCCATGAGCAAAAAAGCGCTAGCTTCTTAGTGTTGGGGGTGTGCTGTCAGGGGTGTAGTACGTCCGCAAAAGGGCCCTGAGGTCAGATTGATGTTGGTTGGTTGTGGTCGTGTGACGGCCCCATCTTTGCCATGCGAACGAGCGGAGCGAGCGGGCCGATCTCGTTGTGGATCTAGGTCTGTTGGCTGTCGTGCCACATGGCGTAATGTGTGTCATTGCGATGCTACCTACCATGGGCGTGCTTGATACAACGGAACCGAGATCGAGTGCACCGAAAACACGATGATATAGATTGCCCTAGTGGGGCGAAGAAGCATTGTTCGTGCTTTTGAATGTCGAGACCGATAGCTACATCTATGTATCAAACGCGGTGTCGTAGGTTTATGACGTGGCGACCTAAGCTTGGGTCAACAATCTTAGAGACCAACACCGTGGGGCTCTTCTCAATCAACAGCAAGGCTATCGGGCGGTGTGCATCATGATTAGTTGACTAGAGCGAGCGCTAACTGTTGATGTTTTTGATGGTATACAAGGCGACGTATCGTATATCGTGGATCTACCGAATGCATGTATGGTACCTGAGGAACTGCAGCGGCGCTTACCCATTTTGTCCCAGAAGAAATTCGCATCTTGCAGACGTGACACCGGCAAGTAGCCGCATCGTGTGCCATCTCCAACCTCGCTACAGGCCGTGAACCATTTTTGCGGACCTCGCCTGCCGCCCTCAGCGCTGACAACCACGTTGCCACTATGGCTGTTGGCCGTTTCTGCCTGGAGCGGGTCCCGCCGCTTGCTTACGGCTGTAGAGGAGTTTGGTGTGGACGGCATCTTTCACCGGCCACTCTCATGGAGCAAATGCGACGCTATATATATATCTTTGGCAGCCTCTTCAGCAGCGGTAGCACCGGAGTCAAGCCGCATGACGCAAAGACAGGCGAGCTGGACACGGCGGTGAGTGGTATGCATGGTGTTTGCAGTAGTCCAGCAGCGGGCACTAGCCACACCGACTACGCTAACACGGTGCAGCTTCTTCAACTCGGACAATGCGCTTTGCGCGACGACTAAACATCGCGCGTCCATCAACAGACCGCCAAAACCATCAAAGGCACGTGACAACTGATTGCGCGGAAGAGTGCGCCGCTGGCTCGTATAACTTACCAGGCTTTCGCAAAGTACGCGTCGCAGGCCCTTGTTCAAACCCCCAGGTCCAGTGATCGAGGTACCAGAGCACTTAAGCGAACGAAACCCTGCCATCCAATACCGTGTCTACATATTCGAACCCTCCTAGTTGAGCCCGCCGGATATTCTTAAGCGGAGAAAGAGTGTTGTGGCGGTGCCGGCTGCAGACCATACAACCAACTCAAAAGCTTGGTTTCGCAGTTTCTGCTTCCTCGACCGCCGCCGGCTTCGCAAAGCCCCAAGCACCCTCCTCTCGGTGGCCTCCCCTTACCATTTCGAGAATTGGTATACAACCTAATCCTAGGCTCCCAACAACGGTGTGAGAGGATAAATTCGCTTCTCACGACCTTGCACAACCCGTGCAGTAGTGCGCGGTCATAACAATCCCTCTCAAAACAAACCCTGGGAGAGCAAGAACATCAACGAAGACACGAACTTATGCTTACGACCGCTACCATGGATCAGCCTCAACCCGCGACACCGCTTTACCCGGCCATGGCCCTCCTCAACTATATGCATGCTCCCACTGTAGGTTTCTACTATATAGGGGCTTGCGTATTCAGTCTGTGCGTTTTACAAAAAGCGCGACTGGTGTCGCAAAAGAGACGGCGAAGCGTACTCATCTCCATGCTCATTATCTTGGTCGCGTACATCACAGAAGTACTCTACTACTTCAGTCGGTCAATGGGCGAATGGGATTACGAGGCACCACAACCTGCAGCGATCCGCTGCTTAGGGTCGATATTGGTCTGGAGTCCGCTGGCGTATATGCTTTGGTCGAGCAAGGCGCTACGATGGCATGCGTACTTTGGCGCATTCGTTCTACAGTTCGCCTTGGAAACTACAACATGTCTGATAACGGCCTTCTCCATCCCGGAACAAAGCCGGCAGAAGAATGCGCCCTTTGTTATTGACTGCGTTCGGGCTATCGTTTCCTTGGTCTTACTACTCGATGCGTTTGTCATTCTGGTCACCAAGCAGGCAGAGATCAGCACGGACGAGGAACGCCAATCCCTACTAGGAAAGCAAGCGAATGGCTCAGTCATACCTAACAGCAATACTGGGTATGGTACGATTCCTACGGAATCCACAAGCGACGAGGAGGAAGCAGCACCAAAAGACGACGACAAGGACATCAAAGCTCAACAGGCGAAGCGTCTCGAAGAAGAAGGTGGCTGGTTCGGATACCTCAAAGGATTCGCTGTATTCTTGCCCTACCTGTTCCCGAAAGACGATTGGAAGGTCATGGCTTGCCTGGGTCTGCGGCTCGTACACATGCTGCAAGAGCGCGTCCTTAACTTGCTTACTCCTCGGCAGCTTGGTATTATCACGAACAAGTTACAGCACTCTTACGAGACTCAGAGTGGCATCATGCCATGGAAGGATATCGGCCTGTGGGTTCTGTTCTCGTATATCAATAGCTATGCCGGTCTGGGTATTATTGACGGAATTGCAAACTTGGTCATTTCCAACAGTGCATACCGCCGCATTACCTTGCTGGCTTACGAGCACGTGCTAGGCTTGTCTATGGACTTTCACACCTCGAAAGACTCAGGCGAAGTTTTGAAAGCTGTCGAACAAGCTTCATCCTTGAACTCGCTCATTGAAATGGTGCTCTTCGATATTGCGCCAATTCTGCTGGATCTCGTCGTAGCAATGTACTACGTCACTCACCTATTCGATGCATACATGGCTTTCATCATTCTCTTCATGGGCGCAGCATACATTACCATTGGATTCTATTTCACAACCCTCTCTCAGCCCAAGCGAAGGGATTATGTCGAGAAGCAGCGTACTGAGAGCTCGACAGTCAACGAGACCGTCCACAATTGGCAGACGGTCGCTTACTTCAACCGCTTGGCGTTCGAACACAAGCGCTACGCAGAAAACATCATTGCCACTATCTCTGCTCAATACTCGTACTACTTCCGGTCTATGGGTGGTCATGCAGCACAGGATGTTCTTACAACATTCGGATTCGCGGGTGCTTGCGTCTTCGGTATGTCACAAATCGTGACTGGGCGCAAACCAGTTGGTAATCTCGTCACTTTGATCATGTACTGGCATACGATGACGTCTCCTCTATATGTACTTTCATACAGTTACCGGCACATCTCTAGCTCACTTATCGATGCTGAGCGCCTTCTTCAGCTACTCAATACTAAACCTACAGTCGCCGACCAAGACGGCGCTAGAGACATTGTGGTTTCTGCTGGAGAGGTTGAGTTCAAAGACGTTGACTTCCACTATGATGAGCGGAAACCCATCATCAAGTGCGTTAACCTGAAAGCCGAGGGCGGACAAACCATCGCTTTCGTAGGCGAGACAGGAGGAGGCAAGTCAACAATGCTAAAACTGCTCTTCCGCTTCTACGACGTTACGGGAGGATCCATCATGATCGACGGTCAAGATCTACGTTCAGTCACGCAAGCCAGTCTTCGTGATGCCCTTGGTCTCGTTCCGCAAGACCCCGTCCTCTTCAACCAGACCATCCGCCAAAACATCCGCTATGCCAAACTCGACGCTTCAGACAGTGATATTGAAGATGCCTGCCGCGCCGCCGCCATTCACGACGACATCGTCGGTTTCCCTGACGGCTACAACTCCAAAGTGGGTGAACGCGGCGTCCGTCTTTCAGGTGGCCAGCTTCAACGCATAGCTATCGCCCGCGTACTACTCAAGAACCCTAAGATCGTCATGCTCGACGAAGCTACATCAGCTATCGACTCCTCGATCGAAGCGCTTATCCAACAAGCCTTCCGCAAATTGAGCCAGGGCCGCACGACCTTCGTCATCGCACATCGCCTGAGTACGATTGCAGACGCAGACCAGATTTTGGTGGTAGAGAAGGGTGAGATTATCGAGAGAGGAACGCATCAGGAGTTGTTGAAGAATGAGGGCGGGAAGTATGCGGAGCTTTGGTCTAAGCAGACTGCGGGGCACTTGTCTAAAACGCCGTCAAAGGAGGATGTTAAGAAGAGTGACGAGGTAGAGGCGGAGGTAGAGGTGGTTGGGAACAAGGCATCTAAGGGCGAGGATGAAGCAACAGCAACAGCTGTGGAACGAAATAGCGCTAGTGAGGATGCCACCACGAAGCGTAAATAAGTGTTGATTGCTGTTTTGGTAGTATTGTAATTGGGCTCTCTCGGCCAGGGAGTCTCCCTGCGACGAATCAAAAACATCTCTCAAAATCTTCTGCAAAACTCGTCCGCTTTCTTCTGCTGCCTCCAATATCATGTGCCATCCTGATGCCTAGAAGCCAGTTAGAGAACCGCTGACCGGGACAACAGTTCAGCCCTTCGCGTTTTTGACCTAAAAAAGAGAGGCGTGCTCGGGAAGATATCATGCCGACGTTCGCGCACAGACCACACGGACTAACAAGCGCAATTGAAACGATGCATGTGCGGGCAAGAGGCGTTAGAAGACGACGTGTTAAGATGGCTTGCTGAACCTACCATGCTCTCTTTTTAAACATAAAAATTGTCTGCGCGTACTACTGCTGCTTGGCGGATTTAAAATCTACGACAAGCGCTACTCTCGTTGTGGCGCAGGTAGCTACTATACGTCATACATAGCACCCTTTCTTCTTAGGCTAGCCAGCTGTCCCTCGCCTCAGTCACCAAGCAGTCAATCTCTCGGCGTCCCATCCACGCCCTTGCCAGCCCATCATGGCGGTACCGAAACGCTTCTTGCTGCTCGCATCAGCAGCGTTTACCTGGTTTAGTCAGCGATATGCGCCTATGGTTACTCTCTCCAAGGGCCCCATGAAGAACACCACCGCAATTTTTGCGATAGCGCTATTTGCGCAGATTGTATGGACTGTGATTGTGTATCCACTCTTTTTGAGTCCGTTGAGGGGTTTGCCTACACCGCCGGTACGTACACATGAACAGCATGGCATACAAGACGCGTCTTAGAAGGAGAAAATGCAACAGAAACGACGAACCGTGATCTTACTCTAGTGGCAAAGAATCCTGTAAACTGACACCGTATCAGGACTCGCATTTCCTGCTTGGGCACTTTCGACGCATCTACAAAGATCCGACAGGTGAACCGCAAAGAGACTGGATTGATAATGTGCCGAACGATGGTGTGCTGTATTACCGCTGGTTGTTCAACGAACCTAGAGTCTTGGTAACAAATCCCAAGGCGATTGGAGAGGTGCTTGTGCATAGAAATTACGAGTTTATTAAACCGGAGAGATTGAGGAAAGGGCTAGGAAGATTGCTCGGTGTTGGGATTCTGCTGGCTGAGGGCGATGAACACAAGGTATGTACACATATGCTTTTGGTTTAGATGATGCGACTCAAAGAGATGGCTGCTAATGTGTGCTCAATTGCAGCGCCAACGAAAGCTACTCATGCCTGCTTTCAACTTCCGACACGTCAAAGACTTGTACTCGATATTCTGGAGCAAATCACAAGAACTTACGGATAAGATTTCCGAGACGATCCAAAGTAGCCCTGACGGATCGTCTGTCATCGAAATCGGCCACTGGGCTTCCCGTGCAACCCTCGACATCATCGGTGTCGCAGGAATGGGTAAAGACTTTGACGCCATCAGCAACCCCAACAACGAGCTCAACGAAACGTATCGCACAATCTTCGCCGGTGCTCGCGGTGCCCAGCTTGTTCAAGTCTTACTCAACCTACTTCCTCACTGGCTCGCCGTCAACTTGCCCTTAGAGCGCAACGACGTCATCGGCAACGCCGTTGAAACCGTCAAGAAAGTAGCTCGCGAACTCATCCGCAATAAGCGGGAGAAGATGGAAGCTGGGGAAGCAAAGGGGATGGATATTTTGAGCGTAGCCATGGAATCCGGTGGTTTCTCCGACGAAGACCTAGTAAACCAACTCATGACGTTCCTCGCAGCCGGCCACGAAACAACGGCTTCAGCCATGTCATGGGCTGTATACTGTTTGTGCCAGTATCCTGATGTGCAGGCACGTTTACGAAAAGAGATCCGCACCGAATTGCCGGAGGCTTTGGAACCTGGTGGCCAAATTTCTTCGACCGAGATCGATCGGTTACCGTACCTGAATGCTGTTTTGCAGGAGACTATGCGTATCTTCCCTCCTGTGCCCCTCACTCTCCGCGAAACAGCACATGATACCACCATCCAAAACCACTTCATCCCCGCGGGTACCACCGTTGTAATTTGTCCATGGGCCATCAACACTTCCACCCATATGTGGGGTTCAGATGCTCGTTCCTTCAACCCAGACCGCTGGATGCAGCCTGGTACCGCCAACACGGGTGGTGCGGAGTCGAACTACGCTATCACGACTTTCTTGCACGGACCAAGGAGTTGTATTGGAAGAGACTTTGCGAAAGCAGAGTTTGCTTGTCTGGTTGCGAGCCTGGTTGGTAAGTTTGAGATTGAGTTTGAGGAACCAGGGCATGTGGCGACCATTCAAGGAGGCATCACGGCGAGGCCTAAGGGTGGGTTGAATGTTAGGCTTAGAGATATCAGTGGCGAGAAGGCATAAATAGGGAATGCACCATGTAAGCGGTACCACGGCGTGAGGCGGTATCGTGAGTTGGGTATTGTTGACTAATAGACAATACGTACGCTCAGTCTTGAATTTTCACGTAGCGACGTTGGCTTGCATGCGCTGGGATGTGGGTGGTAGATGGCCCATGTCTCAGCAGAAGCCTCATCCACAAGCTGCCACACGAGGTACCTCTAGTACTGTCCTTATGCTAACATGATATTCATTTCCTTACGAGACCTACGTGGGGTAGTTGAAGACATCTACCGATTAGCAAGGGGCATCCTAGACGTTCGGCGCGAGACGAGCCGCCGGTGGGGGGAAGGGGCGCGCGCTATTGGGCGTACACTCTACGACTTTGTCCTAGAGTCGCCAGACGTTAAAGCAGATATGCAATCTCCCAATTGCAGCACCACATGGAAGAATATCAGGACACTTTCAACGACGGTAGTTACAGATTAGCGCTTCATTACTTCGTAGCTGTTTAAGGTTTTCGTTGGGCGAAGTCAGCGGCATGCGATCGAGGTAGAATGCCGTTTCTGAGCTGTGATTGGTCAAGCCCTTGGCGAAGATTGTACCACAATCGCCTGTTCTACAAGGTCTGCATAGGCTTTGACAGGCCTTGAGTTAAAGACAATGCATCCTTTGTCGCCATTAAAATTAGTCTAATCCAATATCCTGGTCATACCCTTTTCTGTATGTCAGTCTGAACTGTTGCTGAAGACTTTCGACAAGCCCAGCCGTTGTCGCGATAAGACCAGGCAACGGAGAAAGCAGTACGAGGCAGGTCCTAATTGCGTGCTTTAATGTTCTATTGATTGGTGCGGAACACTTATTGCGTCCGTTCCGATATGCAGATAATATGCGGGAGCGCTATGGGAAGCAAGATCTACCAAAAAGGATAAAGTCGCCATGCGCAAGGCTTGTAGCAACGACGAAAAGAGCACGGTGGATGAGCGTCAAGGGGTACGTATCGCCGGTACATGCGACTTACGCAGTCGCCCGATACTAAGCTGTAGCGAGATGAGTAAGGTACTGGGCTGCCCAGCGTATCCGAATGTGCTGTTTCACGATATGATTGGTCCACCCAGTGCTTTACATGTGTTCCAGCTATGCACACAAATACTGACTGCAGCCCAATATATCCAAAGTGCGGCTTTTAGATGTGCCTTTCATCGTATGCCATGTACGAACCATGTCTGGTTGGTCCTGCTGACAACACGTCGAGCTGCTCTATTGGCCCTCTAGTCGATTGTATGCCATCCGGTATCCACCTTGCCGCGTCTCTCAACCCAGGGAGAAGCGGTGGTACACAATTGACAACTTGTCGTATGTCACGAGCGCTTAAACCTACTCGCCGTGTTAGTGCTGCACTCACAGCATACACAAAAGCTTAGGTAGCCCGCGTCCCCTTTTACTCCTCTGGCCTGGACGATCCCTGCTTTTCTTCACACACGACCACATCGCATATGAGTCACCAAAGGAGGATTCCGATACGGATGGAGGAGAACGTGGAGGGAGCGTGGTGGAGTTGGACCTTGAAGATGTATGAAAGGCGATCGGCCGCTATTCAGGCCACTTAGCGTTCGCCACGTAAGTCGACAGTTTTGGACTCCTTCCTGGCTCTTTAGACCGATACAACCTCCTACGACCACTGTATAGCTTAGCCGACCTCAAGATCTTCTTTCTCAATCGAAAGGGCAAGGAATAACACAGTGCAGCGCGCACGAAAAGTACGATGCGACACAAGGAACACGGCAGACCATCCACGAAAACCGACAACTGTCGGACCGACGATGACGTATTGGAAAGAGTACTCGCAAACCTCTCGATACATCCGCCTAAGCAACATACTCATTCACGCACCTTCCTCTCGACGATCCAAAGCGTACATACGTCAACGCCGTACGAGCTCGAGCACACACTGAGGGAGACTGTCGGCAGTTCATGCTGAGACGCTGTACAGGCTTGCTCTTGCTAGCAAACCGGCATACCATGGTACTTGTTGCGACGACGCAGGCAGTAGCAAAGAAGAGGATAAAGAGCACGCGAGATGATGGTGTGAGTGCAGGCTGGCTGTCTGACACCATTGGGATAGGCAAAGCTAACGCCGGGGCTTTATCGGCACCACCCGTCGACACTATCCGAGTAAGCTCTAGCGTCATCACGTGCCTGCCAAGTTGCGAAATTTACCCCACCAGCCGTCCTCCAACACAACAACACCATCGAATCTGCCCCTTCCGCGCGTTTGACCTCATGATCGTCAACACTGCTGCATACCACCAACGCCTCACTCCAGCACCTGGTCGGCCTTCATAGACGAGGGGAGAGGCGCCGTACTTCTTTTCGCCGGGCCGTGCACGATGAACTCTCCACTTCTATTTGCGCTACGCGACATTCACGGATTGGACAGCTTCAGCCCCCAATCCAAGCACAGCGGCTACACTCACCACAAATGAGGACGCAGCCAATCAAATAAATTGGTAATGTTCATTGCATCATTAAACAACCAGAAGCTCAAGAATAGAAAGAAGCGACTGTAAGAGGTAACGCCCGGCCTTTCCTGTTTCGCATGCCATCGCTCAATGCCAGCTCTGCCTGCATCATTCCGCCTCCGGAGACGAAAGATGAATGGCCTCAATCTGAAAGAAAATACCGAAGCGTTGTACATGAAACAAAATCCCAGACGCCGGCGCCATGACCGCTGCAAGCTCAGTGGATTGCCTGCAGTCTGCGGTTGCGCTCGCAGGATAGCTCATTGATCTCTCCATCCAGGCTACGAATCATCTCCATCGATTTCTCGATTGAAGCTCCGAACTTGTGAGGCTCCCGCTGCCACCGCCCGATGCGGTCCACCTCGGCGGCTCGGCGGCGCATCTTGGTGTTGATCTTCTCGCAGAGCTTACAGTAAGTTCCAGTAGGAACTGTCTGCATTATAAGCTTCATGCCACACGTCTCGCCGATTCGGTACTCCTTGGCACAGTGCTGTCGGAAGTGGCCCCACTTCCAGTCGCCACAAATGAACCTGTGTTGGTCGTAGAAGCACATGTTTCAGGCTGGAAGAGCTTGGACGTCTGATGTTCGGTACCACGTTAGTCTTGTTGACTAACTGCTTGGATAGCAGAAGTCGAATACTTACCTGTTGCTCCTCGTTCAAACACTGGACCTTTTTGATAGGACCAGCGATCGCGTTCCTGGTAGTGGGTCAGCTCAGGGGTTACTCCGACCTTGAGCCTCAAAGATACATACTGAATGGTTGGATGGTAGAGGACCTTTGACAAAGATGGCCACGGTCTATACCCGAGAAAGAGGTTGTTCGCTGGGTCCGGTGTTGCAAAAGAAGGAAGACTATCAAAGTCCACGGTCAATGACTGGAAGATGCTGTCGAACTGAGTGTGATGGAGCTGATATTCGAGCAGCAGTGTACCGCTATTTATCCCTTCGAAACGAAACCCTCTCGCCGACCTCGCCGGCCACCCATCCGTACCGAGCCCGCTTCGCTGCCAGGTCATAAATTGATGCCATGGCCTATCCTTTCGTCGACGTGGTAGCACCCCACCGGGCTCCATCCAACGATATCGCTACGATTCACGGATCCCTCTTACTCTGACGCTAGATTAATGCGGAGACGGGCTGAAATGATACCCTAGGCCGTGCCGGCGTTTCCAGCTGCAGACAGTTATCACATTTGCTAGGGGATCAACGTGTCGTGGCTTCATGAACCACGTAACCCTTTGTTCCCAACGCGAAAATCCCGCATGTTCCTTGTCAAACGGTCTTAGTTGGCGCCCGGAGATGTCATGGTGTATCGTTTTCGAGCAATCCGGACCTCTCATGCCATATGAGATGGAGCATTCGTGAACCGGAATACGATCACGTGCTGGTTGGTGTATGCCGAGTCACAGTCCGCTTCAAGAATATTTTTTTTTGGGCCCAACAAGCGATTGGCCAATGGCTCCCGCTATTCGTACCTCAGTGGAATCAGACGAAGCGATACACGGGCCAACTTTGGGAAATTCTGGATTCTACGTCCGCTACCCCAAGCTATGGTCAACCGTTACAAGATGCACTGACCAACGTCTGAAGAGCAAGCAGTGTTGTTGCCCTCGGTTGGGCATCGTTCTCTCCCTGTGTACTGGTACGCTATGTGCTCACGGTACTTCGGGCATTTCTCATTCCTTACGCTACATGCTCGACCTCCAAGTTTTCCGTTTTTGGTCAAGCTAACCAACCTGTGTAGCATCATCGAGCTTCACCGATGGTGCTCGGCTGCTTCTCGCGTCCACTAGAGATCCTCATCAGTTCCGCTTGGCTGACACACGACATGCCGGCCTTTCCACCATGGACTCAAAGCACTGTTGGCCAGTCACCTTATCTCCTCAGGCTGCAGAGATGCGTTTTAGCCATTGCATCCGGTCCTCCAGCATTGCCACTGGAATGGAACGCTAGCAACATCCGCATGCATGTTGCATTGCACGGACTGGGTCCTTCGTTCAGCTGATCTGTATCTCCACTCAACGGCTGGCTTTGCCCGTGGCCGGTCCGTTGTTAACTGACTAGGCCCTGCACGCTGACAGGCATTGCTCTCTTAGATAACAGGATGGCGTGAAGTTAATGCGGAACCTAGGCCGCCATCGCATATCGAGGTAATCATCTGGACCCCCGGACACACACTAGAACCAGCCAAAGCATGCCCCATCGGAGATCCTCTGACGTGGCGAGCGGTATATGGTTGATCAAAGGAGAAGCCATATCCCTGGCGTTCATCTCGCCATCTGTCATAGCTTTTACGAGCACGTCCGCGTTGGCTCGCTTGCCTTTCCGCGCATACTCAGCGAGGGATGCTTGCACTTGGCCTATGAAAAGATACTCGCAAATCGAACCGTCTTTACCGGTGAGCCCCAATTGATGGATAACAAGGCATGAAGTATGTGGTTTAGTCAATGCGGTGGCAATATGATGCAGCATGCTTTCGTCAATCGCCTCAACCAGTCTGCCTTGTCATCAAATGAGGCAACAATTCCACATTACCGAGCCAATTGCTTCATCTCAGTTAGATTGAGCTGTACGTCTACGACCATTCTTCTCAATTGTGTACTGGGCATCCATGGCATAAGTGCGGCAAAGTGAGCCTACTCCGAGTGATGCAAAAGATGAGGTGTCCTTGTGGTGTCATCCGGCCCAACGACGGACTTGGGTCGTGCACGGAACCACACACCAGCCATCACAATAAACATGACAACTGCGGCCACTGCTGCGACCGTAAGTAACCTTGCAAATAGTTGCGCAATCAATCGATCCGTTGCTGATTCCACCTCTTTTGGGCGTCTCTGACGTTGTGATTTGACTTTCCATTACACTGATATGAAAATATGCCCAGCACTGCACTCAGCGAGCGCCAAAACACTCTTCTTACCAAGGCCTGACGTTGGGATTTGCTACGCGGCACTCCGCGCATACTTCTCGTCATGTGAGAGCAACGCGATGCTGGGTACGCCGCGAGTACATGGGCTGCGATGGAACTAGATAGCAAGGTCGCACGCAATTTTGATCCCGAGACGAGTGAGTGCTGTGCTCTTGTGGGCCGGAGCTGCGGTCACCGGCGCCCTTCGTGCATGACGAGGCTAAGCTGCGTGTTGGCGGATTGGTGGGTGCCGCTTCTTGGTGGGTCAAAATCGGTCTGGCCAGACAGGTTACATGTCCCCGCGCAGGAGTGGTATGGTTGGTCAGGGCGGATGAGAGCGTTCATGTATGCCGAGACCTGCGCAGACTGGATGACGAAAGATTGCCTGGAGAATAGGGTCACATCACCCCACGGGTTACACGCCTTAGTCAACGCAAGGCCTTCGGTGACTGAGAAGAGTTCGAGCGTAACATGACGAATACAGTACGATGGATAAGTCAAAGTATTTGAGTGCGCAAAGGGTGCCCACCGCATGCGAGATGTGGAAGGAGCGAAGTGGCGGGAGCTCAGGCTGAAAGTCTTGCCTCGTCTTCGCTTGACCACGGAGAAAGCATGTGCATGGCGCTGGGAAGACTTCGCTCGAGCACGGGAAACTGTTGCATGCAACCAACCTCTAGCCGCATATGCATGAGCGAGGAGGGATCAGGGGATAAGCTCATAGTCTGGCTGATGCCGTGAGTATTCTTTGGCTGACTACTATACGAGCAGCCTGTCAGACCGATGATGGCGTGCAGATACTGACCAGAAACAAAGAAACAGAGAATCAGCGGAGATGTGTTGTTCATGCGAAGGATGCAGAGGGAATGTGTTTCGCATGAATTTGGCCATCGTAACCGTGTTGGGTCACTGATATGGCCGGACAACAAAGTGCTGATCCGGAAGAACATCAACACGCAGTGATTGGGGCTGTCAAAATCTATTGTGCCGTGCACATGGCTTCCATGAGCAAAGCGCCGAGAGCGTTGCACATATACATAGCTGTTAGTATACTCGCTTCCGGCTCATGACGCAGAAAGAGGGGTACTCTCAGTCAGACTTCCACGTATTGCTCAGTTTCAGATTGCGGCAGTTACTGCTAGTATGTTCGTCCAAAAGCGGCTGAACATCATACGTACTGAACATGACACTCTCGACCAGCAATTGGAGACATACAAGCTAAGCATGTGGGGCGGAAGTAACCTACGACATCGCACCTTATCCCTCCTTAGTGGCCTATTTGTATCAGATAACTAGCCACCGGCGCCAGAATGCTCCAGCAATATGATGCTCGGAGAGCTACACTATAACAAAGGCACAAATCGCCGCAATGATCCAATTGGCAGAACCGACCACGATGGCAAGGATATGCCGACACGATCGAGGTGTAAGGTCCGTTGGTCGCGTCGTCCTTCAACCGAATGAGCGGTGACGAAACAGCAGCAAAAGGACCGATATTGCATGCATGGTAAGCTCAAACCCACCAGTGTAAGTGTGGGGAACGACGAAACAAGAACAACAAAGAAGTATCAGCACAACCAATTGAACTGAAGTGGAAGCACTGTTTGTGCGACAACACCGTTGCGGCCGTTTTTGCGGCCTAGCGCTTGACGAAACGGTGGTTCCCTATGCGCCGACAACCATCAACGTAAACAACAATAACAATAGAGAAGGGAGTGAGCAAGCTGCAAATGGTTGTGCCATTAGTTCGGAAGAGAGTCCGCACTTGTCAATTGCGTGTGCAGCAGCGTGCGTCATTAGTCTCATGCTCAACATCTAAGCGAGCGAAGGAAAATAACCTAGCCCGATTACCGGCCACGAGCATGAGATGGGGCGACGGCGCTACATTATCAGATCCAGAAACCCGAGTGCGAATAGAGGTGGCGCTCGCGGGGCCTTTGTAACGTGCAGCTAGTAGTTGGACGCGAAGCGGAAAAAGTCGGATGATGGTGATGTATGAACGGAATGTTTCGTGAACCTAGATCAGATGTACTCAAAGGGGCGCTGGCTTCCACATTTGCATTGTATCGTCATTTGTTGGTAAGATCAAAAGACTTACTGGTCCTTCATGTAAATAGCCGTTGAAAAGGTGGAAGGATTAGAGGCGACAATCCCAAAGGAGGCTGAAAGACCGAGTGGAGTCAATCCAGAAGCGTGTTCATGTACGATGACCGATTGTGGCTGAGGCCTCTGCGATAATTCTGACCAACGACGAGAGCCCAATAACTTCAGATCAGTATACAAAGATGGCTGATCCAAGCCGCATACGACGAAACATATCCCTAGACCGCTTGAGTATGACACTTGGCTGCAACACACGCTTTAGCCTCATAGTACATCCGGGTCTGTGATGTCTATCCAGAAACATGATGATAGCATTGACACATCGAGAAGTAAGGACCTGATAGTAATGTCTACTTGGTATGCTTGTACCTTTGTCCTTCCAGACAGGAGATGCGTTTGCAACGAGCGGTGAGGACAACCACGTACCGTCCATTCAAAAGAGGTTGGAGATTAGGCATAGATGTGTCTTGGCATCGTCTTTCTCCGCGTCAAAGCGGTATTCTCCGACCAACAGCCGGCATGCATTGTGCTGCATGCCGACTTCGCGTCCTAGATCTGAAAACCTCTACATCGTCTCAACTAGATACCAAGAAAGAGTCCGATTCAGTTATCAACCCCAATCATGCGGCCGGAGCAGTTGCGCGAGCTGTCCATATGACGCGTCAAATTTGGGAGATTGCCGATGCTACCGTGTATATGATCCCAAGATTGCCAGCCCAACCTCGCAAATACCCTGTGATGTATACTCCATCCCATTCATCACACAGTGTATAGTTCTCCATGCAGTCGACAAACGGGTATGGAGGACGATTTGGAAGGTGTTTAGACGCGTTGTCTTGGTTGCAGTTGGTGGAAGTCGGGTGACATTGTCATGTTTTCGTAGATATCTATCGTGCAAATCAGTCACTGACAGCAATGTTTTACTGGTGTCGATAGCAGCCCAGTGCATGGAAGGCCTTCTTGAGCGGTCGTGAAGTAGAGCACGTTCACGTATCAGACAGGGGCATATGATGTTACATTGGCATTGATGACTAAGTATGCGACTCAATCTCGGCCCGGAAATAAAGTCATCTACACTGTCCTGATTATCCCGAACGAAGCTTGCACAATTCCTAGGTCACCCGCCTACATCGTCCCTTTCTTCGATGCATTTCACTTACTTCAGCACACTCCAATTATCACTCCACTGGCGTTCGCATCTAGCATGACCTAGCGCCAGCATTGCGACGCATTGGTTTCATCCTTTGCATGTATGTTAGCAGTATCTACTAGTTCGGCATTGCATGACAACGCGATCGTCATTAATCATATATGGATAGCATGTAGCTTTATCTCTATGATACTGCTTTGCTCGGGTGCATGGTCGTATACCAAGTCTGATACCAAGTCTTTCTACCAACTGGTCGCTTTGCACACATAACGACGGCCTTACTTTTTTCGGATTGACGGCTCTGTATGGTTTGGTCCTGTTCGACGTGATGGAATTGGCTTAGTTCGCCACCAGCGCATGGTGTTACTTTGTAACACCGCGGATATCTCAAATCCTGATCGAGTTTAGTAGTCGCCTTCAGCGCAGACCTTCGGTGCTGTTCACTGTCGCGTTCAGTTTTCAGTACTTGGGTTTTCCGCGTAAAGGTCGTATGCAGGGTTGTGGATCGTATATTTACTGAGGGGCAAATGGTCCTGCGACCACGGTCTCGCAACATGGCCTTGTCGCTCAGCGCAGATTTGCAGATGGCGATGCGTGGAAAAGAGGTGCGAGTGAATCATGCATCATTGTGTGGATGGCCCAAGAACGTCCTTACGTTATCGCATCTACTGTTCAAAGCTCGTCGTGGCCGTTCTCTGCACGTGCCTGGCATAGCTGCCCATTTTTAGTCTCGACCAATGCCTCACTTCCCACACATCTGCGACACCAAAGTACATTACCTGGATCAACCTTCCTCTTAACTTCCCTCAGTCTTTCATACTTATTACCCCAAAACGCATCCTGCCATCTCGGCTCATAGCTATCCCCTTCATTGAAGTACGCACCAGTGTTTGGGCTGAGCTACCGCAGTGCTTCGGTTTTGTTATGCGTGATATCCGCGTACACAGCATCAACGAGACCCTGAGACGTGGTGTCACCGAATGGTGATATGACAATGAGATGCGTAAGCGCATTGCGCCATGCGGGGTTGAGAGAACTGTGGGTAGGGTAGTAAGACGGTGCATTAGGCGCAGCGATCATATGGCCGATGAGAAGAGAATCCGCTACTGGACCCTTGAAGTGCGCGTGTCAGCTCAGTGTTGATGATGTTGTACCAAGCTAGGACAACTTACGTTTGGCTTCGATGCATCATTGCTGGGACCAATCTCTGAGAAGACTCTCGCAGTGACATTCAGATTCGCTAGACTTTCGGCACTGAGTAACCTCGACCCATAAGCTGAGCCACCGTTCGCGACTTCTTCGTCCGTGAAGTTGGCTTTGTGCATCTCCAAGTACGTGTTCTTATGCGTGATCACGGATTTCCATTCAAGAACGTCATTTTTTTCATACAAGTACGCTTCTATAGGCTCCATCAGTCGCCCGACTGTTCCACCCGGTGTGTCATAAAGCAAGAACGTCCACGAGAACGATAAAGTAGGGACTGTAGGCGGTCCTACAACTAGGTAGTAACCTTGCATACCGCCTTCTTTCAGCCTCTGCATTTCTGAGTGCAAAAAGGCCAAGCATTCGTAGAACTCAGTTCTCGTGCTAGGACTTATTGATCGGACTTGGAACGTATGTGCGGTGGATCTTGGAGTTGGGAAGGTGCGGATGATAACTTCCGTGACAACACCGAATGTACTTCCGCCACCGCCTCGCACGGCGAAGAATAGATCTTCGTTTTGGCATGGGTTTGCGAGAACCACTTTACCATCCGGCGTGACAACCATAGCCTCAAGCAAATTATCAGCACCCATGCCATAACGAGTCGAAAGCGGACCATGACCGCCGCCTGTGAGCCATCCAATGAGCCCAACGCTAGGGTTAGCGCCTGTCACGATGGCCATTCCATGTTTCGCGACTGCTTCTTGAGCTTCAATGTTCGTGTGACCGGCTGCTACGCGGACTGCGTTCAAGCACTTTGTGTGGGAACAAGACGCGGGTTCGAAGGAAGGGATATGGTCGATGCCACGCATGTGGTGCGTCCAGATACTCAGACTGCCGTACCCAGTGCTGCGACCTTGGTATGAGTGGCCCGTCGCCTTAACGACAACGCGAATATCCCTTGCACTTGCCCAAATCAGAGCTTTGCTGACTTGATAGGTGGAGGTAGCGTTTACAACATAGACTGGGTAGTTGCCAATATGGCATCCATTTGTTCCAGCGTATGGATCACCAGTGATGCTAGTGCCGTCAGGAAAGATGGGGTTACAGGAGTTGTTTGCCCATATCGGGTAGTCGATACTGACGGGATGTTCAGCATGATATGAGGAGTTGTACCATTGCGACAAGACGAGTGCGCACGCTTCCTGATCGTACTCTGGTTGTGAAGGGTAGCAGACTGCGCCAGGAGGAATGCTACGAATAAGTGTGCCATGGAGTGTTTCGTTCAGGTTGTTCCATTCGTTGGTAGAGGGCCAGCAAATATCGCCAGGTGTCTAATACCCGCATTAGTAGTGATCTAGGTTTGCGTTATCATTTCAACTCACGCACTTGCACTTCTCTTCCGCTGCATCGACATGAACAACAATGGAGAGCAGATATGCAAGGAATGTATAGGATCGCATATTGCGTATCATCTGGTGCAACTGAGTTAGTGTATAGCCGGCATCAGATTCTGTGTAAGGCCACGTCCACGATTAACTAGTCCTCAGATTCCCAAGGCCGGAAGGAGGGGAATGAATCAGCGTGGACAGTAGTGATTAAAATGAGTCGAAACATGCAGCTCTAATCTGTATATTGGTGAGAAGCTTTCCGGCAACGCTTCTCGTTGTATCAATCTAACCGTACCTCAAGTGATAGGAAAGTGGGATGTGCTAACAACTGGCCGTGTGGAGATATCCCGACAGCGAGACAGCAAATGGAGAAACTTGTATCGAAGAATAACACCGTAAAGATGCGGAAGCCAGAGAGTGTGGAATGAATATGATTTATATCATATTCCTAAAACTGAGGTGCCTGGCAGGCCAAGGTCCGGTGAGGGGCGAACACGTGACGAGCCCCGATTTTGTTGATCCTTCGTCTTCCAAGTTTAATTCAAAGGAGGCTGTCGTTGCGAGTAGACAACTGATATGTTGGACAGACGATGCATCTTGAGGATTTTGTCAAGTGTGATGTAGACATCTCTACATCAGCTTCCACCGTCTTGCGTAGCTGGCTGCCAGGCTGCAGAAATGCTAACAACGTAGCTGCTCCAATCGTGGCGCGATCCATCGCATTGCAGATGCGTATCTGATACCAGAGCGCATGTCTCTCCTTTCATGATAACGCTAGCGTGTGATGATAAACGGCGCGATGACCTGACAAGAGCCAAATGTCAGCATCGTGCACTTTGAGTCGCATGGGACAAACATACCTCTAGAGTCAACTCAAACAGGCCTCCGATGCCTCTTGCTCAGTCTTCTCCGAACGCGACTTGGCTTACGCGCTGGTATTTGCTCGTGGCTCGGTGCTAGAATAGGTCGTTCGGCGGCATGCATGTCGCTACCGGCTACACTTGCCCCATCCCTCAACGCACGACGCTCTTCATCTTGAACTTGAACATCGAAAAGCGATAATCTCCAGTTCGACTGCTCGCCCGGCATGCCCCCAGAGCTCCTCACCAGCACGCGCCGCGATCGCTGCATGTCGCTGACGTCCGGTTCCCTCCGGAACAAAGCATCGTTGAAGATGCGCTTTAGAAACCTGGGCATGGTTGATCGCTGTAATTCGCAAAACAGAAGGTATAATTGCAGAGGGATATTATGCAGTGACTTGCGGGATACGACAAGCTTATCATGTATATGTTGATGTTTTGGTGGCGAAGATGAGGGCGGCAATTGTGGGGGCGGGCACCCCTGAAGGGCAGAGCGATTGGCCAGTATAAGAGGGTCGTGATGTTGATCTCGAACGGCCTCAGCCATCCTCCTTTCCTGGACGCGTCAACGGTATCTCGTTTCCCGTGCCTTGGCCCGCTTCAATGGAAGCAACCGCGTTTCGTCCCTGTGCTTTTCGTCATTCGTTCCTAGTTGCTCACTTTCGTGCCCACGACGGAGGTAGTATGGAGAGCCGGCCACAACAACGCCAGTCAACACGCGCGTCCAACCCATAAAGTGAGCTAGCTACTACAACGTCAGAGTGACTAGAACAACCGTGTGTTTACTAGTACTCATGGTTTTAACAAAAGTCTTAAATGAGTACTACCTTGCCTTCAACTAACGACGACGAAACATGGCAACCGGTCATTCTATTTATCAACCGCATACACGATCAAAATCCCGATACCAGATGCTCACTCATCCGCAGGCGTTGTAGTCACCACTCGCGCCTTACTTCCTCACCTTCTATTCTCTTCATACACTCCTCTCAGGAGCAGTCGAAACAATCCCTATCCTCTTTAAGATGCCATACAGTCTCCCCAAAGCGCCGGGCTCTGCAAATACGGTTCTCTTCATTACACAGAATGTTTATCGTCTGTCCATAGGCTTGGCTACTGGTCACTAGAAAACCGTGGGCCTTCAAGCGATAGATTATCGTGCAGACTGCTCCGAGGTAGCTTGGCCAATCGTCTGCCGCATACCATCGGAAGGCGATATGCAGTTTAAACCCTTTCTTTTTTGCGATGGCTAGCTCCACTGACAGCGCAGAGAGCGAGCGAGATATTTGTCGGATTTGTACCGCTTGACCTGACAGCCTGCCATATTCGGCATTTTGCCATAACGCGGGCCCAATGACGACTTGCATACTCCTGAGAAAACCACATATCCGGACCGACGGTGCTCGGCTGTCATACAACACTTCATTGGCGTTTTTGCGGTATGGGTGAGCTGAGGTTGCTGGCTCGCTGTCACTGTCCATCTCATCTCCATCCTCATCATCATCAAGGTTGATTCATAAGGCAGGACGACTGTAATAAAATTTTGTTGTTTCGCTGGAGCGACTACTCTATGGAAACTTGAAACGTCCAAACAATATCTCCATCTCCACCACTCAAACTGCTTCCAACCTTCCAATGGCCCTCCAAGGCAAGTAACCCGAACATGTCTTTTCGCAAGGTTATTTCCAGCTGTTGATGATTATTGCACGTAGGATCGATTTCTCATCCGACAAAAGGCACAATTCCTACAGTGCCTCGCCCGAATGCGCGTCGTGGTGTCAAGAGGCTCAGCTGGGAAGCGTGTGGACTGGTGAAGACGACTCTCAGGCGCCCATTGTGCGACCGTCTCCCAGCTTGCAATATCGCCCAACCTTCCAACCTGCACTTCGATCTCGTCCGTGAAGGATGTGTTAGTGCTGTGAGTGCTGTCAGGTGGCGGGATAGTGATGGCTTCTGGAGTGCTGTAGCCTAAAGAAACGGCCGCTGGGGGTGGGAGCGTGGAGCTTCTATGCTTGATGTCGGCCGCGAAGAGCGTCCGCGGGACAGCTGTTGGCATGCGCGGTGTGGATATTGGCGTGGATTCTGTAGTAGCTGAGCTGTCTACCTCAGGTATAGTAGGTGTCTGATTGGTCGGAGCACATCGATTGCCGGCGATGTCAGCCCAAGTGGTCACCTCTCGCGCGGCAGTGGGATTCCTCGGAGTGTGCGGTTCTGGGAGTGGTGTAAAGACTGGCTCCTCGTCAAAGTATCCCGGTTTATCTTCATGCGCAGCGCCTCGTGGTCGATGGATTTGTCCTTGATCCCTCAGGTATCTAACCGATTGCTTCTGACTGTACATCTCCACCTTTAGGACGACATGCGCTAGGCGGGTCTGATCTGCTTCCGCTTGAGCACGCGCTGCTTCGTCCTTTGTGCGGAAGCCTATGACGACCGTAGTGACATTGCTGTTCGGATAGACATTCTTGACGCTCGCTGGGTTGTATCTGGCGAATACACTGCGGATCTCATTAGTCGCAAGATAGCCGGGAACGTTCTTAACGAAGACAAGATGCTCGTTTGGCGCTTTAGTACTACGAGGTAAAGGCATCGTAATAGTTGAGCAGCGGGTAGAGGCTCTCGTTCGTCAAGTTGTAGCTGCTATAGTGTTGGGGTAGGAAAAGTTCTAGTCAACCTTAAAATATAAGCGACGGCGTGCGCCGAAGTGAATGCGGTGATAAGAATCGAGACAGTGTCTGTGCAAGAGGGAGGTAAAGAAAAGTGCTCAGAACGTCCGCGTATCGGCTCAGCGAGTAAAGAAAGGCCCTACAGGCGCTGCGGTCTTGCTGCAAGAAGTCGAATGTTCGTCAACGCAGGTGCAGTGCAGGTAAAAGAGACTTATAGATGATGCTGATGCAGACCAACCCCAGCCAGCTCAGTGGGAAATTGCTCATTCTCATGGTACACAGACAGATGGCACAGTTCGTAAGCGAATAACATGAGTTGGAAGGATGGTAACGAAACATGCAAGTCCTGAAAGTGATTAATCGCATCGTAATAGGCTCAACATAGCCTGGCCAGGGTCTTCTCACAGCGCCAGGTATTGCAGAAAGAGGTTTGTACGTTGCAGTTAGTCGCTTAAAAAGGATTCCAAAACAGAACCCATAATAGCACGACATGACATGCTGTGTAGGTTGTAATGTGCGACAGTGTTGCAGATCGAAGCGCGTTATACTTAGGACGACATTACGTCATCGCTGTTGGCTTAGCTTGCCTGCCTGCATACCCAAGTATTTCTACATGCATGCGAAGCTTAGAAAGTGATGAGTTCTTTCGTGCTCAAATATCTATACAGCCTTACGATATCGTCGGTGCTATAGCGTCAATGCGGTAAGAACTTTGGTCGTACATGCGCATATTCATAAGTTCAACCGTCATCATTGTATCTCAAAAAGAAAAGTCATTATGACGGGAGTATTCATTATTTATTCGTCTTAGGCATCATCGACCTAGATGTTCTATCTAGACCTTTACGATAACCTTGTGGGGCGCCTCCTTCTCCTCGGGCTCACCGAAGATGTTGACTGGCCACCTGGGCTTGTTGGCGATGTATGGGATGTTGAAGCGGCGAGGCTCATCTTTGCCGATTTGCTCAACCTTCTGGAAGTCATCTTCCGATAGTTCAACCTCCTTGAAGTTCTCTTGGATGCGCGATGCGGTGACGGACTTGGGGATGACGGAGTGGCCACCCTTTTGAGCCCAGGCGAGGATAACTTGTGCGGGGGTGGCGCCGATGCGGCTGGCAATCTCCTTGATGACCTTGTGCTGGACGAGAAGGGGCTCGCCGACCATGTTGTTACCGAAAGCCTGAACGATGTTAGTATATGTTATTCTGAACGAAGAGGGAAACTGCTTACGGAGTACTCGGTGATGTGGATGTTCTTCTCCTTGCAGTACTGGATGAGCTCTGGCTGGAGGAGACGGGGGTGACGCTCGATCTGGTTGACAGCGGGTGTGACACCGGTGCCGTCAATGAGGGCCTGGAGGTGCTCCTTGGTGTGGTTGGAGACACCAACAGCACGCGCCTTCTCCTTGGGCAGCTCTGTCATGGCCTTCCATGTGTCGACGATGGAGATATCATCGAGCATCTTGACGTCCTCACCCTCTAGAGGGAAGAGGTTGTTGTGTACATCGCCGCGCTCATCGAAAGCAACGGGGAAGTGGACGAGGTAAAGGTCTAGGTAGTTGAGGCCAAGCTCAGCCAGGCAGTCGTCAAGAGCGCCGGGGACATCCTTGGGTCGGTGCTGGGAGTTCCACAGCTTAGATGTGATGAAGACGTCCTCACGTTTGAGATTGGGGACCTCGCCGCCGAAGGCCTTCTTGAGAGCCTCTGCGATCTCCTTCTGGTTGCCGTAGACCTTGGCGAGATCGAGGTGACGGTAGCCAGCCTTGAGCGCCTCAAGGACAGCAGCGCCAACCTGACCGGGCTCAGCTTGCCATGTGCCGAAACCAAGTTGGCTGTAAAAATTAGCGACTGCCATGTATCTGCAGGGTGTTTGTTTGGGTACTCACGGAATGGCAGCGCCAGTGTTGAGAGTAACCTTCCTTCCGAGAGACATGATTGCAATTGGTGTATCTGGGGTATATAGAGAGAAAAAGTAAAGAGTTTGTGATTGCTTCGAATGCGGATGTTCTGGACTCTTAAAGCTTGTCTGGGGAAAAAAGTTATCGGAGGTGGCATGGAGGGGTCGGAGACGTCACCGAGCCCCAGACCGGCACCATCTCCATGTTTGGCAGCCGCCTCCGCGCGTCAACTCCCTCCGATGGTCCACTTCGCAAACTTCTGCGTCATGTATTGGTTCGCCTTCACCAAATTCCCAGTAGACGTGCCTCAACAAGCATCATCCATCGACGCTATGGGGTTGATGAGGCTTAAGAGCATCTGCCGGCGGTCTACCGCGGAGATGTTGCGTCGTCATTGGTGGATGAAATGTGGCAAATGCGAAGTTTCTGTACGCCATGTCCAGGGACTGGGTCACAAATGTCTATTGTGTTGTATAGGGACCGGATAGCTATGGCGGTTGCATGTCGGGATAGGGTTGGTTTGGAGGCATCGTCGGCGGCATTTGGGGAAGAAATGCCTCGGGGCGGATGAGACAATTATATAAGCGACCCACTTTACCTCCACGTCGCCTCTTTCCCACCTGCTCGAGGCATGTAAATTTCATCATACCCGGTCCTACTTTTACCTACGTTGATTGTAGGGGCGACATGCTCTTCGAGTCTCCCGACTTTCAATTCCAAGACAAAGCCTGCTTACAGAAGTCGACAACTCGTTGCTAAGAGGCTAACCCAACACAGTAGTTAGTAACGAGGCACAACACCTTATTCAACTACAGCGAATAGAAAGCGTTTGGGAAGCATATCTGTATTCAACTCCTTACGCTGATTTACTCAACGATGTTTCTCAGACCTGCCTTAGCAAGAGAAGTTGATCTTTCACATTATTCTTCGGGTTTGTTACAATTGTATCTTGACATCATCTTCTGATTAACTTATTTTCTTTGACAAATACTTCATCTGTGCCTGAACCCGTAGAGTAATCCGAAGGTATTTGCGGGCTTTTGCATCATCGATAATCGAAAACAGCGCAAAGCGGATACCTTTAGACTACGTTCCTGGCACAAATAAAAAGAGTCAAGCTTCCTCTTGAACACGCTACATCAATAATGAACCTCGTATGCACCGTTCCACTCATCTTTCACTCAGCAATATCTCGTCATTAAATCTAACAAGCGTGAAAGCACAACCAACAAGTATTCCATGACGAAGAAAATATTATAAGAACTAAGGAAAAAAAGGTTAAACAGATATAGACAAAGTCGCATAAGCAGAAGATAATTTGGTGAAAGGTCATCTAAAACTAAGCAGTGATGTCTCGAAGGAGGGGCGAGGAAGGACATAGCGAGTCTTCATCCTCCTCCTGGACTTCTTCTTCTACAGGTGGGAGGATATCAGCAGACACAGAAGCCGCGACATCATGTGGAACTGCCGATGTAGCCAGTAAAGTAGCTTGCTTAATACGCTCTTCCTCAACCGCACCCAAGCAAACTGAAACATTCTTGCCAAACGCCAACCATGCATCCCAGACCCTCCCATTAATAAATATGCAGCCCATGCTAAACAGCTCCATGGTCCTGCGCCATCGTTGGCGAATAGCGCGGTACATGGCAGACTCCTAGTCGTCGCTGTCGTACTCGTCTTCCTCGGCCAGTAAAGCTGGGTACTGGCGGCGACGTAGGTCCTCCTGGAGGCCACCTTCGCTTTCGGGGTCGACGTAACCTCCACCCCCTACTAGGGAAAGTAGCACGGGTAGGAGAATAAGGGCATGTGTGCTTGCCCACAGTACGAGGGCGACCCAGACGCGGAAGTAGTAAATTTCGAAGATCTGGTTGGCCTGTTAGTACGCGCTGAGAATAACGGAACAGAGATGATACATACCTTACTCCTAGTGAAAGCCAACACACCCACACCCAGAATCTTTGTGATCGTAATGCCGCTAATCACGCTGCTTGCCACGTTGACCATGGAAGTCCAGGCTCGGGCATCACGGCCCCGGAAGCGGTGTCTTGGTGCTTTTTCCATAGTAGCACGGCTGGGGAAGGTGAAAGCACGGGCAATATGTGCCGTGAATTCGACACTGATACCAACGCAGATGATAAGGTTGACAAGCGACACGGCGTTGAGTGATACGCCTAGGACAGCCATTGAGCCGATGATAGCAGACACAGTCATGCCAACAACGAGGGTGACGACCAGACCAGTGGCTAGGGAGCCAAGCATTATGGTGGTGATAACCAGTACCGCAGCGAGAGCAGAGCCGATGAGCGCACCAGCTAGGCGAACGATGGTTGTATACTGATCGAAGAAGATGTAGAACTTGGAGTACGGGAAGACCTCCGTATCAACGTCCTTGGAGATCTCCTTCGAGATGCGACGTGCTGCAGTGTAAGCAGAGATGAAGTCACTCTGTGAGCGAAGAGGCGTATGCGAAGTGCGGAAGTGGGAAGCGGGGATGGTAAGGTGCTTTGAGTCGATAACGAGAGCATCGGAGTAAGCAGCCTTTCCACCAAGGGGACAGTCTTCAGTAGTGTCCGCCTCAATCCAGCGCTGAAGGTAGTGGATGAACTCCTCGCCTTCAGGCATACCTGACAAAGTCATGTTCCAAGGGGGTTGGCGGTCCTGGAAGCACGGTTTTCCCTTGTCGTCGACGCAGCACTTCTCGTTCTCGGGGTTTAGCCATAGGAAGTAGTCATCGAGCCAGTTGGCGGCTGAGGCTGCGAGATGTGAAACCTCGGGTCGCTTACGCTCCGCTTCGATGATGTTGGCCAAGCTCTCTCGGTCGCAAGTAGAGAAGCGTCCACAAAGCTCTTTCTGGGGCTTTCGCTCGGTAACGTTTAGCTCCTTGGTGACGAAGTATACTGGTGGACCGACATCGAGATAGTCGTAAAGGTCGTTGAAGTAAGGGATAAGATAAGAATCACTTGGAATAGCAATGCGTTGATCAAGGCCAAGCTCTACACTAGGGAAGAGGGCGAGACCGGCTGTGAAAATTCCAAAGAACAGCGCGATGATCCCAACCTTTGTCTTTTTCCCCAAAATCGCCGGGGCATACGTCTTACGAATGAAACGTTGTAGTGCGCCTTCTTCACCAGCGCCATATCCCATACCGCCATTGAGGTAGCCAGGATCGGCCTTGCCGACACGAACACAGGGGAAGCAGTCAGCACGGTTTGTCTCAACGCGTTGCTGGTTCAAAGCGAGCACGGCGATGAACATGGTTACTTGAAGGATAGCGTTGATGAAGACTGCTCCGGCAGCGTATGCGGCGAAGTTCCGGACAGCCGGCATGCCTACGGCACACCCAAGAGCGAATGCAGTCGTCTCTGTAAGCGCGGAAAGTAGGATCGAAGGACCCATACGCCCGAGTGCACGCGATACGCGTTCCGGGATGCTGCCTTCGGGGTGGCTAATGTTGATGCGCTCAAACTCGTGCACGATGAGGAAAATGTTATCAACACCGACAGCCAAGACAAGGAACGGAATGACCTCTGCTATGATCAAGGTGACCTTAATGCCAGCTGCCGAAAACAATCCGACGGATGCGGACACAGACATGAGTACGATCAAAATGCCGACAGTACCGAGCATGAACTTGGACTGCACGAAAGCATTCGCTGGGTTGCGAAGAACGGACCGTACAGTGAGCGTGGTAGAGCCCAGAGCCAGGGATGCGTATAGGAACATGATGATGTAGCTAATGACCACAATTTTGGCATCTGTGTTGGTGCTCTTGCTCAGCTCTTGCTCAAGACTGACTTCGGTGTTGAAGCTCAGGCGCAGACCTCTCTTGTGAGCTTCTTCAGATACGAACTTAAGGTAATTCTTCATCTCATTTTCGAAGTCCATAGCGCGCTGTTCTTCTGGGGTGCCCTTGGGGTGGTTCTGCACAACCCAGGTAACGACAAGTGCCCTTGCGTCCAGGACGGTTTCGTTGACGCCGCCGAAGAGAAGATGAGGATCGAGCGGCTGCTGGAAAGTAGGTAGACACTGAGAGGGGTTGTCGACGCATTGCAGCAGGTCGTCTTGCCAACTGTCAGGGGAAACATTTGCGAAGTCGCCTTGAAAATATCCCGTCACAGACTGAACAACACAGTCGTCGCCTACTGGCTTGAAACATACCTTATCGAGGGTTACACCATGTTCGTAGGACTTGAGACGTTGGATTTGGTTCTCTACGCCGAACCACCAATCGAGAGTTTCGTAACTGAGAACAGGACCAGAACTTTCTAGCGTGTCGTTTACAAGGAAAGCCTGCTCAGCACGGAAGAAGGGACCGAACTTCTCATCGAAGAAAGCCTTCTCCTGAGCGGCAGCTGAGTCGGGGGAAACCCATAAATTGACAGGGTCGGTTTCAATTTGGAAACGCAACCAACCCAAGCTCATCAAACCGACCACAACGACGCTAGTGACGATGGTGATAGCAGGAAAACGAGCGCAAATATATCCAAGGCGACTGAACATGCGGTCGCACCATGTGTTGATGAAGTAGTGCTTGGTAGGGCGATCCAGCATGCCAACGTTGTGTACTATGTCACCCTCGTCCTCGTCGTCGCTAGGGCTTGTGTCCTGCAAGAGGCGCATGCGCTCGGTCTTATGTTTCGAATGGTTCTTGTAGGCAACATGGCCTGCAACGGCGGTACATAGCAAGCCAAGGAAGAAGGAATAGATTATGATGACGGCGAATGAAAGGCAGGGCAGCAGGCCAACGTGACACTGTTTCTCCTCCTGAACTTCCGGCAGCTCGGTGCAGGACCCGCCACAGTCGAGGCAGGCACAACGATACTTCTCCTCGTCGGTGTCGCAAGGGTAGGCGTGCTTGTTCATCGCATCCATTCCAGGGAAGTCAGCCTCGTTTGGTCGGGGGAAGTTGATTTGGAAAGGCGAGCCCAAGAACTTTTTGTCGCCCAGGAACTTCAGAAACTGTGTGTAGTTTTTGGCGCCTCCTCCAATGAAGTCCATAGCCTTGCCATTTGTCGCGCCGAATTTGACATCCTTGCAGCTGTCGTAGAAGGTTGACGCGTACTTGTCGGATACCAAGTTGTCCAGCTCGGTCACCAGGTACTTGTCTCCCTTGGGCTCGGTTTGTGTGACATTGATGAACGTGGACTGATCGGGGGAGCACGTGAAAGTACAGAACAGGTTGTAGAAGTTCTCCTTGCAGGCAGGGCAGGCATTGATGATGGGCGTGGCGCGGTCGAGGTTCGTCTTGAGGGCGTTGAGTTGGTCTTCGTCGCAACAGATGTCGGTGTCTGACCACTGGGAGCCGCAGATGTCGACCAGTTTCTTCCGCACGTCATTGTCTGGCGTCTTTGCTGGACCGTTGTCTGGACAGGGCAGCTCTGACCCGAAGAAACTCTGCTTTCCGCATTGTCCACGTATCGCGCACCTTCCCTTCTCATGTTTCAATGTCAGGTCTGGTCCTGCGAGAGCTGATCCGGCAAGGATGGAGACTAGGCCAATCGTAATGGCCTTCCACCCTCGCGTGGATTGCTGCACCATCTCGTTCGATGCGCCTGAGCGCTGTAACCAAGCAAGCCTCGGTGTCGCGCGGAGAATAGAATGCGAACGTATGCCGAGAGATACGAGGAGCTCGAAGATGTAATGGGAGTGGTGGACGATGGGCTATAGATGACTATGCGTGTGAGCCGAGGTGGCGGATGAAGCTATCGAAAGCTATGGGAGTATGCGAGCGAAGAGTGATCAACAGACTAGCGTTATCATAGGAATAGCGAAAGAATGACGCAAGTGATAGATGACGGCTCGTGCTACGCCTGAGAGTATGCACAGGAACAGGGCTACTGTGGAGATTGGTGTTGTTATGAGGCGTGGGCGCGCAGGCAACTGCAAGTGTCCCAGGTCTGGGGTGCAGACGTCACTGCCCCGGCTTGGCTAAAATGCGCGCCGGCCCAGGGACCATGATCGTCCCCTGTCACGCGTGTCAGCCACCACCGGCCACCACCGGCCACCTATCATGCAACCATCACACAGCACAACCCATCTACAAATCAGTCGTGGTTTGTTGGTATCGAACATTCATTCATGCTACATGATATCGTAAAACCGTATCTATATGCCATTCTACCGTCCCATGCCCAAATCCATTCCTTGTGTCTTTCGACGGGTATCCCTCTCTTTTAGCAAAACGAAACCTTCCTACTTGCGCAGATACTGCACTAGCTCAACAAGCTGTGCGCGCGTCTCATCCTCGAGCTGCTCTTCAGGCGGGCTGAGAACCTTCTCAAACACAGGCATCAGGGAAGATGTAAGCTGCTGCACTGTAGGCTCGTTTTGTTGGTAGAGCTTGACAATCATGCCAAACACAGGCTTGTTCTCCTCGTAGTCCTCACGCAGAGGTAATAGCTGCACTAAACGGGGCAGTACTTCGGCGATAGGAAGCTTGCCAGGGTGTTTCGAAATGAACCTGCTGACACAACCTGCCGTGTTGTCAAGAAGACGTGCTTGGTCCTGAGCATCGAGCAGAGGCTCGAGCTTGGAGAAGATTGTGGGCAGCGACTTGAGAATTTCATCATCGTTGGTAGTCATCTCGCAGAGAAGTCCAATACCATAGACGGCGTTGGACTTGGTCTCTGGGTCCTCATCCGACAGGCGGTGGAGAAGAAGCTTCAACATGCCAGTGGTGTAAGGTGTGCAGCCGGCACCCATGTTACCGATGCACTCAGCAATCGTTCCAACAGCAGCGCTTCGCTCAGTGGAGTCCTGGCTGCTGGCATACTTGACAATTGGCTTCTCGAACATCTTCCAGAGCTCAGCGAATTGCGAGCCAAGTGCGACGGACAGGCAGGTGACAGCCTCCAGGGCAGTCTCGATAACGAGCCAGTCGTACTCGGAAGATTCATCAAGAATCTCTTCCTCGGCTTCGTCACCAAGATCCTGTTGGCATGGGTGACGCTTGGTGATAACGGCAAGCAGGTGCTGGCAGAGATCAGGCACCACAGTGCCGTTCTCGGTTAACAAGACAGCCGGACCGCAGAGCTTAAGAGTGGCAGCGACATCACGGTTGATGTCAGTGACAGTGCCCCTAGACAACGTTAGCCAGATTCTCGATTATCTTTTATAGCAAGTGGTTGATGTTGAGATTGCTCAGTCGTGATTTCGCTTTCACCTCAAGTGCACTTTGTGCATCGGAGTGAGCTGGGATTAACGAATATTCTGTCATCTTTGCAAGGTGTGTGTAACGAAAGAGAGCGAGTACATACCGATCCATCTCGTCTTGCCAGATAGTCATGGTGGCAGTCATGACGAGGTTGCCGAGCTTCTTCAGCTCTTCGGGAATGTCAACGGCAAGAGGAAGACCAGGCTTCCACTTAGCCATGCCATCACCCTCGGCCATGCCGAAGAGGCAGGCAAATGTGCGCCATAGAGTGCCGAGAGCGGCCTTGCGAATACCCTCATAGGAGTGGTCAACAAGCTCCAGAAGCTTGGTGACAGTCGCCTCCATGTAGGGGATGTACTCACGGCGAGTGTGAGTAATGATGTCTCCGTAGACTTCGGCGGCAATCTCCTTCTCCATGGCGACAGCACTGACGCCTTCTAGGTCATCCCAGTCGTCATCGTCATCGCCGGCCATGAGAGCTTCGTTGAGATCGCTGTCATCGTCGTCATCATCGCTCGCGGCGGCCACCTTGATCTTTTGGCCCTGGATGACAACCTCGGAGCCGGCCAGGTCAGCCGCCTCCTCACCAAACTCGACGTCGAGGTTGGTCTCCTCCTGGTCAAGACAGTCGTTGAGACCCTTGACAGCACCAGGAAGGTACTTGGCGAAGCCCTCCTCGTAGACCTTAGCCATGGTGCTCCAAAGGATGTAGCTGGTCTCCCTGAGGCGGGGGTGGTCCAAGTGAAGAGCCTCCTCTGAGGCCTCCATGAGCGGCAGAACGTACGGCTCAAATGGCTCGGGGCCAACCGCAGAAGCAATCTTGCCCATGGAATCACAAGTGACACCACGAAGGTCGAGCTCGTCTTGGCTGTCCTTAATTCTAACGTATGAGGAGAGCTCCTGCATGGTCTGGGGGAAGAATGGAATGAAAGCCTTCTCAGCAGCAGAAGCAATAGAGCCAACGGCGCCAATAGCAGCACTCTTCACCTTGAGGTCCTCGTGGTGGAAGAGCTTGCTGAAGCGTGGGATGAGTTCCGGAACGTACTTTCCGGCATCCTCTGGCTCTAGACCCTCGATGAGCGAGTCGATGGCATGGCAACTGCCGCGAACGATAGAGAGGTTGCGCTCGTCGTCCGAACCTTGCATGTTGTTGGCAGCAAGATCGAAGTTCTTGAGCATGGCAGGGATCAGGCGGGCGTGCTCCTTGCCAACGTCCTCGGCGAGGTCATCAGCCAAGCGAGCGACACCGTTGAGAGCGGCGGCTCGGACCTTGAGCTCAGGGTCCTCTAACAAGTGCAGGACCATGGGCATGATCTCGTTAAGCTGGGTAGCGATGAAATCAGGTGCGCCCTCGACACACATGCCGAGAGCCAGAATACCAGCTTGACGGTAGTCGGGGTTCTGCGACTGGAAGTAGTTGCCGAGGTTCTTGAGAAGAGGGATGACAACCTGGCTGGGAGGGAGGCTTGATGCGAGAATGTCGAGCAGGCCGAGAGCAGAACGGGCGGGTGTGACATCCTCCTCTTCGCTGGACAGATCGCCAAGCTCAGTAACGATGTGGAGAGCCTTCAAAGTCATCTCCTCACCAATCCTCAGACCCTGTACCTTGAGCTTCCTGTAGCGGACGCATTGCATCAGGAATGCGAGGGCTTGGGAGCGGTAGTCGTCCTCAACGTTGGTGCTCGACGAAAGCTCAAGCATGAAGCGGACGAGATCGCCAAAGTGCTTTGCTAGAAGTGCAGACTCACAGCCAAGGAGGGTCTGGAATACCTCAAAAGCTTGCATTGCGCGGTCCTCGTCGCCCTCATCGACAGTAGCCTTCAAAACGGTGACCATGCCAGGGATGGAGTCCTGGAACATGGCAAGCTCCTTAGGGCTCTCGTCAGGTTCGAGCAGCATAGCCAGACGGCTAAGACTGAGCATTGTGTTGATTCTGACGTCGACGCTCTCGGGGTCTTGGATGGTCGAACTGAATAACTTGTACAGGTCGGTTTGCTTGCCGGGGAACGAGTCGCCCGCTGACTCTAGCGTGGTGAAGATGATGTATGTACCAACTTCACGGTGACGCGCCTCGGAGCTGGTGGCAGCCTGCTGGAGGTATCCGGGCAGGTCAGCCCACTCGCCATCCTCGAAGTCTTGAGAGGCGATAGCCGCAATGACGCGGGCAGCAGAGTGCCGTGTGAGAGTCACATCCTCATTGAGTGTGAACTGGAACAACTGGTTGCGGAGGGAGTTCTTCTGGTCTGCAGGGAGGTTGGCCCAGTGCCTTGTTACCAGCTTCCTAGCCTCGACCGCAGCCAGTTGGCGAAGTTGAGGCTTGGGGTGGCCGCAGAGGATCTGAAGGAGGGCATTGAGGGAAGCGGGAGAGTTGTAGTAGTTCTTGTTAAGGGTAGAGGTAGCGGATTTGACACGCTCGGTGTCGGCTGGAAAATGTCAGTAGAGATTCTATGTATGGCGGGGCTAGGTAACATACGCTCCATGAGGCCCTCGAGCAGCTGGACAAACTGTTGCTCGTCCATGGCGATGCTCTCACAGTGAAGTAATGTAGAAAGCAAGGCTTGGGGGGGATCTATCGCAGGACAGCGAAGACCTTTAATATTGACAGTTGTGAAAAGAGCGCGAGCTGCTCGCACAAGGTGGGGATTCCAACTTTTTTTGCGGCAAAGGGCGCTAGCCTCAGGGTCCAGGGCTTAGGTAAGCCGTTTATCCGACCAATGACGGAAGAGGTAGGCGAAAAAGCCATACCTCCAGAAGCCGAAGCTGCTGCAGCCTGTAGCTACGCAGGTTGCTCTGGAGGGTGGGTACCCTGCGTTTGGGGGTCATTGCAAGCTGGTGGGAGTCTGATTAGGCGTGTCGTGTAGAATGATCTGAACAGCCAGTGTACAAGCGGGCATAGCTTCCAGATTTGGAGTATGAAGACCTTTTCGCAGACGATCTGAGAAGAAGCTTTAGAAAGAACAAATGTGCTTGGTGCCATCATCTGAAGTCGATGACAGCTCCTTGGATAGCTAGGGGCCGAGATGGTGATGGCTGGCTGCGATGCCATGGCCCTTGCAGGGCGTAGTGTGATGGAAGATCATCGTGGGGGAAGCCCTCAGAAGATGATTGAGATGAATAAACAGCAACACAAAGGAGTAGAAAAGCTCAATGGATGGAAGAAGCTGGAGAAGCTGGAGATGTAGAAGTCCAGACAGCTCCAACGCGACTTGATAGGACGCGCTAGGCCAGGGTCTGTGCGGCGGAAAGCTGTTAGCAAAAACAGAAGGAGCAACGGTAGACAGGACAAACCCGCCGCTGCCATCACAAACGAGGAGGCTCTTCTACTACTTTCTCTCTTACCCCGACCTAGTAATACCCCACTCTACTCCCCAAGTCCAACCCAGCC